GACAGCAACGTCAACGGCAAACTCGGTAGAGGCTTGTAGTGGTGTTTCCGACTAAAACTACTGGCGGGTGCTGGCGGGAGAACTGATATCGCTGTGAAACGGCGCACGAAAAAAACTTTGCTCGGTCCGAGTCCTTTCGGTCGATATCGAGAACGTGGAGCACGGTGCAGAAGCAAACGAACCGATCGATGGTGCCTGACGAAGAAACGGGTTCGATGAAGATGAGGTCAACGAAAAGAAGCTAAACACTGCTCGACGGCTTCTCAGGGCTTTGGGCTCATGGCTCGGGTCCACTTCACCGGTGTAGGAGATTTTGTTCGAAAGTCCTCGAATCCCGGAGGCGGTTCTCGCGTTTTTCCGGTATGCAATGGTTTCGGTGCTGTCTTCAATCTAGTCGTAGTTTCGAAAACTGCGGCTGTTTTTCACGTCGGTCGGAGACAGAGGTAAAACTTGGAAGAATTGGTCGTCGTTGTTGATGATGATGTTGTTGTTGTTGCTGCTTTCTGTTGATTTTCTTGTTCTGGAGGATGTAGTCCGATCTCGGTGGAGTGGAATACTCGGCCACAGACGGCTCCCTTGGTGGGGCCCTCCTGGCCTCCGATTTCCTCCAAGGGCGCCCAACTCAAAGCCCGTTAAGCCCGATCGAATCGGCAGCGGACGCTCGAAGCGCACCGCACGACGAGCCTCGGCTGGTTTCGGTTACGGATGAGCCGGAGCACAGCAACATCGGACGGACGACGACAACGACGGAGGACGGCGAGCGACCAGTCGAGAGGGCCCCGAGGAGAAGGGCAGCCACGCACGCACGCACCAAGGACCCCCGCTCTTCCGGACACTGCTGCTGCTGCTGCCGCCACCACCGCTACCACTGCTGCTCCTGCTGATGCCCGCTGCTGCTTCTGCTGCTGCTGCCGCCGTCGACGGGAAACGAAGGGGGGCGCACCACCGAAGGGGAAGGCAGGCGGTCTGCCGTCCCGAATGCCGGCCTAGCTCCCTTCCCTCAACGAATGGGGGGACCCGGGGCCTGAAGCGGCTTGCCTCTCAGTCAGAGTCAACGTGCCCTCGGCGGGCAGGGGTTTTTCAGGGGACGGGACTCGGGGGGGAACGGGGGACTTGAGGGGTCGGAGTCTTCCAAGGCGAAGGGGGAATAGGAGGCCGAGGAGGGGACAAAGGGAAGATGGGGAGCCAGTGACAGGAGGGGGGCGCAGGGGGAAGAAGCAGTCGACGAACTAACTCAAAGGAGGGCACCCAAGAAGCAGGGACTTGGGAGTCGGGGGCGATTGGGGATGGGGGGCGGGCAAGCAAGCAACCGACCAACCAACGAATTCAGTGCGCAAGCCGGGGCTTCGGGGGCGCTGACGGGAACGGAGTGGGGGAAGTGGAGAGCACACAGCAGCAATTGGAGTGAAATTTTTATCGATCGATTTCCTGTCTTTCACTGTTTCGTGGGTCCGCGCGTCGTCTAGGGTCTGTCAATCTGCCGCTTCGTTTCTTTGGACGTCCGTCTGTAAGACCGTCTGTCAAACTGTAGGACGGTCGGTTTGTCCGCGAAACTCGTTCAGGAGGGACCGTCGTTTCGGTGAGGAGAGACGAAGGGCGAAAAGGCTCTCATTCGACCAGAATCCGCTCAGGGAGAAGCGATTAATTTCTCGATTTGATCGCTCACTTATGGAGGCGCTTCTCCTCCCGCCGCTTCACGTTGGCACAGAAATCACTGGAATTCAATCATTCACTTCAGTCACTTGTCTTTCACCGATTCACGTTCTCGATTTGGCAATCACTTAATCGATCGATCAATCAATCAATCAATCGATTGCTCAGGTGAGGTGGAGCTATTCCGCTCCTCTGATTTTGCGCACTGTTCGAAAACTTTCCGCACTGACTTCCAGCGTTAGTCGCTGCGACCGTCTCGTACTGTGGGCCTTTGCGGTTGTCAGTCGGCTCGTCGAATGTCAGAGCGGCGACGGCGACCACGACTTGGTACTTGCTTGCCCGTTGCTTACACGAATGTCAGGCAGCTCGGCTGGCTGGTTTAGCTTAGTTTTGTTGTATTGATTGGTTGGTGCCTCAGTTGTTGTTGCCGCTGCGCTCGCGGCTGTTGCGAACTAACCCGCCTCTTTTTCGTGAGAGAGGCGGTGCTTGTCTTTTACGACAGGACACCCAGCAAGAGGTGCAGCGAGTCGCCGAAATAAATGGAATGACGAATCCACCTACGACTGACTCTGACTAAGCGTTCCTCTGTCTGTCTGCAACCCTGCGATTATTATTATTTTATCCAGCGCTTCCAACCCGACCCGTTTGGGGACCGGCTATCCTCCGCAAGCTCGACGTCCTATAGTGGAAATGAGCACCCGGGCATCTGCTTCTAATTCAGTGAGAATCCTGAATCATTATTATGTAGGAGTTTTAATTCTTCGCCTCGTGACTTTCCACTGCATTCGGTGTTCCAGAATGGTGCAGGTTTCCGCCGGGAACGGAAGAGTTCAAGGACAGCAAGTTCAGGGAAATCGTGACGAGAGCTCCGAGCTGCGAGCGATTGCGAGAAGGGTCCCGAGCAGCCGGAAAATTCTTTCCGAGGAGATTTTTTTTCTCTAGAATATCAGTCGAGATTCGAACGAGTGTCATTATTCCGACGCGACGCCTGCTCCATCGGTAGGCCTGCCTTCCGAGAGAGGATCCGCGATGACGTGATAAGGAAAAGAAAGAGAATAATCGAGCATTTGTTTGTTTCGCGTCTCCTCGATATCGTCGATCTTTTTTTGTTTCGACTGAATGCACAATCAACGTAACGGTTATGATCGCACCGGAACCAGACGTCTGAGAGCTTCCCTCGGATTCCACGAATTCGATGAACTATACTTGCGATACGAACTGGGTAATAGACCGCGGAACACTTTGCCTAATCCACCGAGGCACCAAGCTTCGGCAGGTACTCCTCCCTCGATCTATCGGTCGCTATTCTCAGTCCGTTAAAGCGGAGGGATGAGTTTCAATGGAGACCTTGTAACACTTGACGGTTGATCGCCATGCTCGAGAACTCATAGCAGAGGGAACTTGTGGCGACCGTTTTGCTAATGATCAAGCTCACAAAAGACGCTGAGAACTTTTAGGCGCTCTGGTAAGCAAAAAGGCGAGCCGGCGAAAAGTCTCCTCGAGGTACCTCCTCGAACTGCGATCAGCCACCGCGATCACTGAGATGCTAAGCCGAGCATCGGCAACCTTACGAAGCAGATTCTCATAAACGAGAAATATCCCTCTGTTTCCATCCGAACACCTTCGACAGTCAGACTCGAATATACGAGTCACTCGCAGGCACACGTTCCCACCTCCCGACTGATTCATCCTCCCGAGTGGGCTCTCCTCGGCCGGAGCTTTGAAAGTAGCAGCACCGTTGATTCTCAATTTGACTTCAATGTTTTTTTTTCGATTATGCACAGTGCGGGATTTCATTCGGAGCGGAGGCAGGGAGCAAAACTCCCTCAATCCACTTCGGATTGAATTGCGAGCTCCAATGGCGAATCGTACGAGCTCTCAGTCGAGACGGCGGACGACCAACCTTTCGATTGTCTACCCAGATGGAGCGATCGAGGACCGGGAACAGGGACCTTCCATGACAATGTGACTCGCGCATCCTTCATGAAGTGGAATCTGTTGGGGAAAGGTGTACCTGGAATATCTAGGAGCGGGCCCGAAGAGCAGAGGTACGAAATCAGTTTCTGACGACCATCGGATCGGAGACGAATTTCCTTTCAAAGTGTTCGGGTGGACGCTCGGAGTTCTAAACCGATTTGTCGGGCGCGTTCTTTTACTATGAGGCTACTGATTAGTTCGTGGTCCTGAATCTCGGAGCGCGCTCGCCTGTTTGTCGCTCGCAGCGGTGGACTTCGAACGAGACGGTACACGGGAAGATGACACGGTGAGCGCTATCAAACGGACGGGGGATCGATGAAAAACCAGGGAGAGAGGCTGTCCGGGGCGCAGATACAAGAGTACAGAGAGAGAGAGATGCAATGCCCCACTGTCACCAACACCCATTGTGATTTGATGAGGGCAAACAGACGACCCGGCCATTTTACAACTGGTGGCTCCGTCCGCGCTCGCGAGCCATTCGCTACCGGTATTAATTGGATACTCTTCTCTCGGTTCGCTTTGGACACGTTCAGAGATGCCGCCCTTGATTCGAATAAATCTCTTCTGAAGAAATAAACCGAAAAATCCGCATCGGAGAAGAAACGGGGTCGACTCACTTCTGATTGGAAAGAATATCAGCGGCGGCTCAAAGTTCTCGAAGAGCTTGAGCCGCGAGTCCCTTTTCCATCCGCAGTCAGGGGGGAAATCTCATTTGGATCAAGGAATCGTTCGAATATCTGGCTGCGCCGATCTCGAGCAAAGCGAGGAGCGCATGATCACCGGCCGAGAAACGGGTTCTTTCCGGTTAACCGAGTTGTAAAATGTGGTGCGCTAACGAACTTCAATGGCTCTGATGGGAGTCCTACGATGGAGTAACAAAGTTACGACACTCATGCGCATTAGGCTGGAGGAAGTGCTGACCGCAAACAGTCGGCAGAAGCGTTTCTCCGGAGTTCATCACAGACCTAAATGAGATATGGACCGGATTCGTGATCTCGTACAATGGTGACCCTTCGGGCGATTCGCACCAGATGAAAGCTAGAGGCCTGAGATGCCGATTTCACTTCTGGATGATGTTATCTCAGGTCTATATTAGGGGAAAAGCAATTCTCAGTGGTTGAGAAATGGAAACTTCGACACCCCGAGTTTATTTCTCCTGAAAGGCTTCCAGGGATCCCTCCGAGCTCATCCACTTTATGAGTCCCTAGCCTCGGGACTCGCCTGATCGGCTTTTGCTTGACAAGAGTGGGGCGGGGATCTCGACGGAACTTCTGGGACTCCATCGGAGGCTTCTGCCTCGATGCGGTCGGATTCGACGTGGTGCACGTTCGCTCGGGCTTTGTTTGGTCGGTTGGCAGTTGTGAAGCAGCGTGTTGACTCTCTGCGTCTGTCCAAGCGGAGGTGCCGAAGAAGTCGGTGACACATTATGGAAATCTTTCCCAGGGATAATCTCTCTCTCCCGCTGCAAGGCTCATCGCCATCCGATCCGGTGAAACCTGGTCCTCGATATGGTGAGTTTTGCGACGGTCGGACGGAAAGCGTGCGAGCGCGGGCGAGCCTATAGGCTCAAGCAGCTGTCGGGATCATCAATCTGAGTTGGAAAAGGAGCGAGCTAGGGACGTGGAATGCATATCTGGACACGTCGTTATCCTGGGATATGAGTCCTCCAGGTATTCGCGAAGAAGCTTTGATGGCTTCGATCGGAGAAGTCTCGACAACCGCGTGGGGCCAGAAGTACGTGAGGGTGTGATTTCGACCTCTGAGAAAAGAGTTTTCTTCCAGATCTTTGGAACTCAGTGGTCTTCACCAACTTTGAGCTGATGGAGAACTCGAGCTTTGCACCACTCCCGGGGCAGGACAAATACCCGGAGAGGAAAATATGGCACGACGCTCCGACAGTACCGACTCCCAGCCGTCTGCCCGTTTTCAGCAACATATCCCAGAAAGGACTCGGTGGAGGATCTCCCTCCATGAGTCTGAATCCTTTATCTAGCGAAGGCTCCAGGGGATGGGAGGCTTATGCCTGCCAGTCATCATCATCGTCATCGTCCACCTCGTCCTTGTCTTCTTCCTCCGTGAAAATCGAGGTGATAATTCGCAAGCCCTCTAAGCCCTTAGAGTCGCTATTGAATCGGAAAACTTTCTGAGCGACGAGCTCTGGCTGGCTTCGCGAAAAGATTCGCAGATATCCATGAGCAGGTTTTGGAATAGTTCTAAAATCTTCATTCAAGTCACGTCTGGCCGCCGACTTGAGCCGTTGTCTCCTGGAGGACGAGTCGCCGAACACGTCAGAGCCCAAAGAGCCGAAAATGCGCATGGTGGACATGTTCCAGGTAATTTCTCAGATTTTAGATCCGGATCGGGGTCCTCATGAAATTCTCACGATCTCACGTCTGTCCCCAGCGGAAAGAACTGCAGCCCAAGCAATGGGACCATCTGCGTTATACAGCCGAGGAGCTCTGCGCCGATGTGAATTTCATGGAGGGAGTTTTCACGCGGCTCGTCGATACCAAACGCCCCCCGAGTACGAAGGAACGTCTCATAACGCTCAAACAACTGTCCAGGATCGTCACCCCGGAAAACTCTCTGAGACTTTGCGTCAAGACTCACTCTCGCAGACAGGTACATGTAACAGTCCGAATGAGACCGAGGTGTCGTTCATGAACGACGTCCACCCCTTAAGGATCCTCTCGACTCCGGAGGCTCAATGCTTGTGTCTCCTTTCGCAGGTCATGTTCGCTCTCGAGTTCCTTTCGCGAGAGAAATCTCTGCGACAGAATGTCATTGCCGTCTTGAGCAAAATGTTCGAGGATCTTGATCTTTTAGTGGAGCTCGACAACAAAGACATGGTTTTCGCCAAGAAAGTTCACGTTTTCAACACCGCGATAAGTTTCTGCGATATGTCGAGCGTGATCAACCTCGCCAACAGTCTCCTCAAGACTTCTTGGGCAGGCATCGGTTCGACGCTCGGCTTGGCTCTCATTGGGCGGCTGGTAGAGCGAGCGGATTCCCTGGACTACAAGTGAGTTGAGGAAACCACATTAGGAAGCTCCCCCGACCTCTCCAGATGAATTCTGTGACGGACTTAAAAGCTTCGTGGATTTGAAACAGAAAATCAATACTCGCAGGGCTGATCCCCGTTGGCTGGAGGATTGTCTCCCTGGATTGGGCTATCATGTGTTGCTTGTGAAGGACGTGGAGGCTGCTTATCGCATCTTGGACGTGAAATGCGTAAAGCACTTGATCAAGAACCTGAGCATTGAACACGAAATGTTCAAGGGTGCCAAAAATTGAAACCTGAATGATTTCCCCGGCGTCCTTGGGCGCTCTTCCGTGGGGGGTCTCATCAAACTCACAAACGATTTCTTCTCGACGAAACTATCAGTGGAGAGATGTCCGGAAAAATATTCGGATTCTACTTTTGAAATGTTCCGCTCCGATTTACAACCTAGCATCGGAAAATTTTGTGAAGAGCGGCCCCGGAATATTCCGAGACGTTGTGACACAACGACAAATCTACAACGTAAGTCATGTAATTCTTACTCTAAGACACGAATGCCATTTTTTGTCGATACTTACAATGAATCTTAATAGAGTAACCTTCTCAAGCTCATCTAACGGAGCTCTGCTTGCCGATTCACTCGTTCCACGAGTAAGCAATGCGTGAGTTGCACTCTGCCGACTGCGCGATAATTTAAAGCTATCATGACCTGGCTCGCATGTGTCCGACAATGGTTTCTTTCTCTAGAAAGTCTTTATGTCAGTGGAAAATTCAATGTGAAATATTTGTGAGAATTCAACGTCTCGCTCCGATAGGGGAGCTCTCCCTTCGTCACTCGCGATTGTTACGCTGGTGGATGGAAAATGCCTCCTTGTTGTCAGATTGTCTTGACGCGGCATTTTCTAACTATTGGCGAATGATCCGGCGTTGCTGCCGAGAGCCATGGTCGGCTCAATACTGGCGCCGGTGCTGGTTCGTAGGGAAGATATGAGCTATTTTATTCTGTGATTTTCAAGGCCTATCGCCAACCCTGAAGCTAAATACTTGAGAGCATCGTCGAGCAGGGAGACATGAAATGTGGTGAATAAAAACGAGCTTACTTTTGGAGGCATACACTTCTTTTTCTTCCACCCTTTATTGTCGTCACTTTACCCCGAGTCCCTTCTGGAAAACGATGCCCTTAACTCTGCTTCTGTCATCATGCCGTTGAAGAATTCGTTTCTCTGAGAGCTTCCCGCTTTCGTTTACGATGGTTGACAACCAAGTCAGCAGTATTGATTTTGTTGCGCTGTGATCGATCGCGCCACCGCTGTAGGTCCAATTGTACCTTCTGACCCTCGAAGAACATGGCCCGTTCTTCATTATCGAATGACGAAGTCACCTGTGGTCGAATTTGAATCATGATGCAAGCTTGAAATAGATTCCAAAACAATGACCAACGGAGAGCTCCCAAGTTTGGGATTTATCTTCAAGAAACCCTCTCCAGGAACAATGCCCACATATATATTGGGTACAGATGTTGTCTTCGAGAAGATATCCCCGTTCGAGATTGTCTACCATACCATACTGGGAATTCGCGGGTTTCGAAATTCCGAGTCAAATTACCTTGTCGGTCTCCTTGATGTCAGCATTCTGAGCGCAATCGAATATCTTGCGGAATCTGCCTTTGTACGTGGTCACAAGGAGGTCCGAGATCTGCTGAGCTTCAGCGGGGAGGAGAGCCATCAGCTGCCGACCGACCTGGATTGGCGAAGTTTTTGAATAGGGAGCGTACGGATGCACCGGTTTTGAATTTTTCGGAGAATCTATGGAATGCGAGCGACGGCGGTCACGGCTTTCGGCTCAGACAAACCTGGTAGTAGTTCGGTTGGAGTCTTTTCAAGTCGACGATGGAACTATCAGCACGCATGACGTTGACAGAGTATGAGCTGAAAGCTTCGGGGAGTTGAATATCAACGCAGTACATGTTGTAGAGATGTTTCGCTAACCAGAGAGGGAGCTCCAGTTTCGTGTTTTTCTTGAGATTCTCCTCGTCGCTCGACGGATCCAGGAAGCCGAGTCTGGGGATACATAGGAGCCTCTTGGAAAGTCGTCGCGTTATGGGCAAAAACCAAGCGGTCAGATCCGGCGAGCCCCATCGAGAGATCGAGGTCTCCGACGAGATCAGAGTCCAGAGTGAGAATCGTACCTTGAGACCTCTTTCGATACGACGACAGGAGTCCTTTCGCTGAGCATGAGTATTTCATCGCATGAGAAATATTCCTCAAACTCACAAACGGTCCTTGCACTCCTTCGGATCCGTGACTCTTCGAGAGACGATTGATTCAATGACCGATGCATTTTGGCCCCGGTGGTGCGAGCTGTTCCAGCCGTCAAGTCGACCCACCAGCTGTGAGTCCTGGCTGCCCGCCGAAAAATTCATCCACTGTTGACTAGATGCAGCGTACGTTCCAAGGCGATCCTCTTCTATTCATGGCTCATGGCAGAGCATCTCACATGACGAGCGTCGTGGTCCCGATCAACGATCGCAATGGTTACTAATTTTCTTTATCCGTTCGAATCCCCCAGCCGCCGAGACCGCGGGAGTCCCCCGAATGCCGCAATGCCGTTTGCAACGAGACGGGCCGCTCGACTTGCTATCCGGTCGCAGACCTCCATCCAGTCATCGATGAACGAATTGTTCCATACCCGGCCCCTCTCCCCTACCGTTGACTGTCAAGACGCAAACGGAACCTGTAGGAGTTAGTTGACGGCTGAAAGATTTTTGTTCGCTTTGCTTGTAGCCGTAGATTGCGCTTCCCTTCCGCACGCAATGGACAAACTCAAGCGGGCGCTCGGCGCGCAGCCAGCAGAGGCCCAGAGTGAAGAAAACCTTTTCACCGAGGTGAGCTTGACGCTTTTTTTTTCTCGATGTGGATATGAGAAACTAGGAAGCATTTTCCCCCGGAGCCCTTCTTCCTGGGTAAACGATGTGGTGCTTTCTCTTGCGTTGGATTGATTTCGATGAGGACGGTCCCTTCGGGGATTGTGAATGCGAGAACTGTTGGTGTTACCGAGACGTGAGTCTTTCGTGTGATTGACTACTAGACGTGGTGGGAGATGTACAGGCTCACGTATGAGACGCGCCTCGAATCGGAATGCAACGATCCAAAGACGAGATGAAGTCCCCGATTTCCGCCTCATGGCCACTGATATTTGCTCTTCTCGAAGTGTTGTGGATGACAGCCGGGAAACTTTATCCGTGATCCATATCGTGGCCTAAAGCCCGAAATCGATACAGATATCTGAGGGGAGTTCCAATGACGGATTCGGATCGTCGGACTAAACCGTCCAAGTATTCCATCTTCAGAGAAGGAACCTAACGGAATTCTCTCGCATTGCAGTTGACCACCCTGTCGTGGAGCACGCGTATCAAGGGCTTCACCATATGCTTCGTTTTAGGTTTCGTATTCTCGATCCTGGTGAGTAAATTCACTCCGAATTATTAAGATCTCCATGATGAGAATGCGGCAGTTTCATGCGAAGCTCCTACTCCTCCCGAGATGAACATGCATCGACGCACTGTCCATTCCGTTCTCTCTGTTTATGCTGTTGGAAGGGAGCATGGAATTTCGACACGAGATGCAGCTTTGGTGTGAGCGTATCTGTCGAACTCTACATCGAGAACAATGTGAATGACTGACACTTGACTGGGTGTCTCTCACGCAGACTCTCAGTACAGGCTGCTCATTCAGAGAGTATCGTTCACGAGGCTCTCCCCCCTAGAAGGTTTTATTTTTCCCGGACTTGCATTTTCTTCCGGGCTAGCCCGAGGTGTCGAGGTCGATCAGCGGAGGTTGGAGGTGTTCTCCTCTACTCTACACGATGTTCTATTCTACGATATCTGTATTCGACTCATTTCAGGGTGTTGGTCTGCTCATCCTGCCGACCGGAACGAGACTATTTTGCCTCTTCTACACCTTGGGGAATATCAGCGCGATCTTCGCGACGCTCTTTCTCATGGGTCCAGTCAATCAGTTCAAGAAGATGTTCAATTCGTCTCGTTGGATTGCATCGGTGATGATGATCAGTTTTCTCATCTTGACAATGATGGCTGGACTGTACTGGAAAAAGAGAGGCTTGACAATTCTCTTCTGCATGTGCCAGTTCTTGTCGATGACCTGGTACTCGCTCAGTTATATTCCGTACGCTCGAGAAGCAGTGAAGAAAACCTTCTCGACATGCATTGATGTCTAGTTCGCGCTGATCGGGAGCTTGCGGTGCTCCTGGACTTCACGCGGAGCGACTCGACTGGGAATGTTTTTTCGAGATTTGCATTCGGTCAGAAGCCAAAGAAAGAAAACAGTCAGCCGGGAATCTCGAGCCGCTTCCTGTGGAGAACATCGACGACCTCATTCTGGGAACGGGAGAGAAATGTATATACTATTGATTCGGGAACTCTTCGTTAAACACATTGTATCCATGAACGTCTCATATTGGATGGAGGATAATCATTGCACATGTTGCAGTCCACAGTCGCGTTACGGCGTAAGTGATGAAAAAGTGACCTGAATTTCCGTGTATAAAATAAGAAAGAAGCGAGGAATAATAAAGTTTCCGCCCGACGGTCTTTGAAATTGTTCTTCTGCGTGCTGAACTGTAACGAGGGAGATGGCTCAATTCGGTCACTTCCAATGAAAAGTCCCAGAGTTATGGATAATAATAATAATGATAATATTATTAATTATAATAAAATGTAACAAACGGTTCATCGCGGCTGCTTTAGCTCATCATCTATGTACAAGTACAGGCAACATAGGAAGTCAACCTACGAACTTAGCTACCCATCATCAGCCCTCCGGTCGTCGGACCACAGCAGCGCGACAAAGGCGAGTCGGCGCCCTGCTCCGAAACGATATCCGGATTTCCCGTCACACGAATCGGATAAGCCAAGAAGATGTCATTCCCCGTGTACCGCTTTCCCCGCAGCGGACCAGCTCTCCGACGCATAATATGGGACGCATGACTAGAAGCATCCTCCCTGCGGTACCACTCTCGGCCGCGCATCTTCCTCCACAAATCAGGAACTTCCGCCCCTTAATGGCTTCCAGACTTGCCTGATAATAAGCATTTTATATGCGCTTGTAGAAAGCTCTTCTACTCGAAATTAAATTAGACTTCAGGTTCAAACTCCGAGATCCTCCCAATTTTGTCAAGTCTAGAGCCAAGCCGATGAGTGAGGAGTCGGAGTCGTCTCAGTATTCGAGGGTTTCCCGTGTCCCTGCCCCTTTCCCTTTCCGCTTCTCTCTCATTTTCTCGAGCGGGATCTCGACTAGTCAGATTCCGCTTCGACTCCGGAAAGCCGTCGACAGGAGGGCTGACGGTGGCCATCACCGCTGAAGAAAGTAAAACGAGTCAATGCATCACAAACCAAAGCTATTTTGGCTGAGTTCTTCTCGATAACAATCAAACAAATGGATTTCCCTGAAGCGCTTCACTGACATATTCTTCGCTCGCTCACATTGGTACTTATCGGTCCATCTCGACTATTCTAACTACAACTACGTTCATCTAAGATCTCTGTCGTGTGAGCCCTTTCCGCTCTCGACTGATCCGTCCTCCGACTCAGAAGACTCGACTTCCTTCTTTGAAGGATTCGTCGTCTAGTCCTTGGACTTTGTCTCAGCAAAATTTCCTCCTTCCTGCATGTAGCACGCTCTCTGCTATCTTCTCTCGCTCGATTCGATATCCTCCAACATATTCGATCTGCTGACAGCCTGCCAGCCGCCTATCCTGAATAACTAGCTTTCGTCAGGGTTGATTCTAGCTGGCTGTTCCACCGGTAGGTATGATTTGTGATTCTTTGCGATTGGCGATGCTGAGCTAAGACTGGTCATCTGGTTCCGTATTTGATTGCTGGCTCCCTCCAGCTTATCGTCATTCTTTTCTGGCTCCTCACGATGCAATGCTAACGGCAATAATTGTTCCGGATTCGATTTTCCCTGTTCCTGCTTCTGCACCGTCGGACCGTTGAAGGTCGACAGGGCTTCCGCTTCCTCTCGATCGGAATCTATTGACATTCTTCCTCAGACTAGCCCCGTTCCGAATGAAACGAACGCGCTCTTATCCATTCGATCGATCGACTGGATCAGAGAAGATGTTGCGCGGCTTCTTCTCGGCGTTCCGATGCTATCATAGTTTGCCTCTAAACGCGGAGAACTGGCAGCGTCGTGGCTATGGATTTGCGTCGCTCCGCTTCGCTCGGATACCACCGCGAGATTGAAACCACATGGGAGAAGATCTCGAACCCTCGATCAATCGGATCGCAACGAGGGAAAAGTGGCGTAATCTCTGGGAGCTCTGACATGAGACAAGACCCCATCCTCTCTTCGAGGGTTTCGAATCCCAGAGTTCCGGAAACGACGAAGAGAGTGAACCTCGAGCGAGATCAATACCCATAGAATGATAACGCTCCGAAGAGAATGGAAGGGCAAAGTGTTCGTAAATCGCGTCTCGCAGTGACAAACCGGGCTGGAAGCGCCCACGGATCGGGTCGGAGAGATCCGTCGCTTCTTTCCAATAAGTTCTGGCGACGAAGGGAATTCGAAACAATTTTCTCGATCTTGTTATCAGCACGATACTCTCTCGAAAGTTCCCCTCAATCTGTACGCGAGCGTGACGCGAAAGCGAAGAGCGGGCCTGTTAGTGTTTCTCCGAGGGACGCTGATTCAAGGCCAACAGATGGGTAAGATTCTCACCCTCTGCCTTCCATCCTGGATCCAGTCTCCACTCAGTTCTCCTTCTGCCATGACTATTGCCCAGATTCTGTGGGTTGAATCTTGAGTAGGCCTTCGGTCGAGCCAAATCACCATCCTTGAGGTCTTCTTCCGTTCTCTTGTCGTTGTGCCGCGAGCAATCCACCTCACTGTAGAGAGTTATCGTTCTCGTCGAGGGAGTCAGCTGACGGGTTTCTCTTGTGGAGCTCTCTCTCTCTGGAAGAGGAGCTGTCCACGCATACTTATATTCGCACAAATCGTTGGTGAAATATATTTCAAAGCTGTGAATATTTCTGTAACGCCTCTTCAATTCCCAAGGGCTAAGGGGCTGGCTAGGGGTTTCCAGGCATTGCTCTTTCGCTGCTTCGTTCGGCGATTCGAATCGCCAGTCTGGTCACTCAGGAGAGTCGGGTAGCTCCCAGGGCTCGTTTAAAGGCACGGGACGATTTGCGCCGATGCCGGAGATGCCCCTTACTCTCTATTTTCCCGTGAGCTGATTCTTGGTTCTTTCTTGAGTCGTTGGTTCTCATCATCGCCCGAAATGAAGTTTGCCTACCTAGTCACTTCTACCTACTACGACACGCGGGTCGGATCGGACTACTCGAGTGCCTTGGAAATGAACTCCAGAAACCTCTTCGCGTACTGCTCCGGATGGATGGTTGAGATCTCGGCTCCGGCACCGTGCTTCAACGTTTTCGCGGCTTGCGCTGTGCGCTTCTTGACGCCATAGTTCGTGAGGACGTCAACAAGAGCCATGAAATAGACTTCTTTCTTGGGGGCGTCATCGCTTGACTGGATAGCGTAGATGTCCCGCTTGGGATTCAAGGCTCCCCCTTCCTCCTCCGGGTCGAAATCTGCGTCATTGTCTCCCGACCTGATTCTGCCCGGGGAGTCGGGAGGTGTCGGCATCTGGAGCTCCGGCGACGCCGGTGAGTCTTCTTCGGCTTCGTCTTCTGTCGTCCCGCGCTCCTCCGATTCTCCACCACCGTTCTCCAGCCGTTCTTTTTCCTCTTTCTCAGCCCGCTCGCAGTCATGGATTCCTAGACATAGACTGTAGTCCATTACGTTCATCTTTGCCAAGAACTGGAAGAATAGACCGGGTTAATTTGAAACTGTTTTCTTCTATTAGAGGATGGGTCAGGGGAATTTGTTGCGTAAAGCGCTATGAGGACGGAGACGAAAATATTCATGCTACACAGTACACAGATCCGCGACCCGCTTCTAATAAATGCAGAGCTTCCCGATCAGGACATCGATGGGACTCGCTCGAAATCGCTAGAAGATTCTATTGTGGGATGACTTTTGACATCCCCTAAACTTCAGCGGTAGCCATCGCGACTTGAGACAATAGCTAGCGATTCGGTTCCGAAGTCTGGGCGTTACTCGAGACAATAACCATAAAAAGAAATCCTTCAGCTCATCTCTGCTATTTCCGTGAGCGTCTTCAAACCGTTCCTCTGCCCACTCTAGCCCGGAAAAGGACAATAAACACTCACTGTGACGTCGGCGTTGAGCATATCCATGAAGGTGGCCTTCGCGTCCTCGGTGATGTGGATTTTGGTTCCGTCTTTGATCAGATCATTGTCCTTCAAAGTGGGCAACTCTTTCTCCTTCTCTTTCTCGGATGCGTCACGATCCACCGTCGAGCCCTGGAAGAGAGCGGGATTAGGTGGAGCGTTCGATGAGAATCCAATCGAGGTTTGCGGGATAGACTCATTCAGGCTCATTCGGGAAATAATCATCCGAAATCAGCAATGGTGGATGCGATCCAGCAGCCCCTTGTTAGGAACACGATGTTAAATCTAAGGAATGAGGACAATCTTCGCAAGTAGAGTAAAGCTCTCCCGACCAATGTTTTCCGATAGCGCGGACCCCTGGCCTCCCCCCCCCTAATTAAGCAATTCTTTCCGATGCTCTCCGACGATGTTTTCTCGATTCGTTTGCCGAAGGTCGCGTGGCGCCCCTTCCTCGAATTTCAGGGACAAATCCATTTCCTTTCGAAGCGAAGCCATGCTCCGATGTCAGATCTGAGAGGCTTCCTCGAATCCAATGACGGGTCGCTAGAATTGCTCACGACTCCGACGAAGACTTGCGGGAAGAGCCGTTATCGATTTTTGCGAATCGGAGCTTCGCAAGCTGGGCAAGTCGACGAGTGGATCTGCTCGCTCTCTCCAAAATTCATGCGGTCTCTCAGCCTAGATACGTCGATTGCGGGAAACACTGCCTTTTACCGTAGCGACATTGATCCGAGAAAGATGCGAACCGAGCTCTACGCTCGAGTCGAGCACACAAACATTGCAAACCGTTACTTGAGTGAATGATGATCACGGCACCCCACAGTTACATTGAGAAACGGTTACAGGTTTCGCAGATCGAACTGGATCAGGCAAGCCCGATAGAGGGATAATCTATACCTGACGAAAGAAAATCGGTTTGAGGAATTTTATGCTGATTTTAGCGTGTTTCATTTTACAGAAGCCCTGAAAGAGAAGGCGCTGTTGAACAGCCTTTTTGTGATCGAGAATTTGATATCGAGAGCAATACGTCGAGCGCAATTCTCGAGATGTTTCTCTCCCGCAATAGCTCTTAGACGACCGCCGTTATCTCTGTCGTCGACCAGGGGTGGGGTTTAAGCAGATCCTGCTCCGAGTGCTCGCCATGAAGATGAATCAGGAGAGAGGGCCCAGATTCGGGGAAAGCATCGAGTGACCGATCGCACCGTGACGCACACAGCTCCATTCGGGAATGAATCACAATCCCGTAGGGGCTTCTTCATCGCGAGAGTTGGAGCGGCCCTCAGCAGTATCCGAGGACGCGGACGGAGGAATCTCCTCTCGCAGCCCTTTGCAGAGCAATGATTCCTTCCTGACGGGATGAAGTATACGCATCTATCGAATCCACTCACCTTGAGATCATATTTGACGTGCACGGGTAGGTATGAGGAAAAAATGTTCCTCGTAACGACGAGATACGTTTCCTGGCCTTCAACGGTCAGCCGGTACATTCCGATGTATTGCGGGAGGAGCGTTTTCCCGTGCCGTTCAACCACGTACTGAAATAACAACATTCCCGTCAAGAGCTTATAGGATCGCGCTCCCGAGTGGGCACGCTCGGCTTCGATTCGATTCAATTATCGTGTGAGAACCCATTAGACGAGAATTGATGACGCCGTTTTGCGTTCGAAATTATTGGGCTCATTATCGAGAATCATTCCGCATGATTATGCTTCGCTCACAGGGTGGTAATGCTTGAGTAGGACGTGCATCTGTTCCACCTCCTCGGTAAGGAGGGTCTTGATGATGAAGCGTCGGTCGTACGAAAGGTAGAACTTGGCCCCGCTCTTTCCCGGCGAATCTATCGCGACCGCTTGAGATTTCGTCAATGAGTTCTGAAAAAGGAGAATGTTTAGATTCGGCCAGAGCCCCGCTGGCGAAGGAGTCCGTCACTCGGGCAACCGATAGACCCCCTGCACTCTCTGATCACATTCCAGTGATTTCGGAGTCTAGAAGCAAACTCTTCCCAAAGAAATCGCTTCCCCATCTTTACGAAAAAAGTGGAGATCCGCTCCAAAAAAAGCACTCCATGACATTAGCTCCGACCCTTAATTCATTGTGGGAGTCCCAAAGCTCCAGGGTTCAGGGATCCGTAGCCCCATGTCGAACACATGAGCATCTGATCGATTTTTCATACGAAAAGATTTGTTCTGGGAGCCTTGAATCCTCTGTACCCTGTTCCACACGGCAGATGCCGAGAATCTCATCGGTTCAGGCTCTCAATCTGCTTATCCTTCCCAACGGTCTCCGCGTTGCTGGTCTCCGGTCGGTGGGATGAATAATATAACTTCTAGCTTCAGCAGAAGCTTCTCGGAGGTGAGGCCTTATCAGCCACGTCAAAAACGATTTGTCAAAGCCGACTCTGAAGCCTTTGTTTCATTCGGTCTCATGAGGTCCTCTTCGTCAGACTAATCCTGGAAGCCTCCGGCACTCCCGTGCGATCTGGCTCGTATTAAATTCTGCGAGCCAGAGCGGAGTCCTCACGGAAGACTCAATGCATTCCGGAAAAGAGCCCGTACCGGACCTGAATCCCCGATTATATCCCTTACCCCGCTCCTCCCGAATACTACCGAAGATATTCCTCGACGCGCTCTCGTTCGACCAGAGGAGGGGCTTCTCGGAGTGTGGATCGCGAATCGCGACCCGAGACGATTGTTGTGAGAGGTCCCTTGTCCATGCCCGAATGTATGTCGGCATACAATTGGAGTTCACGGTCGGTTGCGACGAGCTGTGACTGATTGACAGCGGCAACCAGATCGTCCAAGCACGCGCCTAATCTCACAAAGTGGCTCCGTGTAATCCGGGATAGGACAAGGCACAACGAAGGCGCTCTTCCAAGCACCTCAGCGACTTGAAGTGCCGTCATGGCGGAAGCCGCCCCGCAGCTTCATTGGCAGTCTCCGGAACTGTCGAACCGTCCGCTCAGCCCGTGTCCTCCGGATGGGACGAGCAGTCGAGAGGAAAAAATAAAAAGCAGGCCAGCGAGTTATTTTTAGAAATCTCTCTGATGAACCGAAAACCTTATTTCCCTTCAGGACGGCTCCGCTCGGATTCAAACATCTTCGGCCGGAGCCTTTGTTCTCTCTCTACTGAGAAAGCAGGCCAAAAGCGGAGAGATCCGATACTACATAAGTCGGAACGAAGGAGCAATGGTAAGCGTTTTTTTTCCGGTAGAGAGACATCTCTTCCGCTCTCGGGGAAATATGTATTCCTCCTACGACCATAAACGAGCTCTTCCGAGGCGGGTCGATTGACAACCGAATCATAGGCCCATGTTTTTCATTCTTTCTCCCATGAGGACAGGCAGCGGCCCGACTCGAGTCACACTGCTGGCCTCGGTCCTATCGCGGTCCTCCTGGTACGCGCACTCCAATTTGATTTTTGAAAGACACTCCGAATCGCAAGAGGATTCGATTACGTATATGATAAGAAGCAGTAACTTCACTCTTGATGCGAGTCCAAGTCGCGGGAATTCTCACCAGGTATTCTCCGTCGTCGATGCCGAACCTCTCTCGAAGATTGCGGAATACCAAAGGGCAGTATTCCTTCACTTTGAAGTGGGATGGCATATTTCTCTGGAAAAAAAGTAGGAACATTTTACGCTTTGCGCTTCGAACTCCGTTCCGTTTAAGAGAGCAGAGAAAGAAATCAGGATGCATGTGAGAGGGCTTCTCGAACATTTGGAAAAAAAACGGCACTCGTCGCCTGAAAGCAGCTGTAACAAATTGCGGATGGTAGGCAGGTGTCGAACGTAATTCGGAAGACGTGTCTCGAACAGCTGCGAGCAACCTCGCTGGTACATGCGAGTGTGCTATTTTGAGTCTGGGCAGGGTGAACGGAAGCTGACCAAGGCGACGAGCGGGAAGTGTATAAGCGGAGAAGAGGCGGTCTTCAAAGATTTCGATAATTGGTCGTCTGAGCCTGGGAACTCGACCATCCAAGTCTTTGATGATCCGCATGACCCAGGTTCAAGAGCGCTGGTGGGACAGATCAATCAGGGAGGAGAAACGACCTGTCGATTTTGTCTCTCGTCCCGCAGAAGGGGAAAAGAGCTGAAGGGGGTTTGGTCGCTCCACACCTCATGTCCCGCTTCACGGGTCTGGACTCCAGGAGAGCTCGACCCATAAATTTATTCTTGCCCTCCCCTATTCTATCTGCCAGAAGCACTCCATGGATCGATATAAGCTTCGCTTGTTGGAGAAGGGGCCCGGCTTTTCATTCAAATTCCTCTAGCTGCCGTCAAGCGCATACAAGCTCCCTGACTTTGAGCTTAATTAAAACTAGGTGACGTCAGAGGTTTGTTCGCGGTCATACCGAGCTTGTGACCTATGGACGATCTGATTGGTCGGGACGCTGTCAACTCATTCGCTCGGTTCAGGGTGCGGAGCGCATTTTCGTAATATTCCAACAAGCGACCTTTGAAGGCAGACTTATCGAAGAGAGCATGAAAGCGGAGGAGAAGTTGATTGGCTTCTACGAATCTGAAAGCTCTTCCAGCTCGACTTCGTTCCGCGAGAGAATTGAGACCATAAGCCGAGCATATGGACCATAGACGATAACTCCATGCTTCAACCCGTCTTATGACATGGGCGAGAATACCGGAGTCGAGGACTCTTTTTTGAAGAATAAACGTGTTTACGCTCAGTATCATGCTTCTCGGAGTAAGGTGCGATCGTCTTCATCCGCGACAACTCCGCAAATATTGATAAGGAAGTATACGAGGTGTGTGATTGAGCTCATCGGCTAGGGCGTCATGAACTTCCGGGAAGAGAGAGTCATTGTCGGTCATGAGATTTTTCGGAGCTTACTCGACTCGGGTACACCCGACTCGTGGTTCCGGAAGAACTCGCAATCGCATTCACATGAATAATTATAATTAGTTTGGAAGGCTTGATCTTGTGATCATGGGATCGATCATCTCATGGCTCGGTGATCACAAGCACACGATCTCAAACAGATACCGAACTGGCCTATTGAATCACATCGCGGCTGAAATCAGACATTATCAGCGCGGGACGGAACGGCACTCCGGAAGGGCAGTCTTCTCCGATCCAGAGCTTGACGAGAGGTCCTCCGCATATGCTCCCACGGCTTGGAACGAAATTCTTTCGAATGTGCAGCTCCGCTGCAGTTATGAGCGGAGGACAGACAGACTATGAATGTCTCGCAAGAATTTCTTGCGACGAAGCTGAGGGTGAAATGAAATTTCCTTGGACGTGACGGGCATGCTTAACAGCAGAACGGACTCTCTGTACGTACAGACTCTGTGACCTCGCATCCAATCGGACAAGAGATGTTTTCGTTCTTCTCCTCATGGCTAACTTGTTGCTAAACCAGACATGTTTATCCGAGAAAACCACACTCGGATCATCCGACTCCTAGTTTCGTCATCATCGTTTCTTTCCCGCTTGCGAAAAGCCGACGCGAGACTGTGATCGCCACCTTTCGATACCTGGCAGCAACGGGAATCCCGACTCTGCAGCCGAGTCAGAACGACTTCCTTTCGGCTTTCGGTCGTGCTATCAGCGTTTTACGCGCGATACATTCGCTCGAGAGTTGCGGTTCCCTCGTCATAAACAGGCCCGGCAGGCAGCGGGCTAAATCCCCTGCATTATCTATCCGTATCTTTCGTGAATGCGAAAACACCCGTCAACCGATTCGTTTGCGGTTGAGCATTGTGTCAACGTTCCCGCTACTCGGCGTCCGTCGACGCGCAATATCATACTCTATCGTGTCTGGTCTCAAAAGGACGAGTATCGCTGTTTCAGGCTCTTCTCGTCGCCCATCGACCGCAACCTGAGGCGTTGCTGGCCACGTCCGGATGTCTCCCTGTGGATGCGGGGCCCGAAAATACCATCCATGCCGCAGCGAGCCGCGGTGCAAGCGAGGACACTACACTGCCGGATGGGAACGCATTGGACGATACTTCTTATCTTCAAGGGAGCACAGGGAAACTGAATCGACAAAATCAGCAGACTTACTTGTTAAAATGGTGATGGTCGACTTTGATTTTCGTGAAAGCCTTGAAGTCATCGGGCATCAACATCACCGGAATGTTGACGTGCGTGAGACCGTTGATCTGTAAGGAACAGTCGGAAATGAAGCGACAACTGATAATGAGGATCATAGTAGTTACTGGCGGCGAGAAGCGATTGAATCTGGCGGGTCAGCTTTGAAACTCGAAAGGACCCAAATCTAGGTTTCTGTCGGGACATGGATGAATCGGGTTCCGAAGGACAACGGTGCGCCCCAGCTCCCCACAGCTCCGCTCTCGAACAATGCCAGCGATCGGAGAAGTCCTTTATCGCGACCATTGGCCCGAGCCGTGCTCTCACTGCTGCTTAATCCGCACTGCGAGCCAGTAGATTCCACGCTCCGCCATGGATTCTTCAAAAACTCGAGGAAGTCGGATAAGGTACGAAGCCCCTTTATGGGTCTCTATGTCTCTACACTGAAAGGCTCATACTGCTGGTATTGAACCGAGGGCTCGTCTTCTGTGCTCTGAGTGAGTTCTCTGGCCCCAATTTTCCGGACGAATGCAGATCAGTGAACCTCAGCTTCTTGGGCTCAATCAGAGAAACAGAAATCCTTGGATGAGGAACAGACTCAGTCGGAAGGAAAATCGTTCCCCGGTGCACTCCAAACGAGCTTGGAAGATTGCAAAGAATCAATCGAAAGTTCCAGCCGGCGAGCGCACGAGGCCCGCCAACGGCAACCTCACGAGCATTCAGTGTGGGAGGGCTTCGATAATTCAATCGCTGATCAGGAAACTTCAAATCATTCCCAAGTCACTTGAGGCTCTTCAGACGACGAGGACGACGGTCGACGTTGAGTTCGGACCTCAAACTATACTTCAAGATCCGCCGCGAGGGATGAGAGTCCACTTCAGCATCGAAGCTCGAGGAAGATCTTTCTCGCGAGAGCAGACCTCCAACTCGTGTGCCCAGCTCCTTCGAAATCGTTATCGGGCGTTCGTTGCGGGAGTGGGCGCCGCTGATTTCGAGCCTGAAGACGTGATTATTTGACCGAGTTCTGACTGCTTCATACAAAGCCACCGCTCGCCTTCCCAATTTAACGGACGAAGGACGTGTTGGTGCGTTCCCCTCCCCCACGCTGAGTGAGGGACACTCCACTGACACTCCTTCTCCCGTGAGATTCGACGTCTCCTACACGAGAGTTTCCGCCGAGGCGAAGGTCCCACACGAGTGGCGAAACAGCGCCAGAGACCTCGATGTCTTCGTAGCCGAAGGGATCGAATTCATCAAGTCTGTCCCTGGCTGCTCTCCGTCCCCACTCCTCCCCTCTACCCGATTCTTCCTTGTAGAGTACGGTCAACTCCATCAAAAAAACAGAAGAAGAGCTTCCACGCTTTTTTCTGGCTGGCGGCTTGCTCGGAGGGCTCTCCCGTTCGTTCGGTTCGGTCTTCTCCCGCCTCTGAGGCAGTGCAGAGTAGAGTCATTAGGCCAACAAGAGCAGGATAAGATGTTTTTGGATGACTCTGTCGAGCGATGGCTGTAATTCTTGCCTCGCTACTCTATAGACCGAATGCTACATGAGAAGCAACATTCGCTTGGAGAGAAGCACCGTCATAATAGCCCAACACGTATAGCAGAGATGACTCACTACAGTAGTCATTTCGCAGATGCTTCGAACCAAAGTCCATAAGGGCTTCGGTTTCTCGATGTTTTGCAATACTTGTGGTGCGCAGACCGAACCAACCCCCCCCCCCCCCGATTCCGAAGATTGATTAGTTATACTCGTTCCTTGATACCAGGGGATAGCTTTTTTGTGAAGCATCCCGCCGCACAAATTGGCAGAGCATCCGCATCGGAGTATGGAAACGGGCAGAAAGATCGATAAAATCAATAGGGCTTGAAAGTTTCAATGCGTAACACCTCTGAGGGGAATGCAACACCGGGACGAGGAATTCCAAAGATGACGTTTCCGGAACCCTCGAGAAGGACCTCATGGCGGAACGCCTGAGTTTTCCATGACTTGTCCTCGATGCTTCGGTACAGCCGCGCGGAATTCAGGGCTATTGGATCTATCTCAACAAGGTGTCCTGAGCGTTCAAAACTCTCAAGCCTTGTGAGTGTTGTGAGCATGGATCGATCTCAAGACGGAAACACAGGCGAGAGGAATTCGATACATCGCTCCCCATGATTCCTATATCGGAATCGTCTATGAGGGACCGTCGCGTCGGCCAAGCGGCAAGTCCGTTCCCGCTTGACGCAAGGCAGAAGAAATCCCGGATTACGAGCGCGACGGGAGATTGTCCGAGAATAGCTCAAGAGGTTTTCCTTGGACGTATACTAGTGGAACCGAGCGCGGAAATTTTCCGGAGCATGTTTCTCGGAGGTCGGGATGGAAAATAACGCATCCACTGCCTTCCGGAAGGATTTGACGGAGCGCGCGCCGTTGTCCACGTCGGAGAACCACTCCGGGAACCGAGGTCTCTGCTTGAGGTGAAGACCGTTCGATCCCGTATTCCGTCGACAGCTCGACATCGAATCTAGGACGTTTCTCCACGATTCGAATCGATTTCTCCTAGTGATTATTGCCGGTGCTGTGGCTTGTGCCTCGCATCTCAATGGAACTTACTCCTCCGCTTACGCACGCGAAACCAGAGCGAATGTCGTTGTTGCAGAGCTTACGATCAGGTCTATTGTTTGCCGCCATGAAGCTGTGGCGATAGCAGCGGGATCGAGCGCTAGGGCGAGAATGCATCGAGATTCGATAGAACTTCTCAAAGAGATTGGAATCACTGCATTGTTCTCTCCGTATTTCCCCCCCGGCTCCGAGTAGATCCGGAATTCCTCATCGGATCGATGTGAAAATAAAAACGTTGCCAATGGACTTGCTTGGCAAGGGCGTCCAACGGCAGCGGCCCGGTGCAGCCGTGGACAAGGTCGACTATAAACGAATACTGGCGCCGGGCTTCTCGGCCTCCAGACTCCTTTCTCCTCGGGACTCTTTTCTCCTTCACGTCCTCGACGTCCAGAGATCCGAGCGAATGTCTTATCTCGCGCGCAGACAGCCGGACATACATACAGAGTTGGTGCCCGCCCGTCGGCTCGACGGCCGGCGAGAGCCCCTCCGTTCCGCGGGTTTTGCCCGCCTGAGAATGCCTCACGTGAGAGACAATAAATGGTTGCGGCGCATAGCATTTTCGTTCAGATGCAGCTCTACCGATTCGAAATGTAGAGCAGAGAGCAGTCTACGAGTACTCTCGCCCGAACTCGTGTTCTGCGAGCTATCGGGGAGAAGATACGAAAGGAAACGAGCTTGGTCGGCTTCCGAGCCCATTTTCGGTGGTTGGATGACATCGAGCTAATTGTAAGAGAGCTTTTCCCAAGACGCTACCAGTGTTCTCTGTGAGAAAAGAGGAAATCAGGCGCTCTTGAATCTGCTGCAGCCGGACAGCTTCGATTTCTCGGCGATTATCCTGCGCGAAGCAGCGACGGCGCTTAGGGTTTCCGGCACGCCCATACGGCGAAACATAGTGATAGATATTTTGAGAGCGGCTTCCTCTGGGTCAAGAGCGCGACGGAACTAAGGAATCTGCTCAGAGCTCTGAGCATATAGCGCACCGGAAACAAAAACCCGCGCGCGAGCTTCCGCGATTCAAGGTTATTGGGGAAATCGAACACGACACCGGTAAAGGGCATCGAAGCTCCTGATCGGGTCCGTATTCTGTGAATTCTCGTTTCCCTTCGAGATCGATTCCACATCCTCGGACTTGAGGGGCTGCCGTCAATGCGATCGGAAGGCTTGAAAATCTTCGAAATATCGAGAGTTTTCTAAGGCTCCAAGGATTCTCCCTCTGGCCGCCGTGAATCCCCGGACATCGGAAGGAACGGCGGGACGGATCACGATTCAAGCTCACAAAATGAAGGAACGAGTTGTTCGATGCCTCAGCAAGGAGATGAGTCGAGAAGTTAGGACCTCCCCCCCCGAAGCTTACCTCGGGGGAGCTTCCTGTCAAGCTTCCTGGCTCACTCACTCCCACGACAGGGCCGAATATCCGAGGCATTCAGTTTCCCGGAGGGGGGAAATCATCCGGAACGCGAGAGGGGGTGCTCCGAACAGCAAGTCTCTCACATGGGTAGGAGAGGGAGTGATTTTTTTTCTTCTCTGGTTGTTGGTATTCTTCTGCGTACTGATTACTGATCATCAGACTCGCATCTGATTCGAGGAGCTCACCGCCTTCCCTTCGGATGCAATCGAAAAGAGGGCCTCGGTGTAATCTTCGGAGTTGTAAACCCTCAGCTTGGTACACTCGTCAGGCCAGCCCTCCGAGATCCTGGCACGCAGAATCCGCCGGCCATATAACGGCGGAATGCCCCGCGGGTTATGGCGCACGAATTATTCGCAGCCCATCATTACCTGCGAAATCACTGGGCCCGGTATAGAGGCATCCATGACGAGACGTATTCGGTGTGGGACGTGAGGCCATCATTTATATGTCGTCCTGGTATTCTAAGGACGGGACGGAAAGCTGATACGGTTTTCCGTATAGGATATATAATTCTTCAATAATGATCTGCTCATCCTTCAACAAAGCGGCATGAGTAGATACTTAACGCTATTTTCCTGAGCGGACGCGTCGACCGCATCGAATCGTGAGAACTCCGAAAGTTCCGAGATGAGTTCGGGCATCAATCGAGCAACAATGAGCGCGCGGCCAGGCTATGGGATCTCAGCTAACATTAATGAAGTGTTCATCAAGGACCACCGTGTTGTCTGAAGCAACTACGCCGTCGATTTTTCCGCCAGACTCCCTCTACAGACGCATGGGACTGCGTGTGCGACCGGTCAGTCTGCATCGCACGTCAAACAAGTAAAAATAACATTTTCCAATTGGACTCAATGGAGCTTATGCGCATCGTTCGTATGAAATAACTGGCGCGATCGCCTCGTCAACACGTCGCAGCAACATTCTATTGCTGGGAACAACTGCCTCGCTGACTGACTGACAAAGCGAGCGACCCAATTGATGACTGACTGACCGGCTAACTGACTGGTTGGTAGGCCGTCTCATGGGAACTGGTCTGGCGACTGTCAGAAACCCGCACGAAATGAACTCCGCGCCGCGTTTCCGGCGTCGTGTTCAAGGATTCGCGCACCTGTTTATCAGACGAAAGTCCCGCACAAATCCTCATGCGTGTAACAGACGGCGACTCTAGGAAGCGTTCGACCGCCGTCGTTCAATAACGTCTCGGGGCGAAGCTCGATAACAATGAATATTATTGCGTCAATACTGCTTGTTAACGGCTGGTAGAGACAATTATTGTGGACAGCTCCCGAATGCCTTCAATCGAAGCGTGCCTTCCAAGTCACGCTGCCGGTCACGGTTCACGGTTCCCCGGGAGCAGCTCGCTCAAACAGTTATTCGGCGAGGTTTACTGACATTTGCGATTGATGGAATGATCGCGATAATCCATGATTTCCCTCATCATCCCTTGAAAGACGGGTGAATGAGACCCACAATGCTGCACATTCACTCACTTACCGACAGGATCGTTTCATTCGGACAACATGGCATGCACACGCATGGATGAAAGCAATCTCACGACTCACGACAGGGTGATCTGCGGCGCATTTCGGGGCAGAAACTGCTCCTTGGAGGAGCGAACACCCGCGGTTCTTGGGGGACCGATGCCAGACGGATCGACTTTGGCGGAGACTCCTCGGCACTTGAGCTCCACTAGGGTATCGTAGCACTCCGTCTCCTAAGTAAACGCTCCGCACTCAGCAAAACCTCGGCTTGGTCGGCGGAGCCCGATCCTTCGAGCCCGATGACCGCATCTATGGCAGAACCAGGAATATCGGCCACCGAGCTAGGAACCGCGTCCCCGGAGAGCCCGGAAGGCAAATATGGCCACGCAATTCAGGACTGTTTTTCAGTGCAGATCATTTCCTTGCCTCCATTATGTCGCGATGGATAGACTCTCTGTCTCTCACAACCTTCATCGTTTGCATCAATAGCAGAAAGATAATGATTCCCAGGAGATTCCCGTCGGGAGATGCTCCAGAGAGAGAATCATTTTATCCAGACATGAGAGACGATTCCAACCTCAGACGCGAGTTTTCTCCATCCATCGGATTTCGTACCGAAATCTCTTCATGATCGGAGAAGACCATTGTCATACCTCGAAGCGATTTTCCGTCTCGCTCAGCGACGTCAGGTAGTTAATCAGTTGAATCCGCGCATGGATGCGTATTCAGCAGATTGATTATGGTCTCCCAGCGCGCATTAGGAACTCTCCTGGGGAAACCTGTCGACTGAAGCGAATGATTTCCACGTCGAAAACTTGTTCCGGGGAGGCCAAGCGAGTTGCGAGGCGATTTTTCCGAAGTCGTCTCGCAAATTCCGGGATTCGGGACGGCTCGAAGCATAGGAATTAGGCCCGAAAATATTCGAAAACCAGAGGGAGGGCTCGCTCGCCGCGCTCCGGAGTTCCATCAATGGAGGGATCGCATTATACTTTTCAGAATTGAGCATTCAAGCGGTGAGTGACATTCCAGACCGGAAGATTCCTCTCGCAATACCGAGTCTCGCTTCAGTCCCTCCATATTCGCTCTTTCCTTCGGACATTCCGCACATGCTTCATAAGTCAGCGTATCTGAAATCTACTGATTGCTCTATGAGGACAAGAAGCGATTGAGCCTCGAGGTCTCCCGAGTATTCGTCCCATCGATAGACAGAGAGGTTTCGAGGGACGAGACATCTTTCGGAACAACATTTTTCGACAGATAGAACAGAGAACATTGAGGATAAGCGATGGATTTCTCAGAAACGTGAATTGAGGGTTTTCCGAGAGGATACTGACGGAAACGACAGAGGCGTATCAACCGAGCATCTTCGTATTCGAGACGACATCTTACAGTATCTTAACTTTATGACTTTCGGGAAAGACAGCTCAACCCGTTTGACCATGATAGCAGTTGTGCCGAATATCCTATCCCGTTGATAGTGAAAATTGTTATTGTTCTCTAACGAATGCCCATGACCAGAGGCGTGCTGCGCGGGGCGGGGCAAATTACGAACTGAACCATCGAGCCTCACACCTGCCAATAAGCGAAAATTTCATGTACACCTGCGGGTATCGACCGCAGATCACAAGATGTTCTTCGCGTTTCCGCAGTGAGTGAGAGCGCAAATATCGCGGTCAACCAAGAGCGAGGTTCAGCAAAAACCTTGGCCGACAAAATATGTTCTGCCGAAAACGAGAACCCAACGGATCAAAAGTGCGCGGGACGACACACTGAGCTGTGGATTGGAAGCTCCCAGGCTCGAAGGATATTCGGTTTCGGAGAGTTAGGCATGGTTGTTAGCGAGACTGTACGTATCCGCAAGCAGATTACGTTCAGCCATCATGTCCAAGGTCTTGTCAGCTCCTTACTTTCCGGGTTATTCCAGTCTCAGACGGTCGAATTATCTCGTTGTACATATATCCGAGAACTTCTCAGCTATTCTCCTCATCCTCCTTGTCCGATTCAAGCAGCTGTGCCGCGTGCGTCAGATTTCCGTAGACTACATAGTTTAGGCTGTCTGGCATTGACATAATCCGCATAATCATATCTTATACTATGATAAAAATAACAATGATGACGAATATACGGGACGTACTCCGATTCGATTTACGAGAAAGAATTGAAGCCTCACGGAGCGGCCAGCCGAGAGTGAACTCCACGCACTTTCGACCAACCCCGACAAGCGGAGGGACACTCCCTGTTTCTCTTGTGCGGCCTCAAGCCTCTTGTCAGGTTGGCCTTCACACACTTCATAATCACACACCGACGGACAGTAGGCGATCCACGCAGGCAGCCAACCGAAAATTCTCCCATTCTACTCGGACGAAAGAATTCTTCATCCGTTGCGACATCGATTGCTCTTGTGGAGACTACGTCCCACGACGGAATTCCTTGGAGTAGCCCGATATACATATGGTTACGGATGAGCGGTTCGCTCCGATGCTCGCTTTCGTCCGAGAATCGCCTCGAGCTTCAAAACTACGAGGCTCGTAAGCAGTCGACTCAGTTCATAAGCGGAGACGAATGATCGCGGGAGGATAATTCGTCGAAAGCGCAAGCGAGCAAGGGTGCCGCCTCAGTGGGAAAACATATCTAGTGATGCGACGAGGGGATAATCTAAAAGAGGGGATAATCTTTCTCTGATCGCTTCAGCGTATAGTCAGCTCAATTTGAGACGGATTGAGGTTCATGAACAAACTTACCGTGTGGTTTACGCCCCACATGAACACACTAAGCAGAGGCTCGTTGGCGCGGAACAGCTTTGCTTTCTGGTGTTTCGGTTTAAGATGCTTCTTTTTGAGGCGACTAGCGCTCTTTGCTACGGAACTCATCTCTTCGCTGTTAGTTTCCGATTTTCTCACTGCTTCCCAAGCTTAAACACTGAGCCTCCTCTAGCACGAGAAGAGCTTTTCCGTTCGTGGAAAACGTTCCCTCGAATTCGATGCTGGCGATTCTGATGTTGTCACTGTTGTTGTTTTGATAGGTGCCGCCTAGTTCGGTCGAACGAGCGAGCAATCCGTTCGCTGCGCACGGATTCCGTACGTCAGTTTTTATGACGAGAGTAACTCTTTTAAGAGTCACAAAGCAACAAATGCTCCTGCCGCTGCTTCCTCCCCACCTGCCCTTGGCGTCGAACTATTCGGGCGGTCACCAATTGACTGGTCCACGGAAAACGCACCGAAGAACTTCCCGTTGAGGTAGAGAATCGGCCGTAGAAAACGTTGCTGTCGTCCCGAACGAGCTCGCCGCTGCCAGGTTCTCCACAAGTCGGATTAGAGCCAGCTTGCATTTAATCGCCCCACATCCTCTTTCGAATCTTGACGTGGAGATAGGCACCGGTACTTTCCTTGGCAGCAAATTACTCCCAACGCGAAAACAACAAGCGAGCGACCACCGCAACAAAACAACAATCTTCTTCCCCTTGGTTTTGCCGCAGTGCTGCTACCACCGTCGTAGACGTCGGTGTGATTGTTTTCTACCGCCGCACCGAGCACAGGCACATCTCTGAGACACCAACACACCGACTTAAATGGCCCGGCACTCAGGAACCGAGAATTGGGCGCTAGAACCTGAACAATTCCGTCACCTAGCAGGACCGACCGATCAAATGACTGATCGACGGACCCTCGGTTCGACGTCTGCGATGGGTTCGTCTACGGCCGACAGTACCACCGAGTGGACATCAAAGTCGGCTATCAGGGCCGCACGGGTTGAATAGCGTACGTCGGTACGCTTCCACTCGCACCTGGAAACACCGTACAATCGACGGGATGCGGCTCTGAGGGCAATCCCGTACAAAAAGAACTTGAGGTAAATTCAAGAAAAATGGAATCTGAAGAGGGGAGAGTGGAGACAATGGTGCCGATGATTTTTGCTGGGCCTGCGAGTGAGAGCGGGCTCTTCCTTCCCCTATTTTGAAAATTGGTGGTCATCATTTTTTATTACCTCTGGAAACTCATTGCCAGCACTGTGATGCTGTAATCCTGAGAACGGACGATTGAGGGTTACGAGAACGCCGGCCCCTGGAGTCAGGTGATTCGTCGATAACCGACATGGCACCGAAGGAATTTTTTGAAAAAAGAACGGGCTCATTCCCGACGAGATCGAAATCATCCGTTCGGCACGGCGGTTCTTGAAAATATCCTACAGTATTCTAAAGCCCTGGGAGAGGGCTGAGGGACCACGAGATTCTCACGAGGAATCTTCCGTGAACCAACGTTCAATAGGATAGGACTATCATCTTCCAGAAAAGGCGGGAGGAGCCGCCCAACCGTGTTCAAAACCTGAGCAGAAATCATCAGCACCATCATTTCCAATTTTCGATCGCTGCTGGAGATTTCCCCCTCTTGGGATTGACTCGTTCGGATGACGCTCTGCCGCCTGCCTGCATACCATGGTGCGAAGGGGAAGATGAGGAGATGAATCCAATGAGTTCCAGACTCGCTGACGATAGAGGACGAATACGCGGGAAGTCCCACAGGGGGCGCTCCGAGCTGCAGAGCGAGCGGTAAATCGCAGTGGATCGCGCGAGAGATTATTCCGCGATCAGCATCATGCATCATGCCGCACAGGCCCTGAGTGTCAGCAACATATAGGAACAACACTTTCGAACTCATGCGTTATGGATCATGAATATCCACAGCAAGTAGAGCCAACACTCTTAGACGTGGGGAATCCGCGCGCCGCGTTCATTGGCCGTATTCTTGAAAGGTTGCTCCGGAGCGTTTTTTTTCCGGTGACGCTCCCATGCAGGAAGAAAACTGCATCATTGCAAAACTGCTTGAACAGGAATTTACGTGTCCGTCTCTTCCTCTGGCATGCCGTATAAGAACCCTCTCTCGTGAAGCGAGAGCGGGGCCCTCAGGGGGGAGCCGCGGGTGCTTTCAAATCCAATGCTAGTGGAGACTGATTGCCCATGACGGGCTCGGAGAACCTGGCTTGCAATATATTTCCCTAGTGAGAAGTGAGCCTCTGATGATGGTTCCTGACCTCATCAGTAGAGAGCAAGTCGAGGCCGTTGCGTGCTGTATAGTCCGAGAATATCTTTTCCGCAAATCGCAACAGATAGCGGTGAGTTCCTCGCCGCGTACTGCCGTGCTGTCATACGATCAAATGAGGCGTTCGGTTGCCCGGGTTACTACAGATGCCGGCATCAAAGCCGAATCACTCCATGAGCTCGAATGGGTTCCGCGATATTAAATTCAGTGGGAAAATGGGTCGCCGTCGACTTCATTTCGCATTAGGTATCTCTTCCGTAGGTCGCATAACGAGTGTTCCCGATCAAGCAGGAGAAGGAGAAGGGATCCGAGAGCCGTAGCGGCTCGAGCTTTTCCACATATGCGATGAAATTGCGAGCCAGAGCCTGACCCCGATTCCCCCGAAACCCTTAGGGAAACAGGGGTTCGCGAGAATTCACCATCCTGAATGTCTAACTAATAGGTAGTTTTTGACTCAGGATCTCCGCGACGTTCTCTCAGCCATGGAGAAAGCGTTTCCGCGCAGCGCCCTCTGTTTCCAACAGCGTGATCAGCTCATCCGCGCGATCTATCTGGAGAAACCTTGCAGGGAAAACAAGGTTCGTATTCGAAATGCTCAGTTCTCCGGCTATCTCTTCGCTCTCGACCGAAGAACGTTGTTGACGCGAACGGACCGCACTGGATACAAAGATTCATACCACCCTCGTGAGCAATATCGATGTTCGAACGCATCGGGATCAAAATTTTTGGGCATCATGTTTGGTGTGGGGAATGAAGCTCTCTGTCTGTGGCAGGGCTCGGAAATATGCTACAAAACACTCCTCGAAATAATCGTCGCTGATCGTTTGGAGAAACGACGGCTGAGGAATCTCGTGAAGGACATGGATCGCTCAGGAAACAATGTTCGTGCCCCGGATCTGGAACACAATGGTCCTCCGAGCCGCGCCAAGGAAGAAGATATCGGGCTTGAAATCAGTCGCCGAAGTCCTGTAGGCATTCCTGCGAAAGGTTAGAGCTTCCATCTGAGGAGGCACCATACCGGGCTCTTTATCACTCCGACGGGAGATCTATCATCTCGAGTCATCGCTCCATGTCGGTAACTTCGCGTACTCGTTCCTCAGTAACAGCATCGATACTGGCACCGAGAGCCAATCGCGACCGGAACAAGGCGTCCACGACAACACGGACGAAAAACAAGAGAATTTTCGATACCCCCGAGGATGCTTCGTCAAGCGAAGGAGATGAAGAAGACTCGCCGAAGGTGGACTCTCGAGCCGAGTGTTTCCTGCCATTCTTATCTTGCTAGACACCTAGATAAGAATTATATGTTCACGAATTCCACAATGCAGGGACTTCGATATTGACGACGTCCCTCTGTTTTTTTGCCAAAGGAAAAAGGCCAGGAGACTCGACTCAGACCCCAGAGCGCGCGCTTCAGACCCGAGCAAATGAAGGACGGTCAAGCGAAGGGTAATTTTCCGAAATAGGCATCGAGAGAGCCGAGGGTCGCGCGGAGGGTAACCCACTCTTTCTAATTGACCGAATACTTCCAGAAAACGAGCTGCTCCGTCGAAAGTCTGCGTGGTCCAATATGAGCAGACCCACAACGGGGAATTTTCACAGAAGTCAGTTTCCTTCTGCGGACAGTCCGATCGCACCACTGAAGCCGATGAGCTCAGCGCGCCTTTCACCAGGCGGCTTGGAGAGGCTTGCTTCGGCGACTTCAGCCTCAGCTCTGCTCGAACGAGCGGACGATATCATCAAGAAGAAAGCAGCACAGGTAGCGACGAGAGTTGAAGAATTGTCAGCGAGAGAGAATCGGCTCGCCTCACCAAGTCACGCTCATTCCTTGTTCAAGATGAACGTGTCATCCCCTGTGGGATCCGGTTCGCGATCACGTAGATCGGAACTCAAAAACGAAGACATATCTTTCGAAGATCTCAGCATGCAACCCGACGACCACGGAGCGGGAAACCGCTACGCGAACAAAGTCTTTGCGCAGAGAAAAATTACTGTCAGCGAGAACGAAGTTAGTGGCGACAGCTGCCATTCCATGAATTCGATAAGTTTCATCCGAGGTTTCCACGATGGGAGGTTTCAGATATTATTCACCATTGGCGGAAAGAGATCCTGCCGGGTCTCACTTGGTCGAGTCATGCCTGTCTGTATTCCAGCAACTGCAGGTGCTGCTCTTCGGCAGCGCAAACCGATGTTTCGGTGACGAATGGCTGCAGCAAAGCCTCGAGTTTGCTCGCGAAGACAGCGATGTGCCCTACGGCTTGAAGCAGCTCAAGGGCGGCCCCTGCGGAGTCTTGGCCGTCACACAGGCGTACCTCTTGAAGCACCTACTCTGGCCCCGAGAACATCTTGAGTAAGCGGGAGTGAATTCAGCTGAAGCCCTGGTTGTCTATTAGTCGGGGAAAAGTATTGGGAGGAGTGAAGCTCAATCGATACACCTCCGATCGAATTAGGCTCAGAATTGAGATTCTTCCCAACAGAAACGCAGATACACCGAAAAACTTGAGACCCTCCGATCAGCAGCGTCGGAACGCCCTACTTCTCGCCATCCATGAGATCATCACTCGGACGAACGCAATCGGTCCTTACAAATATGTTCTTGGTCGAGTAGCTCCTAAACAGAGGACCGCATTCACTGCCCTCACGATATATAATCTACCGGACTCGGATCAGCTCTTGGGTGAGACTCCGGTGGGGAATCCACAGGATGATCCAAGATCTGAATGACGAGACCTCAGCCATGGACGACGGGGAGTGAACCCACTTCCACTTTGCAGACTTCCTTACCCAGCATCAATCCGAAATCTTCAGAGAAGGCGTCGTTCAACTCTTGATATCCGTGGTGCTCTCGAGAGGTGTCGACGCGGTGCGGAAAGACATGGACCGACCCGATCATACACTCATAGGGAGACACAACCATACTTCACAGGTGACGGTAACTCTTGGTCGGGGTAAGAGATCCGTGGGGAATCGATGATCGATCGAAAGAAGCTGACACGAAAAGCTCTTTCTCCACAGGAAACCGTCAACTTGATGTTGTTCGGATGCGCGGTAAGCAACTTGTTCGATGGAGAGAAGGATATCGGGGGTACCCACCTGAAAGGTGTTCCGGAACGGAGCACCTGTGGTCTCCTCTCTCTCATGGAGGTCTCGGGGAATATCGAGGTATGGCTAGAAACGGAGGAATAGTCTGGATAACACTGGGTCCGAAGTCGGAAAGCGGATCTCCGAACCACGCAAGTGAAGCTTGCTGAAGGATGGTCGATCACATCGATTTTCAATCGTCTTGTAGGTGGGATCCTATCTCAAATCGCCGAAGTTCCCAATTTGGGTAGTTTTAGCGGAGAATCACTATTATGTACTATTCGCTTCGACGAGCTCTGTGTTGAGCTCAACCAGAGCCTTCTCTTTGTTCGTTTACGATGGCATAGCGAACCAAGAGTCGAATACCGTCGTGCGAGTCGGTGAGTATTTGATTGAGGTTTAGCTCTCTACTATTCTCTGCTATGCATCCCTCGAATTTCCGCAACGAGCTTCTCGACCTTCTATCTCAAGGTGAAGAGATATCCGCTTCAGATCCGAGCCGTTCTCGGCCGAAATCCTCCGACGACGCAACCGGAAACACCGTCGAGTCCTGTATAAGGACCAAGTGGGAAAATGCCTTTGTTGAAGACTACACACCGAAGTGAATTGCTGCTGCGGCTGATTGTTCTCATTAAACATCGGAGATCGTACTTTTAAAGCGTTTGTGTATTCCTCAATATGATTTCAACAATGATCGCGTAGCTCGCGCCTAGGTACATTTTTGCGGCCAGCTTCCGAGGCCCCAAGCTTCGTGCAACGATGATGGCTCGATTCGCAGGGAAGCACCACAAGATCGCGATCCCTTGCCTCCACAATTCTGAGTTCATTTCGAGATCCTTCGAGCTTTCAAATGTCTTCCGCCATGTACTCCTCAACCGCTCTTTGGATAGCTCGCAGTTCGTCGCGGCTGAATCGTTCTTTCCAAGAAAGTAGCAATCCTTCGCAAGAGGCAGGGTAGTCAATCCACTTATAAGCCACGGGAGCTCCATTCCCTGAAGGCAGACGGGGTCATCAAGTGCTTCGGTGCCGGAGCGAGTTCATGCGCCGGAATAAGCAATATTGTAATGAAAAAAAATCCTACCTCCACGTTGGATGATGTTTCCCTGAACGAATGACGGTTCGATAACACCTGCTTTCTTGGCTACGACAACTTCACGTAATTTGCTCCATTTCTCGTCAACCTCCGAATACGTTCGGAAGAGTTTCGTCCCCGCTTGGTGATTCGCGGTCAGGCGGTAGATTTGGATCTTCTGAACGAAGTCCGCAAAGGCCTCGACGGCAGCCGCCGGAATCAAAGTCCTCAAGGGATCAGAGAGGAACCAGTTAGGTCAACACCGTGTGTTCGTGTCTGCTTCAAGAGTGAGAACATCGTTCCTAATCTCTCGTGACGTTCCACGCTTCGAAGCGGATTCGCTTCCGCTCTCGCCGTTGTGCAAAGTATTCCAGATCGTATTTCTCCTCTTTGGGGATGGTTCTCCTAAGTTCAAGGAGGCTCCTCAAACTCACCGGTTGATCGAGATTTTGATGTCATCGTGTCCGACGTCTTCGAAATCGATGAAGCTCGGCAGTCGCTCCATCAGAGCTCTCAAAATCACAAACTCTGACTGTGCATGCGCGGAGAGCCACCCAGCCTTGGCGTCGTAGTACGACAAGGCCGTGAGTCCTTTGAATACCTGGCTAAGGTAAACAGCCAAGCAGACCTCTTTAGCCTGCTGTCCCTCATGGCCGAAGATTCTGGAATACTTCCTTTGTTTTCCGACGTTTCCGGAGCGAATCATCCAATCTGCGAATATCCGTCAAGACAAGAATCCCGCCGCAGGACATGCGAGCGACATCACGCTACTCACGTCATGACTTCGGGGTCGCAGGCAAGGTAGAGAGCAATGCTGTTGGCGCGCAATTCCTCGTAAGCCGACGCGATGCTCCCGAATACCGAGGCAAATGTTGCGCCGGGGGTGTACCAATGACCTATCTAAATGAATCTAATCAGAATAATGAGGTAGTTCGGATAGTCTCGGGGAAGCCTTCGCAACGTGATACATATACACGATATTCTACTTGCTTTGGAGTTCGTAGTGGGATCGATGAGATTCTCGTCGAAATTCGGCTTCCCGGTCTCATCCTTCCGCAGTAGCAAACCGGACCCATGGCCCAGGAGCTCGTGAATGCCCACCTTTATTGTAAAGGCCTCGACGTAGAATCTCCGTAAGAGTTCTGAGTCTTCTTCGTTTAGGAAAGCCAACGTGAGGAAATTTGCCTTGCCCTCAACCACATTAGCGAGGTTGAAGTTTTTTTGTCCAACGAGCTTTGCTTCCTCATCTAAGCAAAGATTCGGAGAGATCCCTCAGTTTCTCGATGCAACCACAGCAATCCCTACTCAAATCCTCTCTCTGATCCGAGAATTCATTCCATCTCTTGGACGGAGTATATGTGTATTGACGGGGTCCGCTCACAATTCGGCAAGTTGACTCCTCTTGGAGGCACGTTGGCAACGTACGATGTTACAACGAGGGACGAAAATGATTTCACATCTCCCTGCTGCTGTACGTCAGGCTCGAAATCTCTTCTCCATGGCAGCTTGGATGTCAGCTCAGCGCTCCGCGTCGTCAACTCCCGGAAAGCTCTCGAACGGTTACGATCCTCGATCCCGACGAAGCTTGAGTATTCCAATTGAAGGTTCTTCGGATCGCGGTAGTTTTCCATGAAGCCCATGTATCTGTGGGTTGAAAATGCGTGAAAGAAAAATGAGACGAGAGGCAATTTTACCTGAACTTTCTCGGAGCCTGAACGTAGACGCAACTTACGTGTCAACCTCTTGGTTGAGAGCTCGGACCCATTCTTTCCCAGACTCGACGTGAAGTTCTAAATCGCCGCTCTCCAAGGATCTGACGAGGAGCTCGAGGGACTTCGACATGTGGTCATCGTCAGAATGCTGGAGTGCCAGCTTGATTTCGCCAATTATTAGTGCTATAAGAAGTCGCTCGGAATGTCTACTTGCTTGAGAATCCATGGCCAACTTGACCACGAGAATCGAATCGCCTAGCGATTGTTCGCTCTTACTCACCGAGAATCGCGCTGACGGCTCCTCGAGAAAGGCTGACCTTCGTGAAAACCTCCCAAGGGCGTCCCTCAGCATAATCCTCCCAAGCCCACGATCTCGATTCTTTGAGTTTTGAAGCGAAGCGCACATTCACGAACTGCCCGCTGGCGTTGCTTGTTTTCACTGCGTACTGATTCCCGATCATGATTTGCTGTCGAGGCGATTCGTTATACTTCAGTCAAAGGGATCAGACACGTGCGAGAATCCTTGGCGCGTTTCTGTGTGATTCTTTCGGGTTTTTTCCGCTCTGACTGATTCGTCAGACGGTTTTCCTTTGATGAAGCTAAATCTACTTGCATCATGGCAAAAGTCTCTTCACTGTGATTCGCCAGACCGGACGCAGCCCAAATCGAGATGTCAGGGCCCACCGATTAATTAGGGAGCAATTCCACGCTCGAATGCAGCTATTTATCGAAGGTGAAATCGTCCCATAAGAAAAATTCTTATCGCGGGGGACACGCTCTGGCCGAAGCCATCAGACACAGGAATGATTTTCCGGAATGACTCCGTTCCTTTCACTCAATTACGGTTACGGAAATTAGCATGACATCATCTTCACTTCGGCGATAGTAATTACCTTGGACTGCATGAATCTAACGACGGAATCAGCTTCGCTCGAGCTCATTCCTCGCCAATATTGGGTCTGGCCTTCAGGAGGGAACCCGAGGACAGTCGGCGTTGAAGAGAATAGATTATCCGTCACGTATTTTGAAGCCGAGGGTAGAACCTCATCAAATAGAGTTTTTAGCTTTGCAGCACTTATTTCCTCGGGAACGAACTTGTAACTGTTGTCGCCTCTGTCGGAATTGGATCGAACTTTTACTCGATAAGAAAACGGTAAGGAAGTGCTTGGGATTTTGTTCTAGTTTTCACTTGGTTCGCATTTTTAGTTGTCATCAAGAGAGCCGAGGCGACGGAGAGGTTTCCGGTTGAACGTCACAGATGAAAAACGCCACACATGACAGCCGCAGAACATTTTCGGGAACATGACTAATCGATCCATCAATCACTCAAGTTTTCGTGCGTGTCAACGTCACCTGTAGTTCCCCTGATTGACGAGAACGCCGCAAGAGAATCGTCGGAATCTCTCCTGCTCGTCTTCGGAAAATCCGGCATTCTTCAAGCTAGCAGCGAAGCCCTTCTGGAGAGCCTCGAGAACGATGAGCATCAGAGCCGGGGACTCTGGCGAAGTTTGCGCCGCCGATATGAAGGAACCGTACCACGCAGCTCTAGATGAAAGATTATCCTTTAGGTTGAAGCTTCGCCTCCGAACACGTTTTTTTCACTTGCCCCTGCGCGAGCATCGATGACGCAGGCGGCCGCGGGGATGTCGGTTGGGAGAAAACGTTTGCTACTCACTTATTCAGGTGATAGGTGAACGATTTCCGCTCAATGCTCAGGTCATCGAATGCACTTCCAATCGAAAGTTGTGCGTAATGCTCGGCCCGCCAGAATGGGTCCAGTCCCGGGGTCACAGACACTGCAATAGGTGTAATGAGAAACCCCTCTCCGATATGATTCGATTCCCTTCCGAGGTGGAGTCATTTCGGGATTCTTCTGGGAGGGAGTAACATGCTCCATCGCCCCCGACCATCGATTCATGCGCTTCCGATGGGCCATGCCTAATGCTCGACTCTTGTCGCGGGCCGCGACCGTCACCGCGGTTTTTCCGCCAATTACGAAACGATTCTCCGCAGCGAGTCCATGGGCGCCGGAAAACGCTCCGAATCCCCTGCGGGGAAGCCGCGAGCGTCGGCCATAGACTCAAACCTACAGGTATCACAATCACGCCGAGAATTCCTCCTCTCGGACAAGTGAAGGGGGGGTCGCTCACCGAGTACCTCTGAGGGGGCATCGGATTCATTGGGAACGGGAAATCTTGCGACATGCTTAAGCTACACATGCCAACCCATATCGGAGTTCGTCGCGTACTGGATGACACCTTATCAGTAATGAGAGTCTGACTCACCCTTGTCAGGCCTTGTCAAAAGAACGACGATGATAATGAGAACCATCACCACTATCAACGGACACGGTCGATAGAGTTTAGAGAGTAAGCTGCGGAGCGCCATGGTTGGAGCACGATCAATCCGGAATCGTGACCCTCAGCCCCGAATGAGCCGGCAGAACAATTAGAGCGGGAAAACACGGTGTCTTTCTCACGTTTCCTTTCTCCTCTTCCTCTGACTCCCCGAAGCTCTCGACGCTTTTCGAAGAATAGGACGCCAATGAGTAACAGCATCCACTTATTCAATGCACTTGTCCATGGGAGAGTCCAACTCTCAGCAGCGGCAACTCAGTGTTCGTGATTTAATGCTTGATCGTCGTCGCTCAGCCGACCTTTTGAATGAGAGACCGTCCGACCTGTCATTTGGCTTCTGCCACTACTCTTGTCAGGCCGCTGCCTCCGCTCCGCTCTCGCCCAGAGCAAGGGTTGAACCGAGTACGGAACTGAGTGAACCGACGAGCGAACTAACATAAGCAAAAAACCGGCCGGCTAGTCAGTCAGCTTGCTAGCCACCCGGCAGCAAATCAAAAAGCGATGGTGGCAAGGGATCTCTTCACGTTGGTGGCGAACAGATCTTTCACACCCAGCCGAGAGCTGCCAGCGAACGGTGAGCGACGAATTTCGCCCCGTTCACTCTCTCGACGTGCCGTAATATTCGCGCGTCAGCGTGATTCCCAGACTGAGCCACCGACGCCACCGCAACCGGTGACAATCAGACAGGGCGATTCTCTCTGCTGCTTAGCTAGATTGAAACGTTTTCATTTGTCTTCTGACGTCGCACGAAATCCTCGACTGCGATTGCGCGGGATTCTGTCAGAAGAACGAAGGCCGGAAAGCCCAGAAAACGGTCTAACGAGCGTACGACGTGAAGCACTCTCGCACAGTTCATCTGATCTTTGCGAATGAGTCGGCCATCGACGCTTCAACTGACGATGCACTCCATCCACGGAGATTAGTGAGGCTCGCGAGGATGAATTCTGCTCGCATCCCTGGGTCGAACTCTCAATCCTAACTAATCCCAAGCTGAGGTTTCGATAGAATCGTGATTGACACTCCGATTCGCAGAATGAGCGGGAGCCAGAGCGCTCCCTTGGAGAGTGGCAGTCAACCTGGGAGAAGTCGAGTTTTCCTTGTTTATCTCGAGTTTCACGGTCGTGCGACGGGTGACTTTTCCGTCTACGGCCACCAAGAGGGACCATTGACGCTACAACGACCCTTCACGGGGAGAAATGCAGTCATTTAAAATGTAGAATACTTGATTTGCGAAGTAGATTCGGCAAGTCGAATGTGGAAAGAGTCACCGAAACCGGTAAGATCGTCATCTCGCAGACACGGTCTAGGCATTCAACTCATCGTGATTGGGACCAAAATTTTCGCGTTCGAATGATGTAGCGACGACAATCGGCGAATCCGTTCGAATTCCCCGGGTAATCGATACTCGATACTCGATAGGGCTTCGGACACTTGTGGCCCGGCAATATAGCGTAGAATGTTCCGCAGAAGCGGGTTGTCCAATTCGTACGGATAAGCGCCCGGCACGTCTGGTGGCTTGCTAAGCGCGAACAACTGTCATACGTGGATTTGATGCGAGAAAGCGTCGGCTGTCGTTTCATTAGCGCACTTGCACGCCCGGCGAGAGCGAAGATTGACGTGGGAGACATTGCACCGGGATGGGCCTCACGCGAGACTCACCGATAGTTTCTGGAGGAATTTGAGGTTTAACCAGAATGACACCAAGGAGACGAAAATTCCGAGAATTGACCCCGGTCGCAGATTCTACCGGCCAAGCGATTTCGGAAGAGAGGTACCTACAAAGGTCCGTGAACGACTCATGGAAAATAAGTTCTCAAGGAGTTTGGACCGACATTACCCGACCAAACCAAAAGGGAAGAAATGTACATTCCAATCCTCGCTCCTGCAACTCCTACCTCGAGGAACAGCAGATCTAGGAGTTTTCCTGTCGATGTTCCTTTGGCTCCCTCCTGGATAAACCTGATGCGTGCGGTCTTTCATTCGTTGGTTTCAGAATCAACAAAATGTTCAGATCGCCGAATGAGATGGAATAAAAAACGTTATTTGTTCCTCCGTGAGCGAATCAGGCTCAAAGTGAAGCCTCAATTCCCAAAATCACGAAGAAGGCTGATATTCGTCCAGCGCATGATTGAGGTTCAAAGTTGTCAGTTTCACGGCGCCCATACAAGCAGTGGCGTCGCTCGAATTGTATACGCAATCGCCAACTGAAAAAATAGCGGGATGCATCAGACTTGGAGGACTTACTCGATCGATCGATTGATTCATTGATTGATTGATTAGAGAACAGGAAGGCAGGTACAATGCTCCAGGGCGCGGCGGCAGATTACCGAGCAGCAAGAGGTCACTTGAGCCTCACGCGCGACGAATCGCCGGTGGCTGGTGACGCGCAAGTCCGATCGATGGCTTCATGGGTCGATTCGTTGATGAGGGTCAGGAAACAGCTCTCCAAAGTGCTGAAACATTGTCGAGCACCAGTGCCACCGGTTGCGACGGCGAAGCGTTCAGAGATCACGCGACACGCGATACTTCCGGAACGTCTCGGGGGAGTGGAGGATCGTTGGAACGCTCCAACTCTCCATTCCGGAGAAATTAAGAATTATTGAAAAATTGATGCGGCACCGATAATGCGGATCGGGTTCTAACCAGGTTTTCGGGGGGGGGGCAGAGGTCCAAAATTATGACGCACCCTGAACCCATGCATTACGAAAAAATAATTGACCCCAAGAAGAATCCTGTGGAAATTTCCTGGAGCAGGGAGAGGGGGGGCGAAGAATTCAGCTGTCAGCTCTTTTTCTGGACGGTCGTTTCGCGCAGATGTTCGCTATACACGAGGTCGTGAGACGTGACGTATCTCGATGGATTGAGGACACCAGGGATCCAGGGTTTCGCGCCATCTTCAAAAATTCACGGATTTTGGCGCGGCCGCGCCAACTTCCCAGCCCTACACACGACCAATGAACACTCCGACTCATGAAATCGACGGCGGAGATCAGACTAAATCGAATTAAACTTCGAAGCCGAATATCTCATCGATACTCGAGAAGACAGACATTCAGAGTGGCGGAATCATCATCAGGAGGCCGAAGCATGACGACAGACTCGCGAAGGCTTCAGCGCGACCGGAACTTGACGGATAATCTGGAGTGACTATATGCCTTGGCATGTATTAACTCCCGTTTCCGAGGAGGATCCCTCTCGACTTCGCGGCTCCTTCTGACTTCTATTAGCGGGTGGGGCTCAATGCTTCGGTAAGCTGGTGAGATTCTGCTCCGGACTGCAACTGAAAACTGGCTTTGATCCAAACGCGGCCGCCTTAGTGTCGATTTTTCCATCTTCTTTCTGAAATTCGGTTCCCCGATCGGTCGGGGTGGACGCTCTATCCAAAGACAGACTCCTTCGCGGTGCAAGGTTGTATCCAACGTGCAGAACAGGGACGGAGGAGGAAGAATCCGCTGGATAGGGCGAGTTGAAGCTCCGAGAGGAAGGATATCCTGAATCCTAACGACTGCTCTCGGGCTTGCTCCATTTTCGATCTCTTCGCTGACTTAAAAATCCTCGCTAAATCGAGCTTGCGAACATCCAGGACCTCTCTTCGTCGTACCTCGTTCTGCCCCCGAGGAGTCACCGCAGAGTTCCTCGGATATCCCTTTATTCCTACCAGTCTTAACAATTTTGTACGCCAACCACGTCCGGGTCGTCGTTGGACGTCTCTTCTTCCTCAATAACCACCTGGCGAGTGAGCTGCCGCTGTGATGTAGATGACATCCTCTTCGCCTACCCCATTCCATGAGTATTCCATGAGAGTCATGAGTCATGAGTCATGAGTCATGAGTCCACGGTATTTTCAGGCGATCCTCCATCTCCATAGGGAGTCAATGGGGGGGGGGGCGGAAATTGCCGGGAATCTTCGAGAAAAATGCCGTGAATGATCCGCAGCCTTAGTCATATTTTATCATGATGATTCTCGGCAGTCAAGTTTCAATCCGACAGCAAGACGCGAGGGATCCAGAGAGAACCAATATGTTGAGACCAAGCCCGGCAGGCGAAACTCCAGCTATGTCCGAGTGATGCTTCTTGTCTAGGGTCTCTCATTGCCTCGCCCTCGAAAAATATAGCAATTCCCGGATCAATATCTATCTAAAGTCTCGAGACTCAATGACGGTAAATGGCGCTCTTTATTCCGATCGCCGCAAGTCGCTCTTTGAAGAGGTGCTGCTCCATGAAATCTTAAGCTCATCAAAACAGCCGGGCATTCGACCTGTGAGTTTATCCGAAATTGAAGTCCCTATTCCTGCCCATTCATTCTTCACAAAGCTCAAGAGCATATCCGTACGAGAGGCGCTTTTGGCGCGAATAGCTGGGTCCAAGTGATCCCGCAAGAGCTCTATGGGTCAAAATCCGGATTCTGAGGCTCCATTCATGACTTGCAAAACTTTCTTGGATTCTTTCGATACATGGTAATTTTGGCACAGATGAAACGTGTGCTTCGGATCGTTGTCTTGTTGATACGTGGAGCCTCTCCTGACTAATCGCAGCCCCGAAGGCACGCCGTGTCTCACTAGGATCTTATGGGAGTGTTTCGCGTCCATGCGACCTCCGATCCTGACAAGATCTCCAACCTCCCCCCCTTCTCCCGAAGGAGTCTTACACCATCACTAAGTGTTTGACAGTAGGCGTTGGGGAAGCCGATAACATGCGGTTTCAGGCCTGCGTCGCGTCGTACAAACCGGCAACGTCTTGAGCCAAAAGCTTCGAGATTCCGTTAAAGAGGGTTTCGGGCGAAGACGGTGGGTTGAAACTGCACGCGAGTATCTACCGACCTGGAACGGCAATCGGGAGAGACGCAGAGAGCCGGATTCCCGCGACCGGACCGCTGCTCCGCATAGCTCTTGGGGTTGACAGAGGCACTGGCGAAGCTTTCACAGCTGCGAGCGGGGATTCGCAGTTTTTCCAGGTTTTGTCCCTCGTCCACGAAAATGCTGCGCCTCGCCGATTTCTCTCGTAAGAAACTCCGTTTTTCTCAGCGCATAATCTGGGGATGCCACCCTTTTCAGAGTCCGGTTCCGCCACCCTACAGTTTTGGCTTGCAGGGGGGAGGGGGCAGCGGAACTCGAATATTGAATCTGCAGGTCTGAATTGATACAAGAGAGTTCTTCGCGCGGGGAAGAGTACCTCAGTCGTGAGGTCGCGTCAGCCGTAATGTTGTCACCTCCTCCGACATCCTCGAGCGTAAATTGGAATGGGTCCGCGATCGACCCTAGGCTCTAAGCCTAAGGGTTAAGGTTCTCCGAATATAGGGGTCAAGGTCCGAGCTCCTTCTTCAATTGGTGCTCATTTCGCCTCCATCATCATTTCTACTGACGGAGGCAATTCAGCAGCTTCGCCGCAGTAAGACCCCGTTCAGCGACCCTCTCAACGGTGAAGAATTGTTCGGCACATTGAGATTCCGCGCGGGACGATGAGGCGCGAAGGATCGTTGGGCGCGAAGCACGGAATCTATTGTAAATGAAAGATGTGGATCCCATAAAAAAATCAGTAACCGACTTTCTCCTCTGCAGCAGCACCTTGCTTGAGGAATTAGCCTACTAGACCCATCTGTCTTCGCAACTTCCCGAAATTCCCCAAACAGGTCCCCGGCTTTCGGTGGTCGATATGTTTTGATCGCATGTAGTTCAGATGCATCCATGATGTTTAGCGCCATGAGTGCGGTATAATTGATCACCTAAACTCCAAACCGGATAAGGTTCCAATTCGGGTCGCCCGTCTACTTCGCCAGCGCAAATTCCTCTTGTAATTCGGTCAACAATAGGCTGAGGAATTAAGTTCTCCCGGTTCCTGTAGGCAGAGGATTCGCAGGAGAGTCTTTGAACGAAGCGCGCCAAAGACAATGTGAGGACGGAATTCGCACCCTCCTTCCTCGCATTGCCTTGATTGCGGGGATTTGATGCTTCCCGCTTACCTCGAGAAATACCCTTTCGTGTCCTCAAAGATCGCTGGGAGTTCCTTCGGTAGTTTGCCGTGGAGCCTCGCTGAGCCACATCCAAACTTCTCGGAACGAAGACAACTTACAATTAGTATTCCTCATGGTCTCACTAACCGTTTGCATCCTGGTTCCTGGATAGGATGTCGGGGTTAGGGGTCTCTCATTCACGATTATGAAACAAAATCAGGCCTTGAAAGTAGGAGCGCGGAGCTCGTATGAAAAGCCCATGGAACTTAGGTGAATAGCGTCGCAGCCCGGAGTCAGAATCATTTCCTCGTTTGCTGACTGGACATACTCCCTCCGTTGCGTATCACGATAATCATTACGTCGGGGGAGCTCGACGCATTGAGGGAACCCCCTTTTCGGTCAGGCTCCGTCGAGACCACCTCACCGTGCGAGGCAGAAAACATTCAAGGAGATCCCGTCGCGACGTGGAGCAGCGTTATATCCTGGGCTCGGAGAGCAAGGTTTCACGAGCACGGAAAGGCCGAGCGCGGGAACAGGTTCACCAAAGATTACAGTTCAAGCTGAGAATGCATCGGACCATTTGAGACTTGTTCACGGTACACTCCTCTCCATTTCTCAACATCAGATCCTTGGTTCTCGGAGTTCTAGTCTGCCGAACACTCAGAACCGATAACATCAAATCACCGGCTTGTGATTGAGTCTCCGGGGACCAATGTGAAAATCGAAAATATCAATATTCGGGAAAAACGGTCGGAAATTCACTCATAGTGTCACCTTCTGGGGAGATCTATACTCCTGCCTGGCCCTGCTCCCTACACACGAGGCGATGGGCGCGACGGTCAGGAGCTGGCAGACGGTCCGTCATAGTCTGAGGAACCTTCCCCGCGATTCGTCCGACGAGAGTGGAAGATCAAAACGGGCGCCGGTGCTCACTTGATGCTTGTCGTGCTCTCTGCTCCCCGAATCCGACCGCAAGCGATGTGCATGCTTGGCATATGCTCAATACTCCGGTTTCCATCTTTGCATTCGTGGTAAACGATGAAACGTCCATCATCCTTGGTCCGCATGCGGCGCGCCGTCGCCTTGGATGTGGTCGACAGCGGGACGGAAAGGTTTAGCCCCCGCTCGATCCTCCAGTTTCGAAACCCATGCGTAGAATTGCTGTCTGCAATAAATGCGGACAACGGCTTCGATCTACTCGGATGTTCGTTCGAGTTCGAGGGCTGATTTTATTATCAGTCCTCCGCGACTACATGGTCGCTCGAAGGAGAGAATCGTCGTTGAAGCCGTGCGTATCTTGGATCGAAGGTCTACTATGGTAGCTAGGTATGTAGAACACATTCCTTATTGCGACCTCATTCCTGCCTCATTCCGCCTTCCTCATCAACAGTTCAAGACTGAGCAGAGAGCTCATGGTCATCGATTGGATGCACATCACAACGTGAGGCGCCGTTGACGTATTCGAGAGTGAGCCGTCGTAGGCATGCCCAAAAATAGTTTGACACAACGACCATCGCGGGTCGCGATTGCGACACCAAACACATTGCTACCGAGCCATGCACTACGGGAGGTTTACGAGAGCTCCACGGGTCTCAAACATTGTCTTAATGAGGTCAATCATCATCTACGGAATATGGTCAGACCCATCGATGGTCAGACCCACTGAAGTAGTCTCCGGGAGGCTATGATTCAATGCTGAGGGGAAGTTGTTACAGTAAAAGCTCGTTATAACGACCCCTATTACAACGAATTTCTCGGTACAACGAACAAGGAATTTCTCCTGCTTTGGCCAGCTCGCCATAGGAATAGTGTCGAGTGGCATCCGTTACAACGAACCAGTTTCGTCGGTCCCTTCGTGTTCGTAGTAACGAGCTTTTACTGTATTCCCTTTTTTCCCCGAGCAGAACTCATCCCGAGGATCCCTTCCTCTTGTTGAACGAGTTCCGACCCATAGCATCGCGGGAGCCATTCCGAGACGCTGAGATAAACAGCCCGACTACGGGCGGGCGACAGGCAAAGATCATCGACATCGTTGTCTCCATGTACCAATTTACAGATCTCGGTCTAGAAAATACACTTCCCTTGTGCTCTGTTAGAACGAGCTTCTCAATAGAGTTACCCGCTTTCTCCATGCTGCATCTCTTGAGAAACGTTCGATGATCCGAGGGAATGTGAATTTTCAATCCCCCGACTCATTGTTGTTGTGGCTCACAAGTAGTAGACACCCATAGGTAGGTGCTTCCGCTACTGCTGCTAGTGGTGTGCTGCTTTTTACTGTCGCTGACTCGCTGCACAAGCTGTGCTGTTCAAGTGAAACAAATCGTTGAGTGCTGCGTTCCTCCTGACCCCTCATCGGCCGACGATTCCCGATTTTCTTGTGACGTACATCGACTGCCATGTCGATACCCAATTAGAACTCATGATTTGAGCAGGGATTCGGCAAGCGCCAACAAAACAGTCCCCATCGGACGGTGTGCCAGGCAAAGCTGGACGAATCTTCGGATTTGTTGCGGGCACCTACGGAGGAGCGAAGATCTTGCGAACAACTGCAGGCAGCCCGACACAGTGCTGTTTGAAGATGGAAGAACCAGCCGCCGAGTTCGCATCGTCCCTTCGAGATCTCACGACGAATTCGAAGCCCCTCATCACGATGCTAACAATGATCGCCGAGGAAAGTAAAGAGCACGCCGCCAAAATTGTCGAGATCATTGAGGACTATCTGAAAACGGTGAGTTGTCTCCTAATCTCAACCCGATGAGGCAGTAGTTCCTCTCGTTCCCCAAGCACCTATGTCATTTGCTCCCGTTCAATCGTTTCGAAGCCTCCACTCATGACCTTGCTATGCAGTGCGCTTTGGATGGTCGAATTCTTCACTGTCAGGTGACACGGGGAATTTCTATTTGTGATGGTTTTAGGAAAACGGAATCGATGTTATTAGGAAATATCGCGCTCAGATCGGCTCGATGTGGGCTCCTGTAGCGCTGCATCTGTCAGAGCTTGCAACTTGTTGATGGCGATCCGCTCGATTTGTCTCGGGCGAGTGATAGTGAGCACCGTATGGACGACTTCGTCGCCACGTCTCACTTTGATCGGAAATGCTATCGTGTTATGCATCTTGCTAATGGTAATCTCTCCGCATTGGGTTCGATAAAAGCCCTGAATTGGACTCAAGGACGTCGGGAGTATATTTGTTGACGACCATCGTTGCCGTAGAGCGAACTCCTCGCACACACAGTCACACTCGCTCACTCACTCGCCGGCCCACTCTACCTACAGTATGGATGTGTGAGTGTTTTCCGCCGTTCTCCGCTTGCAGTTTACCTGCTGGCCGAGAGCTAGACTGCTCTTTGGAGCGACGCGGTATCACGACTGAATGGGCGGCCGATGCGGAAGAGTGGCCCTGGCTCACGAAACAGCTCGTCGATTTCACCGAAAAAAATCGGTGAACTTCACTCCAACAAAACTCTTTCGCCCCTCGGATGAGGAATGCTTACGCGAGAGTAATTCCTCGCGGTGGTTTTCGCGAATATCAGCCGAAGTCATTTCCCCTCCGAAATGTCGATTTAACGAATGGGCTCTAGCATCATGTTTCATTGCATGGAGGGAAATCCCGTTCTGTCTCTCTTCTCCATGTAGCAGTGTTCTGCGCCGATTCTAACGGAAGACGGCGGTTTATGACTCGAGTTTTTTCGGAGCTGGCATGGCAGATCTGAAGATGGGCTGAAGCACTTCCGCATTACGAACAAGAAGGGCATTCGACGCGCCGTCGCTTCAGCTCGTCCCGACGCTTCGGTGCGCCAATTCTGCGGCTGCATATTCGCTCCCTGACGAAGGTTCCCGTTAAGTCGATGAGCGCGTCGCCGCAAGATGCCTCGGCGATGCTTCGATCGCTTGAGAATGTCTTCTCTGAGACAAGATAGTGAGTGGGAAATTGCGTCTCGTGGCGAGTGGATCTCTGATTGCTTTGGAGCTGTATCACTGAACTCCCGAGATAGACTTCGACGGAGAGAATCGATTATACTGCGAATGCCTCCTCTGATTTCATTTTGTCGGATCATTGGGAACGGGTGTAATCGGCACCAAATGATTTTACGACCGGCCACTTGAGATTGCTGACTCATAGGCGAAATCTGAATCCTTTCCGAGAACGGTCTCCGTTTCATTGGCCACTTGATTCCTTTCCGAACAAATATCCCCCGTCCCTCAGTCTGGGGAGATTTCCCTGATTGGAAGGATGTCACCGTGCAGGCCCAACGTATCGGAGCGGCATTGTCAAGCCGTTGATCGGGTCAGGCTGAATCTCGGTTTCCATTGATTCCTGTGTGGCGGAACCAGACTCCGACGTCAGAGACTCCGTTTCACAACATTCCTGATTCTTCGTTTCCAGAGTGAACCACATATCAAACTCCCGTCCCTGTACCTCGTGGACTCAATAGTCAAGAACATCGGGGAGCCTTACATCGGTTTGTTCAATGAGAACATCGTGAGGAACTTTCTCATGGTCTTCCGCGAGGTGAGCGCTAATTCTGATCCACACCACGACTCGTCGATCTTCCGTCTCTAGTTACTTCCGAAACGATTATTCCTGATCCGATGTTATCCACTAATCCAGGGGGACGAGAAAGTCCGTGCGGCTTTATTCAAGCTCCGACAGACTTGGAAAGACATTTTCACCGAGCGGAAATTATACGCTTTGGACGTCAACACTCAGGCTGTAGATCCGAACTGGCCGGTCTGTGCTGCCGCCCCAATCCACTTGAACCCAAAGTTCTTCAAAACGCACCAAGAAAAACCAGAGGTGAGGGATGCTTGAACTTTTCGCGAAACCGCTGGAGTCTTAGGGGAAACCTCCTATATGAATAAAGTACCGCAGTGATCCGAAGTCAATTCATATATTTGTATCAATTCGGATCCAGATCGATATCGCGCGCAAATCCGAAACGGAAGCCAAGTCCATAGAGCAGCACAAGAAACAGCTTGAGAAAATCCAAGGCGACCTCAAGCGGAAAAAAGATCTCCTTAATCAGAACGCACACAATGCAGCGGCTCAACCCAAGCAGTCTAGAGATCCTCGATTGAAGGTGCGACTTTCGTTCATTTTGCCATCATTCCTCGAATAAGGAGATACAGGAGATAAGACATGCCAACACCGAGCGTTTCACGTCCTGTGCGATTATGAGCGTCCATCATGTTCTTCCTTGCTCTAACCGGTGCATCTCATGTGGCGAATTCAGAGAGAACACCCCTCGGTCACGAAAGCCCCTCCCCCAGCCCCTAATCAGACGAGCCAGGGCAAATCTGAGAAGGATTCGAAAAGACCGAGGAGGTCGAAAGATCGAGACAAAGCGAAGTCGGAGTCCAGCTCACGTAAAGATACATCTGTCGCAGAGAAGGTAAGACCACTCTTTCCCTTGCACTTCAACGCCTTCCGAGCTCGAGACACTAGCTGATCTCACGATGGCGGGACATTCCAGACGAAACCTCCGCAAGAGAAAAAGTTCCGAATTCCGAAGAAGTCTGCCTCGGCGTCACAGAAGTCCTCGCAAGAAAATCAGGCTGAAAAATCACCCTTCCGAACCTCCAAAGTCTTGGAGGACCCCGATGCTAGTCTCATGGCTGATAAAGAAGCTGCGGCAATTCTCACAGGAGATCTCGATATGAGGTCAGTTCTCCTATATGTGAACTTACGAGCTCATCAGATCGACACGTAGAGACCGAGTCGCTCATCTGTTAACTCATATGATTGCAGAATTTTCGCGCCGGCTGCAAAACGACGGAGAGAAGAACCTCCGGCAAATTGTGATGAAGATTTTCGCATCCGGTAGGTTTTCCCTTAGAATCTAGTCGATTTCAAATGATCCCGACGCAGTGAGGACCGAGAAGCGGACTCGAACAAGACGCTCACCAGTTCACTTCCTGACCACCCCGTTTTTTCAGTCCAACTGCCGACAAAAACTCGCCCGCTAGACTTTTCGAGAAAACCGAAACGGAGGGAAACGCTCAATATTTCAAAAAAGAACCCAAACCCGAGCTTCCGGTTCAGAAACACAATGCTCAGCAGCCTGAATGGAGCTTCCGGCAGCAGCAACCGCCGGCTCGAGGTAGGGAATATATGGACTATTTCTTATGGAATGAGCCGTCTCATACGACTTGAAAACCGACAGACACTGCTGATGATGTATGCTCTCTTTCTTGAATATCGATTCCCCGACTGCAGATCTTGATCCGCTCATCACTCAGAATGGGGAGGCGGGGAAAAGTTTCGACAGTATAGTGAACCAGGCGACGGGCGGAGTCGCACCGTTCCTCGCATCAAGCGTGAACGGATTAAACACAGCTCCATTCGGTTCTCGCATCCCTGCGAATACCCCTGGTATGTGACGACTCGCGTTCGATTGCGAAATGCATTCGGAGAATGTCTGTTTGTAAGCCGATTTTCATTTCAGTGGCGGAGCCAGCACCTGATTGCGGACAAATAAGGCTCGACGGTCAGATGCGGGAAATTCGTTTTATCGATGGAGTCGCTATCGCCATCATGGACGAAGCCCCGCCAAATTATGTATCCGCTCGTCAGGTAGTCTTCCGAGGCAGCAGCAGACAGATCTTCATAAACGATCAGGTAGGCCCCTTCCTTCATCGTCCGAGGGAGCTTTGTCGATGTCAATCGAACTCTCTCCGATTCAAACCACCCGGAGCGGGAGCTTGACGCATGGAACTTTCCGATTCCAGCAGGCTGTTGTTGCCGGATTCGATGGACGAGACCAGGAGTTCACAGTGCATGGAAACCGCCACCGGATTCGCTTTGGAGCGCCGTTGAGGGAACTCTACATCGGTAATTGTCCCTGCTTTCCTCTTCCGGATTCTCAGCCTCAAATAAATCGGGAGAAGCTCTAGAACCTGTCAAAAACCTCAAAAAGAATCAGAGATAAGAATGGAACTCGTCAGTGGTGAATATATGGGAGAGCCAGATTCTGACGCGTTCGTTTTACAGATGGAGTTCCTTATGCGTGCCAGTTCGATGGACGTCCGATGCTAGTCAGGAGTCACGATGACCTTTTCACGGTCACTCTGCCTCCACCTTGTCCCACGGTGTCGAACAAGCTGGACGCGCCTCCCGAGCTTCTGGCGAAATTGGGCTTGAGACCGATGCTGCCTCCTACAGCTACAATGCCGCGGGGCCCCGGGCCCATGGGCGCCGGATCAGGAGCTGGCGGCGCAGGGGTGAGTACAGCGTGGCAGGTTCGTTACGGATTGAGGAGTTTACTGTCGGTTGAGCAGAGCGTCACAATGCAGCGCCGTAGAATTTCTCCGGAGATCGTTCCGCTCCGTTATCAGCCGATCGATGTCGGTTGATCGATGCAGGCTCTGATTGACTATTCCGGCTTGAGATCGAATGAGATTTTCTCTGCCTGAGCGAAACGCTCAATGGCTCCGGAACAAACTCCTCAATCGGCGGCCGTCGCCACTGAGACCTACGACTTTAAAGCACAGTGTCGAATTCGCGGAACAGCACGTCTAACACATCGGTTCGTGAGAAGGCCAGGGTGAGAGACATTCCAGTAGATTTTCATCGAATTCTGAGATGCAGAAAAATGATGTGATGATCAGATCGTTTGATTCGCATTCGGGTGATGGAACATCTTTCTCCAAACAAAAATAAAATCACCGTTTGGAGTTCGATTACTGGTATTGATGTCTGGCGGCCTTGGCTTAGAGGTACGATCGAACGTCAAAAAAAAACAATGAATTCATTGGATTCTCTCACTGAAATCAGATCAGACGGCGTGGTTCTCAACGACTCAAAGAGTCGTTCAATCGCCATCTAGATTATGATAGATAGAGAGAGGAGAAGATGCCGATCAAATAAAACTAGCGCTGGTGTGTGTGTGACACGAGAGTTTTTATTTAGGAGGGCATTCGGACTAGCAGCGACTACCTTAGGTAGACGGGACGCGACTCACCCAGGCTACTGCTGTCGATATTTTGAGGTAGTGACTTCACGTAGACGAATGCGATGACGACTCAAGCTAGGGAAGTGTTACCGATAACCAAGCGAGCCGTTCATCCAATCACTCAATCAATCGGAGAATCGAAAAAATACCTCAGGCATTCATCTCGTGAAGCGCTCATGCGGCCAGCCGGTGGATGGATCGAGCGAGCGCCATCTTCGAGGAATAAAATAGAGCTTGGTTGAAAGACTCCATGTTGTCTCTTGACTTGGAGAGTTTGTATAGCGTCCTTCTCTTACTTATCCTCGTCTGCCGTATTCGATCTCCGCCGAATGAGTTTAGGATATTTCACGACGACCTTCTCAGCCAGCCCGCCCCCATCCCCTCGTTTGACCCGTCTGACTGCCTTGTTGCTCTTCCGCATGCGTCTCACAGATTCGATGGATTCACTCGTCTGACCGTACCCCCTTCATCCTGTCTTCCCTTCGAGTGTGCGACATCGTTACGTTCTTTCTCGTTTCATTCAATTGAGTAGACCTCGAGACGTCAGATACGTGTTTTCGCAACGTTTTTGTTATTCGATCCGAACATCATATCTGAGCATTGTTTCGCCGAACACTTAGCGCGTCCTAGTCGCCCACCACACACACGGGCCATGCACGGCTTCGAATCACAGTAGGACAATGCATCCGTGATCGACATTGAGTAAAAAACTTGGAGCTCTTAGACGATGTGAATTACCATTCGACTTTGACCGTCCGTAGCGTCTACGGCTGCTGGGGACGTCGACGCGACGTAACGAAATTTGTGTTTCCAGGACTGGAGAAGATACGACGGCCTCCCCCCTTCTTCAAATCAGGGACTTCCACCGGGGATGTACCCAACACCTCCGCCACCGATACCTCCTAATATGGCATTACCTCCAGGTGGATTTCTGGTCGGCATGCTCCGGCCTCCTCCTTTCAGAGGGTCTTTCGGCGGTCCACTCCTCCCGCCGATGCCTCCAATGTCTTTGAATGGCTTTCCGAGCGGACCGGTGCCGCCGCAAACTCAAACGAGACCCACGAATGCTCCTCCGGTGCAAATGACTTCTGCGTCTTCCTCTGCCAACCCGATGAACGTCTCAGATCTCTTCCACAAATTACTCGAATCGGGAATGCTTGGCAAGAAGGACGAGAATTCCAATGACGAGAAAGCTGGTGAGTTCGTGAACGAGACTTTCGATTTTTACCTCAATGGCATGCCGGTCTGCACTCGAGCCTGGCTGATGACGTGATACACGGAATAATCGATTTTTCATTCCATCCCGTGAGCAGTCAGAAACGACGACGTGAAAAAAGAGGAGGTGAAGGCGGAAGCTGCGGCCGTGAGAGAGGAAATTCCTAGACTGAATTTCAGAGATACTTCGATTCTTAAAAAGTGGGTATTCCAATCGAAGGCTGGAAACTGACTTGCTATTTTCGCACACCTTTTTTTAAGCTTTTCTGCTATTGGTTCACCCTCCTTATACAACCCCATTGCATCCTTAACAGGCGTTACAATGGCGTGATCTCAGCCCTTCATGAAGGCACTCAATGCGTCGCTTGTGGGCAAAGGTTCCAACGAAGCGAAAACAACACTGACAAATACGCTCAACATCTAGACTGGCACTTCAGGTATGATTCGTGTCGGATCTCGACTCGAGACGGGGAAGATTCCGTATTTGGGGAATCATAATAAAATAATCATCCAATTTCCGCCGCAGAATGAAGCGACGGGGCCGGGAAGGACTGAAGAAAGCGACCAGTCGGAAGTGGTACTTCGAAATCAGCGATTGGATCGACTTTGAAGAAGTCGAAGACCTGGACGATCGCACCAAGAGCTTCTTCGAACAGCAAGTGCGTCGAGCTTTGCGTCAGAAAAGTCCCCGTGTAATGAGGGAATGAGAAATTAGTCTTGGATCAAGCTCATGGCGTGTTTGCTGATTGCAGGATTCTCAGCTAGACGGTTCATCTCAGGACAGTCAGTCTTCGCAGACCGCGCAGGAAGTTCCCACAGTGGCTCTCTCGGCACTTCCGGAGTGCTTGGAACATGCGGTGAGCTCAATCGAAGCGACAATCGTGATGTCGAAGAGTAATAATTGCAAACCGCCGTGTTGCTATTCTGGTCGAAAGGCGGAAATTGCTTGCCCCTGACAGTTGAAGGGATCGAATAATTCTGAACGATATTAAATTCGCAGCGTCATTCTTGCGAATTGTGTCACGAAGTGTTGGATAAGTTCTACTGTGAAGAGTCGGACGACTGGAGACTGAGGAACGCAATGCTTTTCGACGACAAACTTTTCCATCCAGCATGCCATGAAGATTACATGAAGGTAATCATGATTAGCTAATATTCCGAACGTAGCTTTGCCTGCGCTACCGGTGTCGTCGAATTCGTTTTCTAAGGATCGTTCCCTTCCGCAGCCTGCCCCTAGTCCGAAACCCATTCTGGTGAGAGAGGGACAGGACGAACCCACGGAGGAAGAGATCGCCGATGAGCAAGTGAAGGAAGAAAAAGCAGCGATTGATGAAATGAACCTACCTCTACCAGGCTTGGATTTCCAGCCCTCCGATCTGAGCGGAGACACCGACGAGCAACCAAAAGAGTCCGCTGGGAAAGACGATCAAAATGAGACTCCCATCGACGATTCTAAGGGCGTGACGACCGACGCATCCGATGAGGGTCGAGTCTTGGACGATCTCGAGCAGAAAAAAGACGAGCCCATTCTCGAAGACGAGACCCAAGCCATGGACGCAATGATAGAGCACGAAGTAGTTATTCAAGAACTAGGAGAGTTCGGGGTGGTCAGCAGTGTCGATGATCCAAGCTTGGATGGGACGAACGGGAGCCAGTCAGGCACCGATCAACTCAACGACACAATGGACGACTCGTCGCAAACGAGCAAAACCAATGAGAAAGTGGTCGTCAAGGGCTCCGGAGGCTTCATTCTCAAAGTAAATCAAGAGAGCGTCGCAAACAACAAAGACTCGTCGCAGGATGCGACCAAGGACTCTAAGGAGGCTTCCAATCTACAAGAACTCGAAATCGAGTGGACGCCCCCATCTCCCGATCCTCGCTACAAGAACCTACCTCTGGTGAAGAAAGGCAGTGAAATGAGCGGACTTTGTAGCCTCATGTGATTCCTGCTCGTTTTGCGCCAGAAACGCAACGATTATTCTGTGATGATGATGATCATTATTAAAATTATTGTCTAACCAGATGATCGCTTCAAAAGCTGCCGCGCTACCTCCGCGTTTCCGTGATACTTGCTCGAATTTATAAATCCCGCGAGGAAATATATTCGCGTCTAGCACGAGTGAGGGATGAGTGTAAATTTATTGTAAAAAACATTGTATACATCAAAGAGAATATCTATCTGGTTGAGCGCCCCGTGCGCAAGTGCGAATCGAAATCCTCATCGACACGACTAGAATCGATGATATCCCTCTCTTTTTTGTCGCATTGTGCCTCATGGATGATTTTGGTTGATGATGAGGTATCGCGGGGAAAAATAGCTAGACAGCAGCTATCTCGAAGGCGTAAAAAGAAATTCGGAACATCGACCCGGAAGATTTGTGAACAAAGCTCGTGGCACTCCATCCTACAAATATTCTCATACGTAAAAAGGATACGAGCGGATACAGTATTTCCCATTGAACTGACCTTTCTATGAATGTCTTTCTTCGAGAGAAGTGAAGGGATCGCGCTCAGAGCGCTCATCGCGGAGTTCGGACCAAACGTCTGTTATTGTTAAAAATGCGTCTGTACCGACCCTTGTTCAAATAAAGACCAGAAACGAAGGAGTTTTGCGAAAGATAATGTTTCATTGAGCGTTCTCCCGCGCACATCGGAATTCATCGCATCGGAACCGGTCATGAGAACGCGCAAGCTTGGGCGGATGACGTAGACCATACATAACTTCGAGGCTATCATGACATGGGACTTCTGGTTCTCGCAAGCCTCCCAAAAATTCTTGCGGGGGCAATGGCGTGTCCGGGGACGGCCACTCGCGAGTCCTCCGAATGGAATACTTTTCTGTCTTCTTTCTAATAAACTTACTCTACATTATAAATTCGAAATTTTGTCCTCATTCATCAAGTATATTCTCCGGGCAACCTAGGTTTGGGATCCCCGATTCCCGGATCGCCAACATCGCGGACGCTTCCTGGCTCCAAACCGCTCTGTAGGAAGAGCGTATTGAGCCTCGTTCAGAGCGGTCCTCTTGATCCGCACGGTCGAGCTCCTATTCGGGACCCGGCATCCGGGGGCTCGTCTTCTGTACGGTCTCGTCGAGTCCCTTCGTCTCGACAAGTAGCAGCTTGAATATAGAGAGTGCGCATGGGAATATCAATGAATACCGTCACCATGGCTTAGTCATGCCAAGCGGAGAGTTGTTCGCTCCCTCCATGCACGATCGATTCCCATACTCTCCACCTAATCTGCTCTCCGACGGAACGTTCCCTGCACAGTGGCGATCCTCCTTCGCACGAAGTCCTCTGTTGAACCCGTGCAGAATGGGCTTCACGAAAACTGCATCGAATACTGACCTAATGTCGACCTAATAATTGACCAAACTGACCACCCGGGATGACTACCACCTTCCTAATCGATATCCTCGTACCTTCCTGAACTCGCGCCGCGAGGCGACGGCGGACCGAATCCATCATTATACGTCTTATAATACACAGCGGCAAGAGCTTCTCGCGCCGCGCCGCATTGCTCCCCCCACTACCCACTAAGCGCTGCCCGGAAGAGCCAGGAAGTCTCTGCTCACCATGGTAGTCAACGGCGTTTTACCACCGCGTGGCGCGGGCCACAGTGTCGAAAAGAACGGCCGGCTGGAACCCGCGCGCTCAAAGGATATGGATGAACCGCGGGAGAACAGAATTCGAGATCTCCGACGGGTTTCCAGCTTTTTTACCTGCGCCGTCGAAGGATACTCCACCAGCCGAGGCTCTACCGCTCCGTGGGCCTGGAAGCGGGAGCAGTGACAAGGCAGGCAAACTTCGCGAAAATTACTCATTGGCAATCATTATTCGATGAACGCGACAATAACTTAAACTGATGCATCTCTTCATCTTTGATGCACACCGAAGAGGGTACAGTTGAGATAGTCGTACGCTCTATCGGTATGATCAATCATCACTATACCCACACCCGACAGGGGAAGGAACGTGATACTGCTAGTCATTCGCCTCACGCTCCCTTTTCCATCATTCAACCGGAACGGGCCCTTCCGAGCTGGTGGCGTCATCCATCCGATGCTGGCTGTGGAGAGCTGCGGGAATATCCGCAGAATCGGGACAGGATTTTTCTATCCAAATTTGTTGCCGCAGCCGCTCGGACGATATCAGAGGCTCGGAACTCACTCAGGATGTTCGCTAGGAGAGTCCCCAATCCCACATATTCGATCGAAAGGTACATAATACATTCATCTAACGGCCTGGAAAACCTCAACCCGATCGGAAGTCATCTCCAATCAGTGCTCGCGATCAATGCGAGCCGGCTCTGAAGGTTGAAAACCCCTCCCTGAGTCCCGAACTCTCACTTCAGTGTGGGAGACAGCTCAGCACTCAGTAGCAGCAGTAGGCGGCGAATCATATGTTCGAGGAAAGCGGATGCGCAGTTGGAATCTACCGAACGACCGAATATCCCCGTGATGGACTGTCATCGCAGCTTTCCCCTGGGGGCTCGGAGTTTTCTCCCTCAAACGAGACGGGAGTTCCCTCCTTTGCTCCGAGAGGCGTTGAGAGCCCCCTCCGTTAGCACAGCCGAGGGAGGAAGATGTAGGAGCGAGGGCGGCGGCGACAACAACGTGTGTTGGACGATACCGTTTGAATCCGATGTTTACTTGGAAGTGGCGCGGTATGATCGAATATTCGTGTTGAGAGAAGTCGAAGGATAGATAGACCTGTTAGCCTTTGGTTCCCGCCTGGATTCAGAGACATGGACTACCCGGATCGAGTGGGTGAAATCCCTCGAGTTCTCGCTCGGTCTGAGTTCGCAAAGCGGATGTTCAAAGAAAAGGTCAGTCTCCTCTGGATTCCCGATCGGGAGCCGCCGGATCGTAAGAAGATACAGCCCCCGTCCACAATTTTGACCTCCGCTCTCAAGCACTGGAAATCCTCAGTCACCACAGCACAGACATTCCGAATGCATTCGTCGAACTAGAGCCCTCGTCCAGGGGATATCTCCGGTAGAGGCCAGCGTCAACGAATTCGAGGCATTTGTTTCAGGTTGAGCGGGAGCGGATGCAACAGGCGGAACAATCCAAGTTCCGCGCACGCGAATGTGAGGTGATTAAAAGGAAACCGTTCCAACCGATTCTCGAGCATAATCGGACGAAGCCTGATGATGTTGTTCTGCACTCGACGGTCCGGGCTAATGAGAGACGGAAATTCGAAGAGTACCTCGGCGAGAAGAACAGATTGAAAGAGGAGCACGAGAAGGTTCGGAATTCAGCGTTCTCTGTAGAGCCAGTTCGGGTCAACGTCGATGATTCCCTTATCCCTTATCTATTGCTTTCGCATCACAGGAAGAACGCGCTCGACAAGAGATTGAGGCCCAAGAAGCCCTGAAGATCTACCGCCGAAAACTAGAGTTCAAAGCGCGACCCGTACCCGGCTCAAATTGTGAGCCCTACAGGCCCCAGCCGTCCTCCCGGCTCCTCACCGTCCCCGCAACCCCTTTCGTGCTCAAGCGATCCCATAGTAAATGAGCTGAAACTCATACACTCATTGTATATTTCTTGTCAGTGCCTGGAAATCTGCTGAGATTTCCCTCTGGTCTTTGTCGGCGTGAATTGGAATTCCTGGAAAAGAGCTCGAGGAATTCGGCTGTATAGGGGACTCGCTTGTGTCATTCCTCTGATTCCATTAGATATTCGTTCGAGCGCTCAAAAGACTGAGAGAAAAGGGGAAAAAATTTGACCATGTTCTTAATAAACTAATAGTACTAATAGTATTGGGTAATGAGTAGACATTACTACATTATCGCTGAAGACCTCCCCTCAATCAGATCTATCCAGTCAATGGATGATTTATTCTCACAAAATTCATACACCATGGATTTTCCCAATCATTTCCATTGAAATCAAATCTCTCCCATGAGACCGACAGGATTCCAATAGCCCGCGTGATTTCAGATTTTATTTCCGGATGATAGCCGCCTGAGAATTCGCTCACTGGCTCGAGATGTGAAGTCTCCCACACGCGTGACAGGTCATCGAACGTCGTTTACAATTGTCAATTTTAAGTCGTAAATCGAAGGAACTGTGACACATATTCCCTTCAGAAAGAGTCAGTGTCAAGGGCAAACCAGGGCTATAAAATCTTCGGGGTCCCGGTCTCGATTCGCAACCGTGCTTTTCAAAACCTCCTTCAATCGAGAGGATAACACTCATTCGCTGTACAAACATAATAATCTTCTCCGTCATCCTATTTATAATATAGACACAAGCTGTACACACTCACTCACGAGCTGCCTGACTGAGATCACAATCATATGCACGCAATCGGTACATCGGTAGACTCGTCTAGTAACTTCATTATCGAACATCACGCATGCTAACAATTCTCCATCAATTATTTCAACTCGATGAACTTTTCCTGGAGCGTCCATCGTTCACTCTGAGAGCTCTGCCGTCATCCATTCGCAACAAACCTCTCTCCCGGATGATCCGCATACCTATGGATTCGATTTCGGACAATTTCATCGAATTTCACGAATTTGGTCTTTTGGCATCATTAACTGTCTGTCTCCATCGGCACTTCGCCGGTTTCGGGCGAACTAAGCTCGGAGAGGAGCGCTGTCGCCTCGGCCAGAGTATCCTGAGCTGAGACCGTTCGTTGGAAGGTTTTCGTGTTCGAGTCTTCATTGCTCATCTCCACCGCACCGTCGTCTTTTCCCTGGCCGTCTGAACTGGTGACGAGCCGCTCCATTTGATTTTGCAGCCACTCGACAGCCCATTGCCAACTCTGGACGCTCTTGACAAGGTACTCTTTGGCAGTGTCGGTTTTCGTGGCCAGAGTCACGAGGAACTTGATCCCCTGATACGCGCGACGACTATCGTTGTCCTGATTCGCGGCCACGATCGATAGGATACCGTCTTGATCTGGGGGTGCGCCGTTTATGATGAGCTCCACTCGTTCGCAGCACAGGTTGTCTTGGATCTGCATGAGCTTCATCAAGAGTTGAGAGAGATTCCTCAGTTCGTTGGAAGACACCGTTGCGAAGTGACTCATCGCTTGTTTGATGATAAGTCGCGACAGGTTTTCGTTACAGTAACTCAGCTGAGCCAAAAGACTAAATATTGCTCTCGCATTTGCCAATGAGGTTTCGGCGCACGCGCAGATGAGCTCGTGAATGAGTCGATACGTTCCTGGAGAAGTCAACGATTCCCTGACAAGGTCGGGCAGCGGGAGCGGTTGCTCAACGGAAATCGGTATGATATTATCACACTCGGGCTGAACGGTGTACAGGGGCGAGAGATCGCACACCTGGATGAGACTCGCCAACGTCCGATGGACGAAGATCAGCTCCTGAGCTTGGCTCTGACTCCATCGACGCGGTACAAGTTCCTGGGGAAGAAATCGTCCGATGAGCGACTTTTGAAATACCAATCTCTATCGTAATCTGATCATCGAGGGGACGAGCCCAGCGATACGGTCTCGGGGATTCCCCCGTTTCTCCGATCTTCGTGATCGACGCGTTACTTACGTCACTGCTCAGATCGCACGCTCTCTCGCCCAGGAGGAATACGACCAGCCGTCGGTATGCACCAAGTCGGAACAATTGCTCACAGGTTTTCGAGCCGACCTGCGCATACGAAGACAGCACTGTGAAGTACTCGTTGCTTTGTCGGCAGTTTTCTTCTACTTCTTTGTCTAATAATTGCAGGAGCTTCTCCAGCACAAGATCCACTTCTGCTGATTTGTTCGAATGGAGACACTTGTCTATGATCCGACTGAAAAACGACCGAATGTTCCGCAGAGGACAGTCGAGAAGGTAAAGCCTGCGGGGAAGAGGAAAAAAATCGTCGATCAGCGATGAAAAATTTTGTTGTTGCTGTTGGATGTTCCGATACTCAGAATAAGAAGCTATGTGAATGCATGTAGCACAAAGAAAAAAAAATACGGACAAATACGAACTTGATCAGACTGGAGCCCTGGGTTGAGAAAAAGCGCAAGAGCCACAAGGCTGCTGAGGCACTCACGATGAGCAACTTATCTATCAGGGCGATCCAGTTTTCGATGACTCCACTGGAACGAGACGAGTCGCCGTTAGGTACATTGGAAGACCGAGAGCTATTCCGAAAGGAACAGGTGGTCAAGCTTCTATGATAGAGCGTTCGTCCGTAGAACCTACCTGTCCTTGTGCTTGTACTTGAGGTAGGTGTTCAATAAAAAGTGAGTTCCCAATTTTATGCTCTCCACCATGAGCTGATCGAAGTCCTTGCTGGCCACGGGCGGACCTTCCACATTAACAGAGCACAGTTGCAGCATAAAATTCATGTAGTCCAAATTGTAGAGTTCCTTATTGTGCATGAACTCCAGATTCTCCTCGTGAACTTGTTGTTGGATCTGTGGAGGAACCTTCGACGGGAACAAGCCCTGTCTCTCGCCGTGGTCAACCAGGTGGGTCAGCTGACTGAGACTGTCAGCCTTGAGGGGTGCCAAGCACGCGCTCTTGCTGCCGCTGTGCACCTGCATTGGCTTCTCGACGTAGAACGAGAAGCGTCCCTTATGAGCCTTGGGAGTCTTCGCCGATTGGGGGTTCGCCGAAAAGTTCTTCCGTTCGTAAAATAGCATGTAGGCATTCCAGTGCCGGACGCGGTCTTCGGGATAGAACGAGGAGGTGTCGGAGACCTTGGCTTTGTAGTTGCCTCCAAAGCACTCGGTCTCCAGAGTCGAGTCGGTGAGCTCAATTTTCTCGACGGTCGTGTCGTTGAACTTGAACCACGTGTTGGGTAGATGCTTTTCTCGCCTATCTTTGATGAACGAATAATAATGACCGGCATTGGCTTGCCCGCTGTGCACGACGGCCCCAACCAGTTGATAGCACTCGTTGCTCTCGAACAGATCTGACCCGCCGCTGTCTTTCTTCTCGAGATGCTGCATTGTGTACGGAGCCATGTCCAGTACCCACGGGAACTTGAAATAGTAGTCGAACTTCACGGCCCGATTCGCCTCGAAATCAAATCCGAAGCGTTTGAGTTGAATGGTCAATACGGGGGGCAGTTTCTTAATGCACAACCTTTTCACAGCGTCCCTCTTCTGTCCGCACTGCTCACAGAAATACGCGTTGTCTCCGCTCAGCAGTTCGCCGCGGACAAACTGCTCGAGGCTCTCGACCAGGCTCTGGCTCTTGACCGGGAGGTTCAGAGCCATGAAAGACTCGTCCCGATCGTATCTGTGCGGACACCCTTGACAGATCATCTGATCGGAGAATATACCCTCGTAGAAGGGTTTGAAAAGCGCGTCGGTGGCCACCTTCTTCTCGAGATATTCGTCGACCTGGTCGACAAGGTGCGTGAAGAACTCGAACGCGTCGTGTTGTTCTCTCACATTCACCGGAATGCCCCAGAGTCTGAACGACTTCCAGAACTGTTCCGGAATGTAGTATTCCAGCTGGGAGTCGGTCAAATGTGCGAAAACGTTCTGCAGCTGATAAAGTATTGTGTCTGACTCGACTTTCTCGCATTCGACGCCGAGGATCGCTTCTTTCAGTTGAGGTTGCATAAAGATCTGTTGGAGGACCGCGTTCATGTAACAGGTGGCCCCGGCGTTCTTCAGTCCGACGAGGCCCGATCCGCTCCGACCGCTGATCAAAGGCTCGAATTCGAATTCTTTGGCGAGCTCGCTGTTCAGCCTGTGGTGCCGTTTCACCAGCCAGTGAGTTATGCTCACCATGTTCGGAAGACTACTCCTCGCTAATTCCACGAGGATATTATAGGCGGCCCGACGGCTCTCGATGGTCGTGCATTTTGGAATGAAGCTCTCGAACGGAACTTTGTTCTTCACACCGATGAAGGACGATGCGGGGAAGAGATAGTGTTCCAGGAGATTGTTGATGAGAGTCTTCCCCAGAGCGCTCTTCTTTTCTTCGTTGCACAGTAGCAGCGCTTTTATGAGACTGAAGTGGCCGGCCATCAATTTTCCATCGGTTTCTTCCAGCGACTTAGTTGTGGTGAAACCCTGCATCCAATTAATTTCCTCGTCCAACATGCTTCCCGTATCGACCCCGTACTGCTCGTGATTGACCTTCGTGTCGTAGAGGATTCTACAGGCCAGGTCGAAATACTCGAGGCATTGCGCCAGAACCTGTCTTGTATGGCCTCTGGCTCGACTAGAAGACACCCAGAGCGGTAGTCGGGACTTGAGCAGCACCTGCAGGAAAAAACACCGGGAGTCGTGCTGCAGCTGACTCAGATGGTAGAAACCCTGTGAGGCCGTTTTCCGCACGCTGGTGCTCGATGCGCCCACCAGCAGATCGATTATGAAGGCTTCGACGCACTGGAGCTCTTTGAAGAACGAGAGGCCGTGCAACATGCGTTGCTCGAGACACTCGACCAGAAACTCCAGCGCTTCGATGGCCAATAGCGAGTCGAGTCGCTGAGAGCTGTTGTCGACGAGCTTTGACGACAGACTCTGCATGTCGATGTCGTTGCTCCCGTTGCTTCCGGCCGAGCCCCCGCTGTCCATCCGACCGTGGAACTGACGTCTGGAGTCGCAGAAGTGACCGCCTTTCTGAGGGAGATTATTGTTCACGGCCGATAAGCAGCCCACGGCAGACGCCCACGCCACCCGAATGATTGCGTCCAAGAGTTTGTGGAGCTCCCCGACTCGCATCTGCAGAATAAGCAGCTGCAGGTCGACCTTTCGAGGCGTGAGTCCCGTTTTCGCGGGAGGTAATACGAAGTCTACGTTCCCTTTTTTCGCCCCCGCCGTTGCAGCAGCGGCTGACTGGTTCCACTTTGCCGGGGAGGCGGACGGGGTTCGACAGGGGTCGTTAGGCTGAGGGGCAACGACCACCGGTTGAATTGCAGAGTCGAGCACGCTTTTCCCACAGGAGAGGAAACGCAAAACTTGAAGAGCCGAGAAGTAACAGCCGCGTTGAATGTTGTAGTCGATGTCGGACGGGAACGTGTTCTGGTGTAGGACGTTCAGGATCATTGCGACGCCTCCGGCTCGCACGAACGCCTCGCAGAACGCTTGTGAGAAGTTGTCCTGGTTCACCGGCATAAGCTTCGCACTGAGAACCTGTAATCGAAGGGAAGTACTGTTTTTAGGGGAACTATGTGCGAATCGAAAAAAGAGGAATCAGAGCATCCGAGGGGGGACATGGCTCGGACGAGGGACGATGTCGAGGGAACGCTGTCATCATTCAACTACAAGTCCACGCGTCGGAGATCGCTCACCTGAAGGTTGTAGAGCAGCTTGAAAGGCTGTCCTGTGAAGCCGAAGAGCTTCTGCAGGACGTCTTTCGGATTGATCGGCTGGGAGATCTGTCTCTGCAGAGGACTCACGGTCGGTCTTGGTGGTCCATCGAACGCCAGCTTTCGTTGGGTTGAAGCCGGAACGATGGGATCGACCTTTGTCCCGCTGCGAATCGAGTCCAAAGCCGCAATGACTTGGGGGTCCGAGGGCATCAGATCTAGCAGCGTCTGAACCTGAGTGATTATCTTGGGGTTTTCCAAAGCAGCTACGAGCTGATAGAGCATATTGAAAACGGCTACGTTGTTCGATATCACGACGCTGGGCAATTCCTTCTCTTGTTTTGAGTAGTTCGAAGGCGAAAACGCCGCCGAAGGTTTCAGATGGGAGGAATATCCGACCGGAGATGAGCTTCCCGCCGAGACCTCCTTGTCCCGATTGGAACCTCCTTGAACTTTGACCTGGAGGAAACATTCCTCGGCTTCCATGAGCTGGGGAATCTCGCATAGCCGTTTCATGTCCTCTGTTGCCGAGAGGATGATGTCACCGTTCAAATAACACAATGTTGTCTGAGCCGTGGTGCCCAGGAGTTGGTTGACTTTCTTCTTGGTCGCCTGGATCGTTGCGTTCGAGTGGCATCGCAACAGCTGGAAGTTGATTCCGTCGGTGGTGCATTTCAGTATGATCGGATAACCGAAACAAGAGACACCGTGAGGAGCTCGCACGCGGACACTGCCGTGGCTGGACTCTATCGAGCTGATGTAGCGTTCGACAAGGTGTAATAAACGACATATCGCCTGAGTTGAAGACGGGAGCGGAAATTTTTCCGGCGTGCAGTTGTTCTCGGTTTCGCCTATCGTCGCGCTCATGATCGCAGTCACCAGCTGCGGATCGTTGCAGCTGTCGGCCACCTGCCGGAGCCTCACGTAGCATTGCTGGGCGAATTGAGTGTGGAGTTTGATTGGGTCTTTCTTCAGGGTGGGCGACAGTTGCCGGTAGCATATGTCCAGGATGAAATCGATGCTCAGCTCGGCGATGTCATCGGTTTCGTTATTCAGAACCAGCTGCCAAAGGTAGTCGGCGCCGATCAGTGAAGCTTTCTCCACCGTGAATTGCTCGCGGTTCTTTCGGAGATTCTTCGCGTCTCTGTTCACAGCTTCGAAGAACGCCTTGAAACACATGAAGGCTTTGTGGCTCATTGTGCAAGGTTCGATCTGCATCAGTTTTTGCTCGAAGAGTTTCAAGCGAGTCTCCTCATCAAGATCCATCATGCATTTCTCAAAGAACTCGAAGCACATTTCCTGATCGGCGATGCACGAGTTCGGATTCTCTCTCGAGAGCGTCTTCCAGATTTGGATCGCTTCCTGAAGCGTCAGGTATTCGTTGCATTGGTTCAGAGCGAATTCGAGAAACTCCAAGTGCTCCGAAACATATTCTTGGTGCGTGTAGAGATTGTCTAGATGTAGCGACGTTTCCAGCAGACAGTTGTTGTCTTTCAGCATTTTCAGAGGCGTCGGCGGGGAATGTCTTTGGAAAAGACTCGCCTGCCGGTCGGCTCTACGGCTCGCGTTGAACTGCTCGACGGAGCGCGTGTGGCACTCCGACAGGCTTTTCGTCGCGAGCGAAACTAATTTGGCCGTCGCCTTAAATTCATCGAGGAAGTTCTGGAATATGGAAAAATGACGTCAGAGGGGAAAATCTCCGAGAATCGCCGAGGGATTTCGCACGGAAGGAACGCTTTGTCTCTTCCGCCAGTTGGAACCTTTGGTTTTTTTTTTAAGTCGACAAGGCGTCGCTCACTGACCTTATCTTGCTTGGAATTCGGCGCGTTACGAGTCGTTGATGTTCCACAGAGGATCCATTTGAGGAATCGTAACGACGGGAGGACGAGGGAACCTGAGCTGATATCGCTGATACATGCATCGGCGAATTTCTTCTTCGCTTTGCCTTTGTGATTACTGTTTAGCGCTGCTAAGATGTTCAGCAACTGCTCCAATGAGTGTTCGACAAGATGACGGCTGAGTTGTGGAGTTTTCACCAATTTCCAGATCAGGTCCAGCGTCTGCAAAAGCATCAGGATGACATACATGAAGAGACCAATCGATACGACTGACGGATGCCTTGAGTGAGGAGGAATAGCCGATGCTTTTTGATCTACATATGTTCTTAGTTGGAGCTCGATCCTCACCAAAAGAGAGTTCTCGACGCGGCAATTCTCTGCGATCAGATCTTTGCCCATTTTTCCGAGAAATGTCATCAGCCTCTTCTTTGCCTCTTCGGAGCAATTCTCATTCCAGGACGTTTCGACCAAGGAGAGCAGCTTCCGAAGCAGATTCTCATTGAAGTGGCACGCCGCCGCAGCGACGCAGTAATGCACATTGTCCGCCGTGGTGCAGTTCTGCCGATCCTGCATCGCCCAAATACGCTCAACGTCCTCCTCGGTCAAAGTTGACGCGACGCACTCGATGACGGCCTTTAATTTATCATTGTAGTGCGACTGCTCGATGTTATCTGCGGATACACGAAAAATTCCTCGATCAGGCAGCCGTTCTTCAATCGATCTGCGTCTCTGTGCATTGGAACTTCTCCAAGCGATGACACTCACTTTCAAGCACCAAGTGCAGCACCGAGTTCTCGGTCAGCCATGTCACGAGGAAATCCCTCGGAATGCTGACCCGTGTCTGTTTCGTGGAAGCACTCTCCTCGATCAACTGGATGATCTACAAACGAAAACAAGGAGCTCACGGTCATTGCCAATCGATGACCCCGACTTGCCGTGTGAGACCCATGAAGCCCATTCAATGACTCTCACCTCTTTGAAACCGCAAGTTCTCGCCGCGAAGTGCGGGCTCCGCAAAAGTCTCAGGATGACTTGCATCGCGACTTGCGTGAAGTCTTGCAGCTGATCGGACCATAGGAATGCACAAATTTGACGTAAGGCGTTCACCAAGTCTGGTAGATATGATATGTTTTTCACTTTCAGATCCGCGTCCGTCAGGCCTACCGAAAAGATAAATTAGTTTAGCTCGACTCGAATGGGCGGAACCCTTCAAACTGTCCTGTGCGGACGCCTGGAAAATTAGGCGGATAATCCGTTGTCTTGGGCATGGCACTGTGACTCATCCACCGCATGTCACATGGTCATTGGAATCATCGATAACGCAGCCGGAGAGGTATCGATTTCCCGATGTTTTGACTACTCCGACTAAATCGCAAACAAAAAGCATCCTATCATGCATTCATCACGAGCCATCCAGACTGACCGTTGACGAATTTGAGCGCTTTTTGAATACAAGGATCAAACACTTGTTTCATGGGCTCTAATTTATACAGTTGGGCGGGTTTGGATAAGGGCTGAAGCATCGAGGCCATCACAGGACCTGCCACATCTTCCTGTAGGAAAAGTGACTGCATCGAGTCAAATCCCCATTGGGCAGAAAATTTGTTCAGCAGTTCCTGGAGCCAACCAAACTCAAACGAGTCCGTAACATCAGACGGTTCCTCATACCTGACGTTTCGATTGCGAACATGAAACTCACAATCCGGATCAAATACCTGAAATTATCGGAATCTTCTTTTGAGTTCAGAAACAGAAACGAGCTTCGGAATATCCTCGACGCGCCTCAAACGAGCTGAGAGCGTGATTTCGCAATCGAATCATGGCATTGGCAGCAAACACTTACAATTGAAAGTATTGATAGGACACTTTCCGGTGCTTGACCCGATCGGAGGTAAGCGCAACAGACGTCGATGAAGATCAAAGCCATGTGTTTGACACCCTCTTGCACATCTTGAGCCCAGGAGGACACTGGGAAAGATGCGCAGAGTTTTCGAAAACACTCTGGCATGACATGGTCCACGAACTGTTTGCAGCCTTCATCTGTTTCAGCCGTCCCTGCATTGAAATTTGACCTTAGTGAAATCCAAAACGGACTTGGAACTCAGCGCGTCCCGACGTGCGACGGCGGAGCCCTGATCCGAAGTCTCCGGGAACTCCCCATCGAGCGGGAGAGGAATCGACCCTCCAACCGGAACTAACCCGCTTCGACCAGCCGGATCGTTGCCTGCATGCATCGCGCAAGCGCCTCATCTTCCTTGTACGGTATCGACCAGTCCTGTACGAATACTCTATTTTGGAGATCTTGTAGGAACGACGCCGGGAACTCTAGCGGATCGATGGGTTCCATCGGTGATGCGGTGATCTGGAAAAAGGTAACACGAGAGATGAGATGAAGTTCGGACATTTAGAAAATTGGAAATGAAAAGATTCATCGAGCCGTTCCTCGTATCAGGTACGGGGCGTCATGGCGTCATGCTGGACTGGAGATAAGGAAAGATACACCCATGAGTGGCCGCCGGGGGCGGCAAAGGTGTCGGTGTGTGTCATCGCATGCCGTTTGGAGCCTCTCCGCTTCACGGCTGCCCGGTTATGATAATACCTCTTCGAGGGGAAATCTCTCTCAGAGCCGTGACTACATTCCCAGACCGGGAATTGGCCCCTTGCGACTCATCGAGGACGAAATAAATCGACTCATCGATATTTATCTGAATTATAATCCATCCTCTTTGCTTGATCGAATTGTCGAGCCTATATGCCGATGCGATATCTCGCAATCCTGCCGGCTCGCGCGCGGACCGATACCCGTGAGCCTATTCCGGCAACGGGAAACTGTCACTACGTAGGATTCCGGCGAAGACGTAGATGACGGGTGCCTCACCCTCTCTACAACAAGTTGCCCGCCATAATCGGGATCTCCCAACGTGGGCACCGCCGCTGCCGTAGGAGTGACAGCTGACAGACACATGGGGTCAGGGCTGCAACAATGTTGTAGAATCACTCAATGAAACCGGACACGCAATCACGTCGGAGCGAGAGCGTCGGCAACCGGGCGGCTTGACGTCGCGTTCTCGGCAAATGCGCAGCTTCCAGATGAACATGGAGTTGTTGTTGTTGTCCGGAGGCCGAGCGCATGTGCCGCTAGACGACTAATGAGGGGTTCGGTCGGGGAGGTAGCGCGAGCCAGAAACGTATTTTCCACCTTCGAACATTTTTGCACGACGCGCGTCACCTTCCCACGGCACGAAATCGAGCTGTTCGAGATCCACGCAGAACCGAACGGGCGCGGCTCGGTGGTATTTCGACGCGCCTGCCGCTACTTCGAGAACGTCACTCACAGTAAGCAGGATACAGAAGTGGAAACACCTACCTGCTGAGACGTCGAGCTGAAATCGTAGTTGATCTCGGGAAAACATCGCGGAGGATCGGATGTGAGGATCGACACCGCCTCGCTAACGTCATTATTGGCTTTCTTGAGGGCGTTCTTGATAGCCGTCACATCGCTGAAGCCCATAGACAGCAGGGTTGCGATGTTTTCGTCGTCGGCGAACGTGTCGCCCATTGTGAAATAGGTTTGGTGCGGCTGCGAATCACGTCGCACAGCGGCTCATCACGCACCGCCACAGTCCGGTCCTAATGTTGACGTTACGCACAGAAACTGCGAAGACCGATTGCACCGATCTCGCTGCTCGAGACGGCAAACTACGGAAGGCGTGAGCTGTGATCGGCGGCGGAGAAGGGTGCAGCCATTTTACGCTGGATGTATTTTCGAGACCGCATCTGTTTACACTGATTAAGCGTGACCGTTCGACGCTAGCCGTCCCGGTCCCCAAAAACAGTCACCGAGCTCGGTTCGGAACCCGAGAGAAGCGTGCTCCTCTAAATGCGAGGTGCGATCGCGACCGCTATCGCTTATGGTCGCGGTCGGGTCTTTGGAGGATGCGAGCCCACCGGGAGTCCTTTAGGGCGTATTTTGGTCAGCGCAGCACGTGGATTCCGAGACGGAGTTCACCAGTAGTGCCAGAGCGGCGAGAATCGTGGCAGTAGGCGCGAGACACGTATTTCCGAAGTGAATTCCCGATTTCGTTCGACTCTGTGACGTGTTAGTGCGGTGTGCGATCAGTGATCAACATGGGGAAGGATCACAAAGTGGCTCCCCGCAGGGGGATCGACAAAGGCAACCATTCGATGAATCCGGACAGGGAGCGCAAAAACACCAATATGAGGGACCGAGCGACTATTCGGAGACTTTTAATGTATAAGAATCAGGCACCGATTCGAAACCGCAAGGGGAAAATCGTCAAGGCCGCACCGTACCAGAGCTGGGTTTCGAGCGGAGCCGTCTCGAGGATTGCACCGAACCAGAAGTGGTTCGGCAATACGAAAGTCGTCACTCAGACCGCTCTCCAGAAATTCCAGGAGGCCCTGGGCAAGGTCATGAAGGATCCGTACCAGGTCATCATGAAGCAAACGAAACTCCCGGTCACGCTCTTGAACGAAACCGCCAAGACGAAGAACGTCCATATCTTGGACACCGCCTCCTACGAACAGACTTTCGGTCCCAAAGCACAACGTAAGAAGCCCCTAATCCGGGCTTCCGATCTCGAGGAGCTCAGGAAGATGGCTGAAGATCGCGAGAATAAATACAAACCCGAGGAAGACAGAGATCTCGCGGTGGACACCGGAGGAGTTCGGGAGGAGGCCAAGGATAGCATCATGTTGAAAGGTCAATCGAAGAGAATTTGGAACGAGCTGTATAAAGTTATCGATTCGTCCGATGTTGTCATCCAAGTGTTGGACGCCAGAGATCCCCTGGGGACTCGTTCGAAGTTCATTGAGAATTTTATCCGGAAGGAGAAAGGTCATAAGCATTTGGTTTTCGTGTTGAACAAGTGTGATCTCATACCGACTTGGGTCACCCAGCGATGGGTGACCACTTTGAGTGCCGAGTATCCGACGATGGCCTTCCATGCCTCTATGAGGAATCCCTTCGGCAAAGGGGCTCTCATTAATTTACTTCGACAATTCGGAAAGCTCCACACGGACAAGAAGCAGATCTCTGTCGGCCTCATCGGATACCCAAATGTCGGCAAAAGCTCCGTGATCAACGCTCTCAAAGCGAAGAAAGTGTGCAGTACCGCTCCCATTGCCGGAGAGACCAAGGTCTGGCAATACGTTACGTTGATGCGCAAGATCTACTTGATCGATTGTCCCGGAGTTGTGTACCCTCAGGGGGATAGCGATACGCAAGTGGTTTTGAAAGGTGTCGTCCGGGTGGAGAACATCAAGGATCCCGAAGACCACATTCCGGAAGTACTGAATCGAGTCAAATACGATTACCTGAAGAAAACCTACAAAATTGAAGATTGGAGCGACCCGACCGACTTCCTTGAGAAAATCGCTCGCCGCTACGGGAAACTTCTGAAAAAAGGCGAACCTGATATCAATACGGTGGCCAAGATGGTATTGAACGATTTCCAGAGGGGGAAACTGCCGTATTTCGTTCGACCTCCTTCCATGGAGGAGCACCCCATGGAGGAGAACGCCCATACTCTAAAGAAGAAGAAATCGAAGGAAGGTCAGGAAGAACAGGAGATGCCTCGGGTTAATCAAGACTTCCGGAAGATTGAGCTTGAGAACGAGTTCAATGAGGAAGACATCGAGCCCTTGAAGCCGATCGAAGGCGACACCGACGACGAGGAGAAAGAAGACAGCGGGGCCGAAGACGACCAGCAAGAGACTCCGAAACCCGCGGAGAGCCCAAAGGAGAGCACTTTCGAGAAAAGTCTGGAGAAAGCTCAGAAGGAAGAAAAAGAATACAGCAGAGGGAAAAATATGCCAAACAAGAAAATCTCTGTCTATCAAGCCCGTTGGCTGGCGAAGAAAATGGGGCTCCAGTTAACGCCGATGGAGATAACGAAGACCTTGCTGGCTACCGAAGAGGAACTCGAGAAGGAAGAGGAAAATTTGCGGCGTAAGGACCGCGACGGCGGAGTTGAGCCAGTCACCATCCAGGTCAAACCCCGAGAGTTCGGCGCCGATTTCCTCAGTGTGAGTTGTCCTCGGAAATATCAATTTCCTTTGAATTCCCCTTTTCGTATGGTTCGCGAGCGGCGGCTGATCGGGCCGAGCGTATCTAGAGGAAGAATTTTCATTCTTGATGTTGCAACAAACTAATCTCTATTACAGATCGAGGATGAACCCCGGAAGAAAAAACAAAAGAAAGACACCATCGATCGATCGGCATCCGGCGGTGACGAGCCGCAGGCCTCAGCTGACAGCGCACAGCCGAGTACCAGCCGGGGGAGGACGTTTGAGTACAAAGGTTGGATGGTCGACGAAGAGAAGAGCGACCACTCCGACACCGAGTACGACGAAGCCCTGCGAGAAGAGAAGCGGAAACAGTGGAAGGTCGAGGAAGCGAAACAGACGAAAAGCAAGAGCGGTCGCGAGAGACAAGCTGTCAATCGAAAGACTCGAGGCTTCGCCGTGACAGGAATGATGATGAAGGAACTCAAGGATCGAGCCCAGGATGCTAAAAAGCAGAGAAAAATAGAAGCCGCCGATAACGAGAGCGATGAGGAGGAATCCCAGCCGAAAATCACAGGGAAGGCCAAGAGAGCCATGTACAACGCTCAGAAAGTCAAACGGATCGGAACCCATTATTATGAGACGGCGAACGTCAAAAACCGGAACCGGGACAGAGTCGGTGTCGTTGATCCAGAAATGGCTAATCGTGGTCATCAGAGAACGAGCAAAGACAGATCGAAACGGCCTGGCGGTAGATAGTCTTGTTTCCATCTATACACAAGTTGAAATAAATGGAAGTCTTGTAATTTCATCGGCAGGGATATGTTTATTCAAGCCCTCGTTCAGATGCCCATCCTCATAGCCTCCTGAGAGCTGTGGAATTCCGAGGAGACTATAGATTCAGCTTATCGCCACAGGGATCGAAATGAATGCTCTCTCGAGGCGCTGTATACAAACAACAGAGTCCGCTAACAACAACGGCAACGAAGGGGAATTTATGTACAGCCTATTCACATCTAAAATTGATATTATTGGCGTCCAAGCCTTTCACAGTGGAAATTAAACGTCGTTCTCGGGAACCCAAAATAGGAGCTCACCAGAAGCGCCCGCCGCACAGATCGTGCGATTGTACATGGCAGCCTGAAAATTCGGTTCTTACATGAGATGTGGATAAAATCAGAAATACTCGAAACGTCGATGGTGGCATCGGAGGAGTATTGATTGACCGCTACGGGATGAGGGAATGCATCATTCGTTTTCTTACCTTTGTGATGCCTCCGGGGATCGTTTGCCTCGTTATGGAGGTGAGCCGTTCGGTCGGCTCCAGGACTATGAGCCGGTCGGAACCCGCTGCGACGAGAACGCTTCCCCATGAATAATTTACACTCCGAATGTGTTTGTCGCTGATTCTCTTCTGAATAACGACCTGAGGCTCAGCCATGGTCTGCGTGTCCAGACAGGCAACATAACCGCGCGACGTTCCGATCCAAGTTTGGCCCCTATGGTGCGATATGGCTGTAGGATATCCCTTCAACTGGAAGGAAGGAGACCCGTGGGTACTCTAAGTATTTCGGTGATGGAGAAAGCGAGAAGGACCAGAATAATCGATAGCTTCAATGCTTCTCTGATCCGAGAGTTTTCACGGGACTCTCGAAGTCCCCTAGTTAGACCCGGAGAAGTATATGGACGAGTGAAACTAACCTTCTGGACGTTCGCAACTTTCTCGGCTCTGAGGTCGAAGATAGCTACAGTGCCATCTTTGCTGCCAGAAACGATCATCTGTAATCCGGAAATAGAGCATAGGGTTCAAATATATTCAGGAGTTTCCCAGCTGGATCATGGACCTCGTACTTCCGTGATAAGTGTCATGAACGTACTTCGTCGTCCATGGCCAGAGTGAGCACAATGTTCTTGTGGTACTCGAAACATTTAGTTTGACTTTTTGCTCGCTGGTCCTGCAAGTGGATCTTGGAGCCCATCGTCCCGCAGGCAACCAATCGATTACTTTGAGCGAGCGAGAGGACCGCCGCAGGATAGGTGACTGTGTCTAGCAGGGCCTCGGTTTCAATGTCCCAAGTTTTGACCGTCTGGTCGAATGATCCCGATACGAGCGTGCTCTTATCGAGCTGTTCTATCGACCAAATCCACGCGCTGTGGGACTTGTTGAATCGCTTGTGAAGGACGAGTTCTTCCGAGTCGAACTTCCACACTTTCAACTGATGGTCCCGTCCGCCTGAGACGCAGAAGGAGCCATTCTGGAAGGACAAAAAAATTTCAGCGAGAAGAACACGAGCACAAGCCTTGGAGGGCTTGGAGGGATCGAAATCCCTGAATGCGATCCCTCGCAGAATCTCGCTTCTCCGATGCCGTATTTTGACGAGCAGTGGTCGGGAACTCATAGTCACCTCTATGAATCGCAATGCGTCGACAGCGGCGATGTGAGCTTCCTTCAACTCCACGAGCCGAACACCTCCTTGTTGCCAATTATGAAATGCATTCCAATGCTCTTCGCGCTCCCGGCAACATTCCGCCCAGTCCGGGGGCGGGATGGGATACTTGCCAGGCCATTTCGAAAACAGCCGCTGTCGCCACAGCGTCTTATCTCCAATCAAATATCGGAAGCGAAGAGATACTTCGCTCAGGACATCGAGGACAAAGGACGGCTCGAGGAAATTGAATATATGCCACAAAATTTCGTTCGGCAGGTCCTCCAGGGACGCCATCTAGGAACCTAGAACATTCTGGAATAAGAGACGTAATTCGTTTGAGGAAGATGATCGCGGATAGTGAAGAGCTCTAGAGAGAGTTCTCATTCGAACAGAGCCTGCCGTGGTGTACGTAATTGACTTGCTCCGCGTGCTCGATGCTCAATGAGCGTTGCTCGCTCATCAATGAAACCACCCACTTGGAATCGCGATCCGAAGCATCCAAGGAAATATCTCTATCCGACGAAGGAACGGAAAATGATAGTCTAATAATTCTGAGCGAGAAATTCGGACGATGGGATGGAAGCTAGCGAGGAATGAATTCTTCCAAGGCTATTTGCTCCAGGTTACTCTATAGGGATATTAGTCGATCGATAGTTTGGCCAGATATGCACGGCTCCGCGTAGTTCTCGAATAGAGTTCATGGCGAAACCACGACGTCGAAAATGGGTCAGAGACCAGCGAGAGCAAGCGCGTTCAGAGTATGCGTTCTGCAGCGATAGGCTTCTCTGGGCGATCAGCTGGACGAACAAGCTGTTCGACAGTTGTGGATCCGAAACTGTCCGCTCAGAAAACTCTAATGTCGACTTCCAGCGTCTCGCGAAGGGTCTACGGGAATCATGAAATTCGGTCAAACTCACCGAGCTCTCTTCGACTCGTGGAAAACGGTAGTCCTCAGAACATTCGTCAAACTATGAGCGAAACCCGAACAGCTGAGCGGCCGCTGCTAGTGCTGCTTTGCCCAGAGCTGTGCAGAAGCACGATACCACTGGACGGCGCCATGTTGTCATCATCTACAGGAGAGGGTAAAAACTAAAACACAACTGTGTAGCGCACCGGCGAGGCTCCCGGGAGATTGACCACGACTTCGCGAATTCGAACCATCATCACTCATGGGAAAAAAACGTGAGCAGCATTGACTGAGACTTTCAATTCAAGCCGACCAGGCGTTCGGCGGATACGACTCCCCATAATAGATAGGTTGAGCGAGTTTCCAATCGAGTCGAGGATCAACAAGATAATAGTCCTGTTCTTCAGGAACAAAACAGGCGGCGAAGAAGCAAGTCGCTCCCCCGGCTCTCGTCGTCGAGGAAGTCGAAGTTCCCCCGGCAGCAGAAGTAGCCATAGTTCCGGATGAAGCGGATGATCCAGGGATGTGCCTCATCAAGAAAATCGACAACTTCACCGAACGGTTAGAAGATCTAGAAAGACGGACCCGGCTCGCACTGCGAATCCCCGGCGATGAGATCAGGAACCAGCCGAGTCTGTTCACCAGACCGATCGGTTTCATCAAGAGCGCATACCCCGAAAAAACTGGAACTCCGAGACAGGGCGTGCTGTGTCCTGACGTGCGCGCCGAGCTCACCATCGAGAAGGAAATTTTCACCAACGCACAGCACTCACTCGATGGATTAAGTGGCTTCTCGCATATCTGGCTGATATTCTGGTTCCATTTGAACGAGGGCCCTGCCGTCAGGGCCAAGGTGAAGCCCCCTCGACTGGAAGGGAAAGAGTCGAAAGGAGTCTTCGCCACCCGATCTCCCCACCGACCCAATCCGCTGGGCCTCTCTCTAGTGAAGCTCGACAAGATCGTCGGAGAAAAATTGTTCATTACGGGTGTGGACCTAGTCGACGGAACCCCAGTATTGGACATAAAACCTTTCATACGGTCCTACGATTCACCAGCAGTAGGAAGCGAAGAGAAGTCTCCCGCGAGCTGGGTCTCTCTCACGGACTCGAATCTCCCATCATTGAAAGCAGTCCAGTTCACGTCGTATGCTTTGCGGAAATTGGCGCGGTATCATGGTCGCTGCGCCGAAGAATGTGGTAACTGCCTCCGATACCTCGACGAAACTTCACTTTATGCGGCTATGGCGGAATTGCTCAAGACAGATCTGCGATCTCGGTATCGGAAAGAGAAATGCTCCGATAGAATCCAGATCGTCTCTATCGACAACCTCAAAGTCAGCGTTTGGTATGACGACGAAGGAAATGCACATGTTCTCAATTTGGAATCCAGAGATGAGAAGAGAGAGCATCCTGGAAGCGAGAAAGCCGAATTGGAATCCGGGCCGTGATGGAGAAAAATCAGGACATGACAAGTCGCACAATCTAGATTCATTCTGCGTTCCAGCCTTGCCTTCGCCAAACGAGAATTCTGAATAATCATTCTTAGAAATGATAGACTCCTCCGACCCTAGGTTCAGACTCCAACCTCGTCGCTGGGACACCTGTTGAATAATGTTTTCCGAATACAATGTTGAAACGTCTGCCGTTTCGAGATAGTACGATGCTGCATTCCTTCTGGATTCCCTCGGGCATCGATCTTCGACGTCCCGGGTAGGAGTAGGTATGGCTTATGAGAACTCTTCCCAGAGAATTGATGCTCAGATCCCGATGCCCGGCCTCGAGATTATAGTAGATTTCTGTTCGCCCTCATCTGGGAAGGTCTTGAAGTATGACCTCATCGGCGCGATAATCTTCTTGGCGATTGATGTGGTCGAATCGCGAGATCACGCTGCGCTTCCCTCGCGGAGAGAAAGGAGAAGATTGACTCGAGGGCTTCTGGTTGTACGACTGATTTCCGGAACGGAAATTCCTTCGAAGGTGACTCGTTGTGGACGAGGCGCTCCATCAGGCAGAGGAATCCGGCGCGATCCCGGAAAAGATCAAGGTTCCCCATTCCGGAGCGAGAACATCTCGAGTATTCCAAGTTACGCGCGAAATCAATGATCGCTCGGAGAGATCTTATATCCAGCTCCAGATTGTCTTATACTAAATTTATCGGGGAAGACAGCTTCCAAGCTTTAAAATCCGCTGTCGATAGCGCTTTCGACCGATGCGATGATGTGGATCCTCAGCGCTTTGTGACGTTCGACTTGGGGGATTTGCAACACGCTCAAACCGATAACAAAGGAGAGAGTGAGAAACACATCTCTGGACGATTGGCAACGGAGATGAAAATTATCGATCACCGACTCTCATTGTCCCGACTTGCTCAACGTGATCATTTCGCGTGCGTAGTGTCTTCCTCCACCGTACATCGGGTGAGTTGACGCTCCGATTCAGAGTCTCGGAACGGCCAAAAAGACGCCGCTCATGACGACTTTCGCGCTGCTCGACGTGTTTTGTTCACACGTCTTTTACGAAATCGGGGCATTCATTTTGAACGGGAAAGTGGCTCCCGTGGAGCGTTCTATCCAACCATTGCATGGAATGTACAATAACTTCGTGATGCGGAGACCCGTGAGAACGGGGCATCGTCTGAGGGTGACTTCTCAGTGAGATCATCCTCAGCGGCGATGCCGTGGAGCCGAGCCCTTCCATGGATGGAGAACTGAGATGATCTTCTCACTAAATCTTGGTGACCCTCACGTTTTCCACCGAGTTGTTTACTTCACTCTATACGATTACAGTTGGCTGACACGTCGGAGTTGAATCAACACCGACGATGAGGTTTTGGCTCGCGACTTCCTGCCTCTATTTCTCGCTCCATATCTGGGTGGCTACAGCGAGCAAGGACTATTACTTCTGGAACTACGCGCTCCACCCCTACCAGACGTGTAAGTATATCGAAGAATAATGGAAGCCTGGAATTCCGATCAATTATTATCCATAGAAATGTACCACTCTGAATACCGTCACCATTGAAGATTATCTGGAGGATTACTGCGGACCGGTGGAGGGAATCGACTGCGCTTCCGAAGCCCACACGGTCTATCTGAACGAAACCGGCAGTGGGAGCGGTCTGGTCATTCGAGGATTCAGAGCTGCGAAACCGAGTATCGAGCGTAGCCTGAGATGCTGTATCCAGATGAAAACGACTACAGAAGGTCGTTTCAATGTACAACTCGACGAAATATACTTGAAGGAACGGAAAATCGGCGAAAGATGCGATAACTACCTCCGGGTGAGCGGTCAACACCTGAAGATATTGCCCAATATATGTGTACCTTCTGGATTCCCGGACTGAGTGTTCTCGGTCGGAGGGGGTCTCGAGGCAAGTCCGCTCAATCAACATTTCCTCGCGTAGTTCAAGGGTCTCGAGGAGGAACTTCTGCACGTTTGCAGCGAGGTTGAGAAGTACTCCTTCAAGACCGCTAAAAATGTCTTGGGGATTGAGTACGTCCTCAATTCTGACAACGCTCCGAACTTCCAAAAAATCAAAGTAGTGGTCACATCCTCCATCGACGTCGATCGTGAGTAGCTCCCCTTCTCGAATGCCTGCATCAAAGACTCTTGAATCATGGACGTTTATAAAAGACGGCGGCATCAGGATGATCTTCTCCCGATCCGAGAGAGATCGATCGTCTGCGAGGAGAAGTCTGATGTGAGATGGATCATTGAATGATTGATTGATTGATTCGCAGAAATGCAAAGCGGGCGATGCAACCCGGACAAAGAACAGTGGCAATGCGACGATGGCGGCTGCATCTGGGACGGTTTCCGATGCGATGCTCACAACAACTGCGGAGACTGGAGCGACGAACTCTATTGCGGTAAATGAGCGTGTTCGGGGTCTTCCCCTGTCTTGCCCAGCGCGACAAATTGAAGTTCCGCTGCGGCAGATCGTATGTTGAATCAAATCATCCTCAGAATCTCAAATCGACGATTGAATTTGTTTTCAGGGTTCTTCTCCAGATACTGGACGGTCTTCCTCGGTATCGCTTGCGGCTTATTCGTCGCGCTGCTCATCTGGTGCGTGTGCCGATGCTGCTGCTGTTGCTGTCCGTGCAAGAGATCGAGGATGAACAACGCCAATAAACCTTTCCTATACGTCACGGTGAGTTCCTCGGTCCTATCATTGGGGAGCAACTACGGGAATTTCCAGCTCAACGCGTGAGTCGCGACTTCTGCAATCGAATTCTCGACTCTCAATCGAAACTCTTTGCAGACCCTTGGTCCGAACGGGCGGCCTATGCCTGAGCAGAACCTGTACCCATCCCTTTCGGTGCCGTATCAGAACGCTCCGCCAGCTCGGCTCACGCCATTGAATCTAGCTGGTGCTCCGCCACCCTACAACGAGAACGCTTTCCTCAGTCCAGCGCAAAATCCAACCTACGGGACGAGCTCGAAGAGTTGATCATCGCGTGATTCCGTCGGACACAGCTCCGAGAAGACACCCGCAATTCATTCCCGTCATCGACCTCGGCTGAACATGCCTTCCAGGCCGGAAAACTGTTTTAATCAAACGAATTGGAGCTGCCATGAATTATGATGAGCTCACTGAGACCTATGACATAAAGCCGAATTCCGTCTTCTCATCTGTATTACTTTCACTCAGGCTCCAAGGGTTTTGACTTGTCTCCACATTCCGGATGGGGTCTTGTGGGTCGCGCTTTGTCCTTTGCTGTTACTGAACCCGCTTCCTCTGACTGAGCCCTTCCTGTCTCATCCAACATTTCGTTTTCGATACAGTTCTCCGTCGTATTCTTTGCCCCGATGCATCTTGAGAGAAACGTTCCTTAGCGCGGAATTTTCGAAAGTTGGCGCACACTCAGACAGTCAGCTGATCCGCAAAGTATGCTGGACCGGCGTCTCTGTTGCACCCTCCTCATCATGCTCTCCTCGGTATCCGCGGTTCGAATCTTCCGACTTCGACAACTCTTAGTAGGATTCATATCTGAGGAATTTCTGCTGTTTCGAGAGCTCTGCAGCATCGCCGAATCTCGGTCTGATTTGCCTTATTGACTTTAAGGCCGTCGGGACGATCGACAAAGGGAAGGATTGCGCTGGCTCGGACGTTCGCGATCTCACAACTACGTGTTCCGGGGAATTCTCGATTTCTTACGTGACGACCCCCAGCCATGAGGTGGCTGAGAAGCTAGCCACGTGAGTTTCCTCATTTTAGACGAGAGAGGAAGTCCCGGCACTGTTGAAATGTGCTTTACAAGCGAGTCCCGTTCTCCCCAGCTCTTTGGTGGAAGCGCGTTTAGCTGCGTGCATCAATATCATCCCTAAAGTCACCTCTATCTATCGATGGCAAGGGAAGATCAACAAGGATTCGGAGGTTCTTCATTTTAGTCTTGTCTGTGCTTGTCGTCCCATCCTGACCTAACCGATCGACAGTAGATAGCGGGAGGTGCCCTTAAGGATAAATTCCCTCGTATCGTTCTAGGCGCTGATGATGATCAAGTCCCCGACTAAATCCGTTCGGGATCTGACGGAATTCGTGAAAGCGAACCATCCGTACGAGGTGTGCGAAGTGATTTCGCTGCCGATCGAGACCGGGAACAAGGAATACCTGCAGTTTTTGCATGACGCGACCGTAGGCAACAAACACTGACGCTTGAAGGGACCCCGAAGTCTCCCGGGGTCATCTTACGTTGAAGCGATGTGATCAATAAAGGCCTGCACGCGTCCAATTCGACGATCGCTTCCTCGGTTATCCCCGCTATGATCTATGTATCTGCGAAAATGAGGCATGATGTGACTCAAATCCGATGCACATCACGCGACGTTAATGTGCTCATTATCGCAACCTTATCCAGATCTCAATTTGTGATAACCATAGCATATAGAATTGTATCGCTCACCCACTCCGGAAATCGTAAACATTGGAAATTATTAGGTGGAGGAATACTGCGGTCCGGCTGAGGGAACCGACTGCGGTTCCGAAGCTCTTAGCCGTTGCTCTGAACGCAACCGGTAGTGAAAGCGTTCTGGTCATCCGAGGATCCAGAGCAGCGAAATGCTGAGAGATGTTGTATTCCAATGAATACGACCACGGCGGGTCGATTCAATGTACGACTCGACGAAATAAACTTGGAGGAACGGAAAATCGGCGAGAGGTGCGATGAGGAATTCCAAGTAGGCGGTGAATACCTGATGATATCGCTCGATATGATGAAGCTGTATCAGATCTCTTGCAGTTCGATCTCTTTCAACCGATGTCGACCCCGGCTGCCTCTGAACGCGAGCCGAATTGAGAAAAATACGTCGGAAGGCTTCCGAGGGGATTTCTTCAGCTGTCGACCATGGAATGGAATAAAAGTGATTGTTCTGCGTCACTAATGGGGCAGTCCGTACGGTTCCACCCCGATACCCCGATTCTCGATCCCCCGATGCTTCAATTCGCCGATGCAGCGAGTCCCCGAGCGGCCTCTTCAAGAACCCATCACTCATCTCGAATACTTCCATGAGCTACCGATCACTTTCGATCGTGGATTCATGGGTGTCCTCCGGAGGCTCCGGAGGCACCCTCATCCCTCGGTGCAATCACTGATTCTCTCGCAGGAATCACCCCCATGATTCGGGGGGCTGTTCGTTGATCGAACCTGTCGATCGCGATTCATTTGCGAAACGCAGCTTCTGGGGTTTGAGAACAGCATGTCGGGAGCGAGAAGATACGCTATCAGTCTTGGTGGTCGCAATGTCATACTCTCTCTCCTGGAATTCGAGCCAAATTATCGATGTGTAAAAGTCTCCGCGCCTCCCTCGGCGTTTCCCGCTGATGCACCGGTGGTTCCACGGAACTATATTCATCAGCTGGATGCATCAAAAACATCTTCTTCGAAATGAAAAATCTCGCTACAACCTCGTAGCGGATGAAACTCGTATCTCTATTGACCCTGGCCTAGGGCACGCATGAGCCCAAGACTGGACTCAGTGACCGTTCGGCCGCGCGGAGTTGGATGGAGTGTTTCTCAGACACTAGCGGTGCCTGCTCGTCGTCTAGGAACGAAGAGTCGCGGAGAATTCCCCTCTTCATGGCATTGTCCTCTGACTCAGGAAAAAACTTGACCGGCGAGGATTAGTACTCGCTCCCGCTCCCTCACGACTCACGACTAGAAAATTTCGCTCCAATTTCTGAAGTTTGTTCCGGTACATTCAGAGGAAGCCGGATCTTACGATCGCTTGAAACTGACGCGTTATAACTAAAATCAATCGTCCACCCATCATGATGACAATCGAGTTATTCGCAGTGGAGACGAGGAAATGCATTTGGTTTCAAATTTGCCGCCTCATGGAGAGCGGCTCATATTCAGCTGCGGGATCTCCCGTGAGTGGCGCTGTTGCTTGTGGCGGCTGCTGTGAGGGGTCGTCGTTGCGAGGCGTATATACACGAGGTGAACATTGGAGATCGATTCATAAGGTTCGAGCTCGCCAACACTTGAGACGTCTATTTATCCGGGAATCCGAGCTCCGCTCTGTGCAAGGTACGTGCGATTGACTACTCTCGAACAATTCTGAGCGCGCTCGATGCGAAGGCGGTTGTGCAATATATCGGGATTAGGACGCCTACTTTCGGGCCGTGGTTTCTCGGGTAGTTTTGAATGATACCCGACGATCGGCGTATTCGCGAGTCGTCGTGGTCGAGGCCAGCGATTCCCCCTCAGATCAGAGCTTTCAGCTCTCGATTCCGAAGATATCGGCTCTGGGGCGCCACGACAGAATCCGTAGAGGAAACCAGTGTCTCCCGAGAGGAGTGGAGCTGTGGAGCTCAAGGAATTGAAGTACGGAGAACTTTGACAAGGTTTCCAAGAGCAATGACTCCGCGAACTCTCACACACAGGGAGCTGATTTCAAGTATCATGGCCGCGCTGTGCAACGGAGCTCAGGCGAAACTGTGATGCTCTGACGCTGTAGACTTGATGGTCGATAGAGAATCGTCCCGTCGATAACGGTTCACGGGAAACCACTAGTCTCCTGAACGTTCGGCAGCATTCGACAGCTCACCCAGTAATCTTTTCCACAGATGTCGAACCGCGATTGGGAGCTCACTTGCAAGGTCTATATCGGAAATCTGGCCAATCACACCTCACGACACGACATAGAGGCCGCCTTCGGCAAATACGGCAGTCTTCGTAATGTATGGGTCGCTCGGAACCCACCAGGATTTGCGTTCGTCGAGTTCGAAGATTCTCGGGACGCTGAGGATGCCGTCAGAGCGCTCGACGGCAGCAGGTAATATTTGATTTCCGATTTTTCGAAGCTCGATCGGGCCCCTCGTGAGTTCCCACGAACTCATCGAATCGAAACCCACTCTGGAATACGTGCCCGTGCGTATCTCCCTGGAAGTGGATTTTGTTTCTGAAAAGCACGCAGTCTATTCATTCGAAATCGTTTCGATGAGAGAGGCTCTGAGCCCTCTGATCTGAGCCCTCTGGTGATAGAGTGGCATCTCACTGCGGAGAACTTGTTTGCCGAAGGCCGCACCTGTTTCCGAGTGCCAGTGTCGCCCTTGTCGGTGTTGACTTATTAGGCTTTCCAAATGTTCTCCGGAGAAGTGTCTAGCCGACAGAAATCGTTAGGCTCGCAGAAAACTAAGCAGCTCATACTACAGCTCACAATCGACTGCTGAAACGTCATGACACCCAACATGATGAATGAATCTGCCAAATAGAACTTGAATGTTCTCGCGTGAACTTCGTCGGCGGTCTCCGAAGTGCGAAGACGTCTTCCCTGACTCCCTACGCAGCAGCAGCAGCATCTGCGTCGCTCGTACACCACCTGCTTCGCTCCAAATGCCTTCGCCAGCTCGCTGAGTTGCTCCGGCCAGTTCAAGTCCGCTAGCTCCCTTGTCCGCATCGTCATCGCGTTGTATCGCCTTTCGAGGGCGTTGCAGAGCTCCGTCCGAATTCTCCTTCTGTCTAGTCGCGATATCGAGAACAGTTTTCGGTATATTCGCGAGACTCGAAAAAGATCTTCAAAATCGAACGTAACACGGAACGCGACCACCGCGACCACGGCGTTCAAGTCCATCTTCTCGACATGAGTTTGACAAAGCTTCGATGATGACGGTGATCGATGATAGAGTCGACGACTGTCAGTCAACCGATCAGCTCCTTCTTCTTCCACACTTCCTCGTCTGTCAGCGGTATTTGGTGCGTAGTGTGCTCAAAGATTCAGGTGTCTTTTTGTAAACCGCCTACTGGTGAGAGAGCTGGTTGAAGTCTAGATCATGAGAGGTGCGCACGACGATCAGCTCTCTAAAATTTCTCATATTCAACAGGATCTGCGGTTCCCGGGTGAAATGTGAAATGTCTCACGGTAAGCGACGCAATGGAGGTCCCCGAGGCGGACGTGGCGGTCGCAGATCTCGTTCCAGGAGCTACGAAAGGAAACGCTCGTATTCTCGAAGCCGCTCGAGGTCTCGAAGCAAATCTCACGGCAAAGATCGCCGAGATGTCGGACCTGTCAGAGGAGGTGGAGCACCTCGCAGAGAAAGAAGCTTCTCGCGAAGCCCGTCGAGGGATCGGTCCCGATCCAGGGACCGACGTTGAGCCTCTGTCTCAAACTTGAAGCTTTCCGGATCATTCTTTACTCAAGAAAAAAAAGGAGTTCCGAAACGTAATGGAACGAATCCTTCAACAAACGATTTCTCTAACTGTATACAATAAACCTCAACTACCCTGACGAACATCTCGGTCATTCTTCCCGCCCCTGAGAATCTTTGCATGCCTCCAAAATATTCAAGCGAGCGAAACTCGTATGGTGGGCGATGAGGTGTCGGAGAAGACCGAAGCAAGAACTCTCTCGGAATCTGGTCGGCTCCGACACTCTGGGGTGCTAATGAGTCCGAATAGACATGCCTCAAGGAGAACCAACAAGGTTCGCGCACTCGAACGAAGAGAAGCTGGGTCGACCGTGCGCAGACCAACACCCTCGAATCCACCCCCGAAGACAAAAAGGAAGAAGCTTCCATGGCTGATAGATTCTCAGGGTTTCAAACTCATGGTCAATCGAATGGGGCACGCGAACTCAATATGAGGTTGAAGCGAGCCAAATAATTGACAATGAGCTCCCCTGGAATTTCCTGAATCTCTGAAACCTGTACGTATTCTCTCCAGCGCGGCCCGCAGCTGGAGCTAGCCCAGTGGTTCGAATCTGCGCGCGCTGAAGCAGCTGAGCGGCTGTATCGGAGCAATGCCTGTTATGGGAGAGGAGGAAAAGATTTTGGTGGAGAGGAGCCATTCGAGGGCTGCCGTCGCAGCAGCTGCGATGTGAAGACGCGTCCGCCATCTTTGAGTAGAGGGTCAATCTCAGGTTCCCGGAGCCGCTCGTTTGCCGGAAATTACGTCCAACCTCCTAAGGAAGTCAAGCTGCCTGCCCACGCGAAAGTAAGTGAATCCTCCCGCGTTAAATCGGAACCTAGCTCATCATGATCGAGCGTAGGTTTCAGCGGTTTTTTTTCCTGCGTCTGGTTCGAGCCATCATGGCTATTTCCGACAGAGCTTCGAGCGGAGTTGCGCTCTGTCTCGTTTTCGGCCGTTTCGAGCGTGAAACCACTCATCTTCTCCTCCCAGAAGCAACTGAGGGAAAGCTCCGAGCTAGTGCCTAGTTTCATCCGCCGCTACCGAGATTGAGGGACACTTTTCGAAACTCTGGGGCCGAACATGACCGTAAAATGGCTATCGGGAACAAGCATTCCGATACTCATGTGAGAATCACCTGCGTAGAGACCGCGATGATTCTAAAGGCCGGAAGTGATTCACCGGAATCCTGTGCGAATCCCGAATGCTCCCAAGGGTCGAATGAAAGCGAGAGTTGCTGGGATAAGCTCGATGTCTGTCAGATACGCCTCCCAGATGCTCCCCATACCGTGAATCGTAGATAATAGTCTGCGGAACAAGTCTCTGTCTACGGACCTCGCGTCTTGAGACCTCCCGAAAGCTCCCAAGTTTGAGGTCCGCTCCGACCCTCGCCTAAATTAGGATAGCGTATGAACGTTGCTGTATATAATATATATTCCTGTAAATAATTCCTATACCAAATAATGTATTTTTTCCTTGCAGATGTCGAGCCGTGATTGGGACTTGTCGTGCAAAGTGTACATTGGCAATTTGGCCAACCATACATCTAGACACGACATCGAGTCGGCTTTTGGCAAATATGGGAGTCTAAGAAACGTTTGGGTGGCGCGCAACCCGCCAGGCTTCGCCTTTGTGGAGTTTGATGACTCCCGAGACGCGGAAGATGCGTGTAGAGCTCTGGACGGCAGTAGGTAAGTTGATCCAAACGGAAACATCGTCTGGATTTCAACGGCTTCATCCGTGTTCCATCACCTATGTATGAGCGAAGACATCCGCGATCGCCATCCTCGTTCATTCTCGCTCTTTATTGGTGAGCATGATCATTCGGAAACGGAACCGTTTTCGAGACTCTCACGGAGATCGATCGCTTGATGCTGCGGTAATGAAAAAATCGCGATTGTCCCCGATTGCAATTGCGCTCGTCCGAGAGCGTCTGGTATCCGAGTCTATCGTCGGCCGAGTCGCGACCATCATTTTGCTGTGCGACGGGTGTTCCTGCCTAGAACGGAGGTTTCGAGGCACTCGATCCGCTGGTGATGAATCTGGATCCGGCATCCAATCATCGTTGCCGGATCTCATTGCCCCTCGTAGAGATCGGAATTTGCATTCACTTCAGCAGGAATGAATGAGCATTTTTCGAAAATCATTGAAAGAATTCATAGACTAAGCAACTCCTATTATCACTATGCAGTCTGGTGACCCTCGGGCGACCGGCCGTCGGCTGATCCTCATGAGATACACACACATCTGCTGCAATCGAGCGACTTCTTGATCGCTTTGCCAGAACTCTACCAGAACACGTCGTCTTCTCCGGCGATCTTCTCTTGACATCCCAACCGATAAGACAGACCAAGTCTCCGACCAACTCTGACGAGCCAACCGAACTTCAAGCTCCGACAGCAGCTCCAACAGCGACGTCGAGAATTGATTCATCGATCCATCTCTATGCGTCAAATCATCCACCTCTCGATAGATTGTCCACTCCCAGTCAATCCTTTGTCGTTTCTCGCGACGAATCAAGCAAGTGGATGCTCAGAGAAACTCCTTTCGGAGCGCTCGCTTTCGTTCAAGTCATCTCCGAAAGCGAGAGAAATCGAATCTCAATTCAGCGAATCCTCTCTGGGATTCTTCCGAACAGGATTCTCGATCCGCTCCTCAAAGAATATCCATGAAAGGGGGATCAAAGTAGAAAAAAATGGTGAGCTCGAGAGAGCATTGATTGATGGATTCTTGAATGATTTTCGATCGATTTCATGAGTCATGAGCATCAAAGATCGCGATCTCCGTCGTCGTCGTCTTCGCGTAGAGCTCCTCTTCTCTCTCCACGTTTCTTTCTACATCGGCTGCGACATCGATGAAATCAAAGAATTTTTCGTTCATTGTCCCGCGGTTCCCGGTCGTCATCGCCAACAACGACAACAGCAGCAGCTTCCTTCTACCCTTCCACCACCACCACCTTAACTATCTCTACCACCACCTCCACCACTGCAGCAGCGGCGGCGAAGACAACAACAGCCAGTACAGCGTACGACTGCAAGCCAGTTTAAAAAATAGAATTCATTGTGAATTTAAATCTGAATTTTTCTGAGCGTTGCCAGAAGGGACGACCAGCTCACTGGTCGTCACCCAGGCTCAGAGCGTGAGACATAATCTTCACAGTTATTGCTCGTCTCCCGTTTCGACTTGACATCCCCCACTTCTTCTGCCCTACTTCTTCTACTACTGCTGCTTCTCGACTCGTACGACGGTTGGAATCAGTCGGAATCCGATGATGGGCATTCGGTCTATGCTCGAACATCATCAATCTCCAATCATCAATCATTGCACCGCCATCACAATCGACCACCCAGCTCTCGCTCGTACTCTCCTCGACAATCGCCACAATCTCCTCCTCCTTCTCCTTCACACTTCTCTCCAAATGATGGCTAGGTACCACCTATCCTACGTTTTGCTGTGGTGGTTTATGAGCGTAGTTTCTGCATATTTTCCCCTGAAAGCCGATCAGGCTTCACTATGAGTCCAAATCACGTTCTCTCCCATCCTGTTTCTCGGCAGGCAATTCATCGTCGATTCATGTATTTCCCCGAGCCCACTCCCCGTCTCATTCAGAATTCTCCTCAACTCTCAAGTTCCGAGTTCCGAACTCCCGATCGAGACTCTTGATCTGATAGCAAAAAGAACACCTCGATATTTCCTCAATGAAAGAGAAACTCCATTCCTTCTCCGTGAACTCTGGCTCCGAAAATTCATCGAATTCTCTCTAATGTCGTTTATCCTCCAGGATCTGTGGCGCCCGCATCAAGGTTGAAATGTCTCACGGAAAGAGACGCAATGGCGGTCCGCGCGGAGGTCGAGGTGGCAGACGATCGCGCTCGAGAAGCTACGAAAGGAAACGCTCCTACTCGCGTAGCCGCTCTAGGTCTCGCAGCCGATCCTATGGCAAGGAGCGTCGCGAGCCTCCTCCACGTCGCGAGAGGAGCTATTCCCGTAGCGTGTCGAGATCCCGGTCGAGGGATAGACACTGACAGACCGATGCGTATCATCGGGAAAGATCTCTGACTTTTCACAGACAAGCGAGAGCGAAGACGAAATGAACGGAGCGTTTCCACCACAGCTTCGACCGTAAAAAGCAAACCCATGAAGCATCCCTGTCAACGTTTCCGATTTGGGCTTCTAGTGAATATATCATCCAAGCATACTTCTCCGACTCGATTGTGGTCTCACCTGTAATCCTTGTGACGCATTCTGATATATGAACCCTGCCATGTTACCTTATTTATCGGCGTTCATCAATCCCTCAGTACGTATCCCCAATCTACCAATCGATTGATTTCGTTCCCCGTCACGGGACATCTACGCAGCATACGTATGGCTACAAGACATCATGTACCATATCGGCATACCTATACCTATGCTATGATTTGCATAAATTAATAAAGAAGGTTTCGTTTACGATAAAGCAGCGTGGTTCTTTAAACCTAATTCCAAGCAATGCCGGTGATCCCGATTTCGAAGAAATCATGCACGGCGCCATTGAGAGGAGTTAAATGCATCGTACGATTTTCGAAAAGTCAAAGAGGTAATCTCAGCCGATTTCCTCGCGGTGTTCCGAATTCCTATCTCCTACCGCGATTCAGACGACCTCAATAAATGGGAATACAGTTGCCGGTGGGGACGACCCGCATCTCCTCGTCGGATCGATGATTGGGGCCGTTGGACTCAGGGATGCGCCTCATCGCTAATCAGGCCCTTGGGACACCGTTCTGCAGCAGAAACTCAGAAGACGAGATGATATACTTCTTCCGTGGCCGTTTCACGCGGGTGGGGCTTCGACGAACCTCACCGATTAGTCTGATGATAGAGGGCCGCTCTACTTTGCTTAGGGCTGATCCATTCGCGCAAAGCTATTCAGAAAGAACTCGACGATCCGAATTGACTAGAAGTGACAACTAGGAGAGAAGTCGTTCAGCTGGCATGACGTGCCGGCACCGAGCTCTTAGATCGCGTGTTGCCTGCTGATGAGAGGTCCAAATGGCCCAGCCACTGATTATGGCGAGTTTTGAAATTGACGGGATTTCAAAATAGCCGCACGGTATACGCCCTGTTTCCGGTGCGCCACGCTTCAGAGGAACCGCTCTTATGGAATGACTGAAGGAATCGACGAGAGATGATCAATTTCACTTCGGCGAAAACTCAAGAGTGTGAAATCGAGACGTCGGACAGCGCTCCACCATGAGCCATCGGACTAAGGGTGAGAAAAACAAAAGATTTTCGGAGTCCCGCCCTGTTTCACTTGACGTAGCACGAGCTCAGGACGGAAGCACTCATGTGGTCGGAGCCCATGCGTCAGATGTCGGTGAGCTCGGAAGAGGGTCGATCGATATCGGACGGAAACTCCCCGAACTCTTCTCGGCCGGGAAATCGCCATCAGTTAACAGAATTGTCTAATGACAGAGGAGGTCGAATTCGAAGCAACAGCGCTGATGATTGCCGTCCATGCCAGCTTCCGATACGATTAGACGACTCATCTCGATCGATGACGATCGCATGAACCTCATCAAACTCTGCTGTGCCACACGGCTTTGTGTGACACACGCAGATCGCCGGAGATTTGTTTTCACGCAAAGAGGAACCCCATCCTCGGGGCACAGTCTGGGGTGCTTCGATTCAGGACACCTGGAAATTCGGCAGGATTTTCATAAGCTTCGAGTGGGGAATCGGCTGAGACGAGTTCCCATTCCGGTGGCCGTTTCAGAGAGGGAATCATTCGTTTTGTGGGCGAGTCTCCTCATTGCACTCTTTGGCCCGAGGCGGATCGTGACATTTTGCGAAAAATTTTCGGGGCAAAAACGTCCCCACCTTTGACTTCGGGGTCATTAGGGAAACTTTTCAAAATAAACATCATCGAACGACAAACAGATTTTATACGAGGTAGAGGGTCGCTGCTCAAAAACGAGACGAACACAGCCAGAGGTATGGGGATCGGACGCGGCAACCACAGTTTCTTTTCGTCTCGGGGCGAAGGGATCCAGCGACCGCCTCTTTGTCACGTCGCAGCACCTTCCGAGAGCGCAATCGGCGCAATGTTTTTCTCTCGGCATTCCGAGGGTTCGCCTTCATGAGGAATCAAATCCTTTCGAGGATTGCGGAGGGGAGTGACTTACGAATGGCGCTCCAGATGAAACATTTTGCTACTTCATCCAAACGAGCCGCTTGCCTCGCAACGCCGCAGTCGGATTTCGAGGCCCGGTGGGGGAGAAGGATTTCTCCAAAACAGCTAATGGGGCAATCGAGGTGAAAGTGGTCGACGCTCGAACTCATTTTAAGCCTGAGAAATGTTTATGACCCTAAACGACTAAAGAGGAAATTGAACGGAAATATGCAGATTGTGGCGCGTGGAGATCTGTATAGGAGAACATCCTGAGAGCCCGTCAATTTCGCAATGAGCTCAAGTAGGCACCCCTTGCCGTTGGTCAGTGAAAAATGCCCTCATTCAGGGTAAGCTGATCGTTTGCCACCGATTCAGAGTACTGGTCCGCGAGTGCGTCTCACTCGATCGCAGTAGTCTCATTCCGGGCTTCTCCACACGGGATTCAAATTCGCAGGGGAGCGGTTAGAGCGATGCATTCAATCGTGCTGGAATAATACGTCTTACCAAGATCGGGCGCTCTTACAGGCTCCATCAACGGAAGAATGAAGGTCCCATGGAGAAGAATGATAGATTTCATTGCCCAGCGAATCGAAGATCTCGACTCCGATCGGGACCTTTGAATCAATTAATTTCGGAACGTTCAACTTCTCAGATAGTTTCGAACCACATGTCCGCCTCGTCGAATGTATAACATTCGGTATTCGACGGTTATCAGCTGAGGACTGCCGGAAACGGTCGATATAATCGGAGGTCTGGAATCAGGCCTCCGTAGACTCAAATTTGAAGCTCGGTCAAAAAAGTCAAGCGTCTCCAGCATCAGGGAGTGCAAACAATCGAGGTTGGTAGGAAAATCTCCGGGCAGTCGAGACAATTAAAGTCTTGCTGTACGTTTGATCAATACGCTTTGACCAGCGATTCCGGACGTGGAAGCTTGGATCAGGCCGCAGAGAACCTACATCTTCCGATGGAACGCTGTCGATTCGCAATGGATAGAGGACAATATCGCTATGATCATTCCTTATATGTTTTTATTTACATCTGTTCTTGTTTGTACATTTTGAACATTGACGATAGAGCGCCTTTGGTTGTCGACGCGGGACGTAAATATGTATAAAAATACGCTCTTTGATAAATTAGGGCAGGGGAGAAATATCGAAATCACAAAGCAATAAATAAGACTAGTGAAAGATGAGCGTGTAAGTGGTAGATGACGTCTTGGAACTGGTCGGGTGCTATCCTGTTTTCCAGTTCAATGAATTCCTCATCGTACAAACACCGAAGAGGAAGACTGTCCAATCATGAGCAAAGTTCCAAAGGCGGAGGATGTATGACCTGAAAACTGACTGTTTCGGATGTCGCCTCTCTCGAGCGGACTCGAAACGATCGCTGAGCACTTTGAGTTGACGGCCGATATCCTTGAAGAACTCGCGCTGGGCCTGAGGCCGCTGGAAACGATGGACACGAACACGCCGACGGGGAACGACATCCGGGAGCTCACGTAATAGATCTGAGATGCGAAACGAAGCATTGTAAATCTTGTAACCTTCTAATAAGTAAGCCTTCTCTCGGAATCCGGGGATCAGCCTCTCAATTCTCGGATCAATCTCTCAAGAATTCTTCCGAATCTCCCAATCTTACCTGTGTGCATGTCTTCAAAAATCTCTGTTTCTTCTATTCTCATTGCATCCACCAAGTCAGACAGCATACTCGTTCCACGAGTTGGAGTTTCTTACTGCGAAGTACACTTCACGCGTAAATGTAGAGATACAAAATACTTTTGTTCGGTGACGGTTCGACAAAGGCACTACTACTATTGGGCTCCGACAGCTGCTCACAGGAATTTCTGAGATCGCACCGAGGTTCACCGCGCTCTTATAAGGGGCCCAGGAGGTAGAGGGGAGAGAGTAGAGGGGAGTCGAGAACCGCTAGCTCCGGGGGACGGCCATACACGAGATGAGAAGTGGACGAGTAGCAGAGGAGGGATCAAGTGCTGAGAGTAGGTGGGCCTTCCGAAAAGTTGAGCAGCTCTCGCCTGCGCCGAGTCGAGGATAGTGTTTTGTCAGTTCGTTTCATCCTATAAATCAGGAGGTAACCTCCGACAAAGAGCAACAGGTTTGAACGGATTCGTGTTGATTTTCTCGATGCGTTTCTGGAACTCATCGCTGCTGCGGCGAGATCTACCAGATCGTACATCTTGAGCATCACATCCGGACAAGGACATTTTTCAGCTCGATGGGGTCAGTGCTCGACAACAGGGACCGGAAGATAGCCTAATAGAAGAGTCTGCTACTTGATCGTCAGCGTATTCTCGAGGCAGCTTTCCTCGGTTTTCATTTCCGTCGATTCCGATCGACTTCTCACCGGACCCCGAGATCGTCACCGAATTCCGAATATCCTGAAGGGATGGGGAGGACCGCGGAATCGAGGCCGGAACGAGTATCCAATCCAATGGGAAGGACTCATTTTCTCATGATTACTCACTCATTCACACGAGGACGCCTCGGCTAACAGGACCGGGCAATGAGCTTGCACGCCGCAGAGGTTAAGAAGGGAAACCTCATATTATGATATCCTGCTGATAGTGGAGACAAGCAATGTGTTGTTGGCCTATGGGACGGCAGGAAGAAAGGAGCTGTTGCAAATGTCCCGTGGAGAAAGCCTACTCTGGTGAGATCTCATGGCGGGCGACCAACAACATCGTATCAGGGCGTAATTCGAAGCTTTTTGAAGCGAGCGACAAATACTTTGTAACACTGGTGTGAGAGCAAATCATTGCCGAGTTCCGCGCCTAGCATGTGATCGGAATCCTATAAATGGTTTCTCTCTGCGTCGGAGTTGATGCTTCATTGTATCGGAATCAGTGCTCGATGATTCCCTTATGCTCGGAATGTGGTTCCTTTCGAGCACCTAAGGAGACTCTCCCGCAACAGCTACGACTCGAGAGAGCTTACAAAATGCAATTTCGGAGAGAAGCGGAGTCCGTAAGTATTTTTTTATCTTTCTCAACAGGGGTCAACAGGACGGTGAAGAAAACAGGCACCCCACGCGGGCGCGAGATCACGTTTTGAGGCAACTAAGAAATGGTCTGGGGTCATTTTATGTCGACGGAGACGAATAAAAGATTCGAACGTATAAAAGGAGACAGCTACCAGCCAATATTCAAACGGGGTGGGATCCCTGACGGTGCAGACTCAACGACGAAAGGAGACCGAAGAGCCGCCGGTTCAGGGAGATAGTAACATGCATTGAGGAAGCTCGAACCATCGCAGAGAAAGTCGTCGGTGAACTGCGAAGAAAAAAGAGGTTAT